CCCGACCTCCCGGCCCTCGGCATCTTCGGCAACCCTCTGCCATGGACCTCGACGCCGCATCCCCGACTTCGGTTTCACGGTTGAAACTCTGGTGGTATTGAGTACAGGCGGCGGCGGTGGTGGCAGCCATCAGAAAAGATGGAATTGCGGTTCTGGGTGTATCGCACAACCCCTCTATGCATCGTAGATCATCTTGGACCATGGACGTCGATCTCCAACCAAATGCCGAAGCTATTCAGCCTCGACATGTCCTCTCCCAAGTCGTCCCCGTCGACTACTAGCTTGAGCGCACTAGCATGCCTTGATTTTCATCAGCACTCGACAACGACTACGCTTCGATTCTCGCCCTCGACAGCCTCCGTAAGCCTGGTCTTACCTCGCCCCCGTCGCCGTTCAGCACAGCTCTAGTCAGTATCCCGAGAGGCGCTGGTTGCCGACAATGTATCTGGGTTTTGGATAGGCCGTACTGTCAGTACTGTGCCGCCGGAGCACGATACCTCGCGACAGGCGTGAAGTGCCAGAGATGATTTCGGAGCTCGGGCCGGCGTGGCGGAGCGGGTGAAGGAGAGGCGAGACATCCGGCGAAGCGGCATCAATCAGACCTGCGTGAACGTGGGTTGTATGTCTCCAGTCATGTTTGCATACCTGAGCCGAACCAGCCTCATATACTATGGATTGATACCGTGGTCGAGACGGGATACGCCAGTTTGCGTACCCAATGGCTCTCGATACACAGCGACTCGGGATATTATCACGGATGGACTGCCATATCAGCCTCCGATTGTCACTCGGCTCCGCGCTACCGTCTCTGGGGTCGAGAAGCCTACGCCCAACTTCTCTGGGGGCCGTTCACAAGAGGACAACTGCAAGCCTTACAACGTCAAATTCTGGCGCCAAATCAGCTTCTTTCGGACGTGACTGCCAACGTCGAGCAACGTTGGAATCACAATACCCGGACATATCCAACATTACGACTGCGACCATGACTGCTGCCTGATGCGTGCTAGTGTACCACACTCTGCCCTTGCGATGCTAACCACCATTTAGGTCCAATCGTTTCGGATTCTTCCTTTGACCCTTTTTCGGATCAGTGAGAGTACTTGGCCACGGCGCAAATATTGGAGACCCAAAAGTCGAATTTGAAGCATCGCTCAGTTTCTCTTGTTGGTGCCTGTACCATTTCTTGCACCAATACCCCGCGACATCTCGATCTTTCGGTTTTACGGCGGGGCGTGCAGGCGTCGGAGAGAATCGACTTTTTACCAGAGTGCTTTTTGGTGTCTCGGTTTTGCTTCTGAATACAGGACTTTCTGTTTCGATTTTCAGGAACAACAAATCTTATTGCAGGCTGGGACAGTTTAGTTCCGACTTTATTAACATTCAACCAATCCTCGAACGGTATGTTGGTCCGCTAGTTGTACCATGGCGACCACCTTCGATTTGCTAACCTCAAGTCAGTTTCAACCGCGAAAATGGATGGCATCAACCCCTACAACCCCGCTCAGGGCAACGGAGCCCCTCCTCCCAACGCCAACGGCGACGGCTTCGGTACTCCCGTCTCTGGCGGCATGCCCTTCCCCGGTAACAACGGTTCCGGAGAGATTCCCGGCAGCGTGCAGGCCCCTAACCAACAGGACGCGAATAAGAACACCCTCTGGTCAGCAACGGTGCATATCTTTCTCTCCGTGGTTTTGGTCTAACAGTGGCGCAGGATGGGCGAGCTCGAGCCATGGATGGATGAGAACTTCATCAAGGGCGTCTTCCTCACCGCCACCGGAGAGCCCGTCAACGTTAAGGTCATCCGCGACAAGACTTCCGGCAACGCCGGATACTGCTTCGTCGAGTTCACCTCGTCCGAGGCTGCCAGCAAGGCTCTCACCTTGAACGGCTCCCCCGTTCCCAACTCCAACCGTGCCTTCAAGCTCAACTGGGCTTCTGGGGGCGGCATCAACGATCGACGTGACGACCGTGGTCCCGAGTACTCGATCTTTGTCGGCGACCTCGGCCCCGAAGTCAACGAATACGTTCTTGTGTCCCTCTTCCAGGCGCGGTTCCCCTCTTGCAAGTCTGCTAAGATCATGACGGATGCCATGTCGGGACAATCGCGTGGCTACGGCTTCGTACGTTTCACCGATGAGCAGGACCAGCAGCGAGCTCTCGTCGAGATGCAGGGAGTCTATTGTGGCAACCGCCCCATGCGCATCTCCACGGCCACCCCCAAGAACCGGTAAGCTGTTTTTGCCCTGGCGCTATATGCACACCCCGTCTGACCAGAACAGCAGCAACCACGGCGGCCCGTACCAGCAACAGCACCACGGCAACCAGATGATGGCTCCCGGCCTGCCTCCTCACCAGCAGGGATTCTACGGGGTTCCCTCGCCTGCTCAGTACGGCGGTGCTTATGGCGCCCCCTACAACCCTCCCGGCCAGCAGATGAACCAGTTCACCGACCCCAACAACACTACCGTTTTCGTCGGCGGCCTGTCTGGCTACGTCACTGAAGACGAGCTCCGTAGCTTCTTCCAGGGCTTTGGCGAGATCACCTACGTCAAGATCCCTCCTGGCAAGGGCTGCGGTTTCGTTCAGTTCGTTCACCGTCACGCTGCCGAGATGGCCATCAACCAGATGCAGGGATACCCTATTGGAAACTCCCGTGTCCGTCTGAGCTGGGGCCGCAGCCAAAACAACTCTGGTGTTGGTACCCCCTACCGTCCTGCCCCTCCCCCACCTCACTACTTTGCCCCCCCCGGCCCCGGCGCCTACGGACCTGCTCACTTCGGTGCTCCTGGTCCTCACGGCCCCCCGGGACCGCAGGGCCCCCCTGGTGCCCCTCCTCAGGTAAGGTTCCCTGGGTAGCGTATTGGAAAAGCATGTTGGCTAATACCCTGTGTAGTAGAGTGTTGGGTGGGACGACATGGACGGCTTATCCGCTCTCGCACGCGATATGAATATCCGAAAAAGGTATTCATGAGCTCAAGCCCTCACGATTGTCTCGTTGCTTATACATCGAAGATTCTCTCGTCGTTTTCGCTCACCGCCACTTTAACGATGGATACCTGGGCGAATGACACTTATTTCTTTGGACTTGTTTGATCTTAGGCATACGGATAGCGGACACGATTGTGAGACGTCACGAGAACGACGATTGCATGCTTTGCGGCCCGAGTTATTCTCTTTGGACATCTGGGCTTGTCTTGGGCGTCGGCTTTCGGATGGTTCTCTTGACTTGGTTGCCCCTTCATTTGTCTACTTCCACACGGGACTCGCCCCAACAGAGATTTCCTAGCTTCTAGTTTGCTTGTCGCTGTGTTTTTTTGTTCTGACTTCGTGACCATCCTGCGTGAGAATCAAGCCTGTTCTGTTCGTTCGCTTTGATGGTTGGCTGGCTGGTTGGTAGCAGTTGGTCTCGAGTTCCGAATACCCCTGTCGTTTACGTTTGCTTGTCGTCACGGGGGTGAAGAGCGTTGTGCACCTCTTGTTTTGTGCGAAGTCCCTTTGCGGGCTTGTGTACTTGTCCGCTGGGGTTTGGGCTTGGAATAGCGGTTTAAGGCTGTGTTGCATCCCGACATATCGAACTCTCTCTGGAGCTTGCGGGTGTTGGTCGGGGGAGATGCGAGGCAAAACAATCAAAAAGGCTCACGGAGTGGCCCGGCGTGGACTTTTGGAGAAACAAAACAAGTTGGAGATTTAGGATTCCACGGTTTGGGCGAATGGCGTTGGTGAGCAGGATGACGCCTCCGGGCCGTATGTCTGAAATCAGAATGATAGGTTCTCTCTGAATGGAACTAGGTTGGTTGTGTACAAGCTGAACTCGTAATGTCGTTGAAACATGGTGGACCAGAAGCTTACTGATCGATACGGGCGTCGGGTGCCGTGTCGTTCCCTTTTCCCTTAGGCCGGCCATGCCGAGGCCCACTAAACAGATGTAGATACAGAACAGACGTATTGAATGCCTGTCTTGTTTAGTCTATCCCATGTGTACAATTGCCTTACCTACCCACCATACCCTCTTGGGTGATCGTTTCATGAGCATTGCTATTCTGGATATGCATCTCGTCATGAGAGCATCAGGTATTAGTTGCGCCAAGCCCTGCAATGCGGACGCAGAGCCAGAAATCGTCTATCTGTATGCTTTTATTACCTAGCTCGAGACGCAGTACAAAGAACAAGAAGAAATATATCGCTGCGGGCAGAATACGAAGAGGGGGGAAGATGCAAAATGAAAGGGACGAGACTCGAACTCGCGCGGGTTGCCCCACCAGGAAACAGATGTTAAGCTGACCTTAACCTGGCGCCATAACCAACTCGGCCACCCTTCCAGTTGTGAAGTAATGCCGGTCAAACTTCAAAATGAGTATGCTTGTGGAATTCTCCTTGTTCACTTGCTAGTATTTCGCTGTGGTATTGAACTGCTAAACTTGAGATTCAGACGCGTTGATGCCGTGACAGCAACAAGAATTGTCTGCGTTCCAGCTATTGTCAGCGCATCCTCGCATGTGTCTCTATGGCCTACACGGGATAAAGGCTAATTGCGAACTGTCTGCTTTTCGTGACACCTGTGAAGCTCATCCACGAGCGAACAGCATGAACCATGCACGACCTCCCCTGTCAGTCCATACCCTCTTGGGCGAACTGTGTATTATCAAATAAACAGCTCGTTGAACAGATTCACTCAGGTCGAACCTGCTGGAATACCGCCTGTGTCCGAGAAGCTTCTCCGCACGGCCCAACAACTCGTCAGGGGGCAGCTCGGTCACGTATGCTGCACGTCATTGCATGCTAGAAGAGTCCCGAAGCTGGCATCCGCCCACGCTGCTTTCTCTCGTAGGATATCAGTAGTGTCTTCTTTGATCGTTGCCACTTTCCGGAACAGAGCAAGTGTTCTTCTTCCTATGTACTCGGTTGGTATTCCTGAGAACGTGGACCATACCATCCAATCACTCCCCGGGACAGAATCAAAAAGTCGAAACGAAGACCACAAAGAACGCAACCTCGTCAACATGTCTCGCGACTCCCTGGCTGCTTTTCGTAAGTCGCCTCCTTCGGAGGACCTCGCCGCCATCGCCGAGAAGCATCTCGAGCATGACCTACTCGACTCGGACCGTGACCTGCTCAAGACGGCCGCCAACAAGGTCCGCACGCACGCCGTCATCGGCTCCGCCATCGGCCTGGGGTTCGGCATCTTCCTCGCCTCCAGGCTGAGGCGGGCGCGCGCCGAAATGTTCGCCGCCTTCCGGGCCGCAGAGAAGCCGACGCACGTGAAGTTTGCAGACGGGAGGACAGGTCAGTGACAGTCGAACTTTTTTTTATTTCTCCCCTTCGACATAGGCTTCCCCCTCCACCCTTTGCTTTTGCTGACGCGCGCGGCTACTAGAACCTATACCTGATCTGACGGAGGAGCTGGCGCCGACGAGGGCCGGCGACATCGCGACGTACTCGCTGCTCGGCCTTGGGAGCCTCTTCCTGGGCGGCGAGCTCGGCTTCCTCTCCGGGACCTCGGCTGCGTCCAGGACCATTAACAGAGACCCCGTGAGCCGCGCGAGGATCGAGACCGCTTTTAGGAAGTTCAGGGCCGAGGCCCTAAGGAAGGAGGCCGAGCGGCTGGATGGGGGTGGGAGGATCCTCGACAAGATTTTCTAAAGCTCTTGCCGGCCGCACGGAGGGATCGGGGGGGTTATCAAAAGTGGATGATTGCGAGGTAGAACCGTGTTAGGGCCGTTTCGAATGTCGTAAAGGTGAACTGTCGAAACAGTTTGTAAAGCATTCTCGACTGTTCACATGGATGATTGCCTGGATGGAAGACCCCCCCCCCCCCAATCCCACGGCTCATACACATGTGCAGTGTAAGCAGGAATGCATCCTTGGGGTGGATTGTGTTTTACAAACGTGATAGTTCCGTTCCGTATCAAGCCTCGGACTACCTGCGGACGTTCTGCTACACACAGAATTTCAACTTGGTCGCGGTTGCCGCCCTATCATGTTCGGAATATAAGATAGTGACTTGGGAGTTGTCCCATGCGCACTCAGGGTCCAGATCCGCCATATAAAAATGTTCAATAAGTAAAGTCTAGTCTCTGCTCTTTTGGGCAGGGGAACATTGTCAAGCTGTTGTGCGGCAACTCCTCCCAGCAAGTTAGGACTGGATCAGGTATTGAATTGACTCCAGGCTCCTGGATCCATACACAATCTGGGCGATCCTAGTCTTTTTCATGCTTTGAAGCGGTTGTTCGAGTTGCTTCGACCTATACTGTAACCTCCACGCCCTTCATCGAGCCCTCGGCGCGCCAGTCCTCCAGGAATTTGGTGAAGGCGTTCATTCCATGCGGAAACGGCGTCCCCCTTGCCATCTTCATCTGCTCCTCCGGCGGGGCCTGTTCGCCTTCGTTGTTGAGGTAGCCCGGCGTGCAGATGGCCATGCCGGCGAACCAGGCGGCGTACTGCATGTGGAGCGCGGAGTAGCCCTCCTCGCTCTCAACGGTCGCCTCGAGGGCGATCTTGTCGGTGCTGTTGCTCGCCCGCTTCATCGCCTCGGTCACGATGTACGCGCAGTGCTGGGACAGGGTGTCCTGAACGCTGGAATAGTTGGACGTCGCGCCGACCTGCAGCGGGCCGGTCAGGAAGAGGTTCGGGAAGCCGTTGGTGAGGACGCCATGCAGGGTCGACGGGCCTTTGTTGTGCCACTTGTCGGATAACAGGACCCCGCCACGGCCCTTGATGGTCATGCTGGAACAGCCCGAGGGCTCGGCCATGTTCGCCGCGGGCGCCCTGTAGCCCGTGCTCAGCACGACGACGTCCAGCGGGTAGTCCGCGCCGCCGACGACGAGCGAGCCTTTGGTGGCGCGGTCCACGCCCTTGCCGTCCGTGTCGACGAGATGGACGTTGGGGAGGTTGAACGCCGGGAGGTAGTCGTCGTGGAACCCCGGCCGCTTGCACCACGTCGGGTACCAAGACTTCAGGGCCGCGGCCGTCGTCTTGTCCTCTACGACCTCGTCCACGCGACGCCGGAACCGCTCGGACATGGGCGCGTCCGCCGCGAGCAGGCCACCGACGTGACCGGGGATGTCTGCCATGCCCAGCGGCTTGTCCTGAGGGGCGGCGATGGTTGCCTTGTATGCCTTTAATGCCGTCCAGCCGTCCGCGACCAGATTCTCTTCCGCCTCACCGCCCGATACGTAGATGTTGAAGTTCTCGCTGCGGCGCTTCTGCCAGCCTCTACCATTGGCGATCTTCTTTCCACTCCTCTGGGTCGATGGGCCTCTGGCCCTTTTCGCCCACCGACGCGGGTGTCCGCTGGAAGACGTAGAGATCTTTGGCCCACCTGGCCAGCTGGGGCACGAGCTGAACGGCGGTGACTCCAGTGCCGATGATGCCAACCCGCTTTCCCTCCAGGCCTGTCAGCTGCGGGTTCTCGAGGTTGTTTGGGTCACCTCCAGTGACACCGTAGTTCCACCTGGCGGAATGAAACATGTCGCCCTCGAAGGCCTCGATATTCTTGGGCGCCTTGGGGTGGTTGAGGATGCCGTTCGCCAGGACGACGAACTGGGACCGGACCGTCATCGTGACGGGCGCCTCGTTAGGACCGCGATCCTGCTCGATGACGACCTTCCACCGCTTCTCGTCCTCGTCCCACTCGCAGCTCTTGATCTGCGAGCGGAACACGCCTTGGTCCGCCAGGCCCCACGTCTCCGCCATCCGGTTCGCGTGCGCGAGCAGCTCGTTGCCGTAGGCGTACCTGTGCTTCGGCATGTACCCGGTCTCCTCGAGCAGCGGCATGTAGATGGAGCTCTCGACATCGCACATGAGACCGGGGTACCGGTTCCAGTACCAGGTGCCGCCGAAACCTCCGGCGGTGTCGACGAGACGGATGTCCCCGGGCCTGAGACCGGCTTGGACTAAGCGAATGGCGAACAGCAGGCCGCCGAAGCCGGCACCGAGCACGATTACCTTGACCTCGTCGCCGTCCGCGAGGTTGGCCGGTCGCGCGTTGAGCTCCTCGTGATTGACCCAGGGGTCTTGGGCAAGCTTGCTGAGGCGCGCGTCCGACTCGATCTCGGTGTACTGGGCGTTGCCGTCGGGCCGTTGGCGCTTCTCCTTCTCCTCGGTGTACTTCTTGTTGAGTGCCATGAAGTCCAGGGCAGCGCCCCCAGCAGGCGTCTCTGATGCGATGGGAGGGGCAGACATGATGGGCGTCTAGAGTGACAGTTTACAGCCTGGCAGTAAGTAAAGTTAATAGGAACGGTTGGGGGTCCAGACGAATGACAAAAACAGTGAAACCCAACCCAGCGGAAAGTAGATATTTAAGCAGAAATGTGATGGATCCAGGCCGAGCCAGGCCAGTCCCAGTGGAATCTCGGCAAAGCCATTCGAAGTTTAACAAGGATACACTATCATCCCGGCCGGTGTTAAGATCGCCATGGACTTGTTGTGTTCGCTTGTCGTAACGTTCAATAGTTTGAAGTGTATCCATAACAGTCGAATTGCCGCTTCAAAAGGCGGAGAAGTGGGCCGGGGGGGGGGGGGGGGGGGGGGGGGGACAATACGGCAGCCTGCAAGGCCGACTGTGTCAAAAAGTCAAAAATTTCCTCTTTAGGACGTAAAGAAGATATAAATACGGTATGGTGTGTAATGAGACCTTATTAAAAAGATATAATTAGTTTAACTAGAATGATTACATAAGTCTTCTGATCCTGGCCTTTTTCAGCTCCCGGCTTATTTCTATAGGCCAGCGCCTGCCCACTGTTGCTAGCAACAGTAGGTAGGTCTGGCAACAGTGGGCAGGCGCTGGCAGTAGTGGTGCTAGTGGGACACAGCTGGCGACAGCTGTTGCAGGGGTCCTGGCAGTACATTCGCCAAATTAACCTTCGACCTTGCATCAAACTCTCGTTAACCCTAACCCTATGTAAAGTAGGTAAGCGCTAGCAGCTAGGTGCTAGCAGTAGTGGGCAGGCGCGCTAGCAGCAGTAGGCAACAGTAGTACCTGCCTTATTGGTCTATTTCCGACACTCAACCTAAGTCTGGAGCCTGATAACAATTTGTATGGGGAAAGCGGGGGATTTGGCAGATTTCTAGCAAAAAAGGTCACGGTACGTGGCCTATTCTGATATCTTTAGAGTTCTGTAATATAGAACTGAAATCATGATGTACCCTCCTGTTTTTGGCCTAGTGCGGCACGATTTGAGTTTTTTGGTACTTGTGGCTGGTGCATGGTCTGTGATACCGGTCCTTATTCGAAGTGTCAAATGATATCGGCGGTGCCGATCAGGCCCTATATGAGTAATGCAGAATCCCGTTCTTCAAGCTTGTACGAATGACTCTTTTCGTGAGCCAAGTTACATGCGCCTTCTGCAAGATCGCCAACCTTAACAACCATGCCTTCTTTGAACCTTCCCGACTATGACGACCTCCCGCCAGTGGAGGGCATGCCAAAAGGCTGCGCCTGGGGCATATTTGATAAAGAGGGGAAGAAAGACGTCTATGGGACGCTGAACCTACTCACTCCCCAAGTCATAAAGAAAGCTAGTGCGGAAATCCGCGATGGTGTCTCCATCTCTCTCAAGTAGGTCATACCTATTGTTTTGATTCGGCAAATCGCCTACCCCTGGGCCGCGAGACTGTAATCTCTGACATGGACACAGTTGGCCGTTGGATAGTTTGAACAAATTCAACATCCCAGGACGTAGGCCGGCAGCGCACCATGTTCACTCCCTACAGGCCAGTGGATTGTCTCCAGGACTTGGATGGGATGACGAGTTGGAGTTCAACACCCAGGGCAGCAGCCAATGGGACAGCCTCGTACACTGGCAGCACCAACCCACTGGTCTGGCCTACAACGGCGCGAAGCCGACCCAGGAGGCATTGTCTGCCGCCTCCACGGCCGACAACCAGATGCCGACCATTGACCACTGGCACGAGCGAGGCGGAGTCGTGGGCCGCGGCGTCCTGATCGACTACAAGGCGTATGCCGAGGCGAAAGGAATTGACTACCACCCCTTGGATGGCTACCGTATCACCGTTGAGGACATCGAGACCGTGGCCGCATACCAGGGCGTCGAGTTCCAGGAGGGCGACATCTTCCTCTTGAGAACGGGTATAACTTCCATGTTTGATAACCCTACTCCAGTTGATTTTGCGAAGATGGCGCAGATGACCCTGTCAGGCGTGCATGGCACGGAGGAGACGGCCAAATGGTTCTGGAACAAGCATTTTGCCGCGGTCGCTGGCGATGCGAGCGCGTTCGAGGCGTATCCCCCGTTGCATCCCGACGGCACCACAGCGGATATGACCGGCCTTGGTAAGTCTCGCTAGTGTTCGAGGGAGAGCTAGCGTCTAGTCTATCAAGCTTTTTCAGCCGCTAACCATTGCCCCCAGTTCTACACACTTACTTCTTGAGCCTTTTCGGCATGCCCATCGGAGAGCTGTGGGATCTGAGTCGTCTCTCGGCGTACTGTAAAAAGACGGGCCGGTATACCTTCCTGCTTACCTCTGCGCCGATGAACGTTCCCTGCCTGATTGGATCTCCCCCGAACGCTCTGGCAATTTTCTAAATCCGCCGACGGACGAAAGAGTGCATTAGTCTAGGAAGTATAGCGCTCAGCATGGGACATCTTTTTGCACGACTTTGCAAGAGTTTCTGGGGCTCGTCTACAGTTGTTCGGAAAAAGTAACATCCAAGCCTAAATGTTCAAACCTGCAGCCAACAAGGTCTGTTCGCTTGCTCAAACAAGCTTTGTATTTGGCAGGTCTGGCTTCCGATGCCCTTTCCAACTGAAGACAAGAAACCTTTGTCAAGCAAACTTAATGCAGACTGCATCTCAGGAGCCAAAAATAATATCAGCCAGTTTATCTTGCTAGTTACTCTAAAGCGCCAAGACATGGAATGCAGTCAACGTTGGACTCCGGGAACTTAGTTGCGAACGTGTGAGAACCATGAATCCACAAGGATTTAGAGCCAATATCTACTCAAGTTGGTATTCGAATTCATAATTCACCGCATCCTCAGTCGGAAACTTGTTGTGCGCCGGACAAGAAACCGTCAGCACACGGGGCAATATTCTTTCCATGATCAGTAGTTATTGAAACTTGCTTTATGAAGATAGTACGGAACTGCATGTGCAGGAGTACAGGTAAGTTGATTATTGTTATTCTCATTAAGGCTCAAAGGGTATCGACGTGGTGAAATTTGTAAATCCTCGAGCAAACACACCATAGGCAGATTATTCCGATGCACCAAAGCTATATACTTTTCGTCGAGATGCCGAGTCGTAGATGAAACATAAAAAAACTAAACCACAAGCCACCCTTCACTGCATCGCAGCAAAGACAAAGCCGGCGGCGGCAACAGCGGCAACAGCCATGCCGGTCTCTCTGGGAGCCATGTTGGAGGGCTCGCTGGTGATCTCAGCTAGCCTGCTTGTGCAAAAGCTGCCAGCCTCCAGCAAGCTCTTGACTTCGGCGGAGACGGCGGGGATGTCGGTGCACTCGTGCCAGAAGTCCCTAAGCTCGGACATGTGCGCGGTCTGCCACGACATCACGGAGTTAGACCAAGAGGTGTAGACAGGGGCGATGGAGCCTGTAACGGATATGGTTGCACAAAGGTCCGTCGTGGAGGTAGCGAGGTCTGCGGTAGCGGCCCATGCCTCGAGTTCGAAAGGCGGTGTGGGAAGGGGGTCGGAGCCGGTGACTGCCTCGGCGAAGGCCTTGTAGGCGTTGGTGCACTCGGGCGTGCCACGGGCTTCGATGACTTTGACAATCTTGGTCGGCTCGATTCTCTTATGGATGTTGAGGTGAATGTCATTGGCGGCGACCATGGTGGCGGCGAGAGCGCCGAGGAGAGCGGTAGCGGCGCGCATAATTACGGATGGTCTGACGTAGTGCGTCTTCTTGAACGTCGTGAGAAACAAGAGGGTTTCAAGTTGGCAGAATGTCGCGATGTTGGTGATGCTTTGATGCGGATAGTCCGAGTAGCTCCCACTGGACGTCAGCACACGATGGCATCACTACTTATATTGCATTTCCTCACCGTATGTCCATGAATGCCTGGCCTGGCACCTAGACCAAATAAGGGGGCCCTTTGCCGGATGACAACAGTCGTGAAATGAGCCCTGGCCAAGGCGATTAGAACACTCTGCTTTTGGTTGATGCAGGGATATACCAGTTGCGGGTATTATTCTTATTCTGGCCAAGCTTCGTGCTGTGCCGTACGGCTGCCCATGACAAGCCTTTTAGCGCTTTCAATTACGAGATGCAGGCCAATTAAGGCGGTAGTTGGCCTCAGCTGGACTCTGTCTAGAATTCCCATTTGACCAGCATCCGTGTCGCTGCCGAGTTTGCCTGCTGTGCCACCGATTGTCAAGTCAGGATTCTTGGCGTCAGACGAACAAAGTCAACCTATTGTTATGGATGCTAATAGCTCGGGCGGCAATCATTAATATGCACAAGTCCACATGAGGCCCGCCCCAGCCACAACACAGAAGTCAGGCGGGTGTCGTTATGGGCTGGGCTGTTTGTAGACCCGCCGCATTTGGCCTCAAATCGATTCGCCAAGTCAGCCGGTGAGCTCGAGCGGAGTTGTACCTGAATGCCCGGGGATATCGACTATTGATTGAAAGGGGGTTTCAGTTCGGAACCTGACCTTTTCCAACTACATGTGCTGCCCATTCAATGCTGGTCATATCACGGGATCACCGAGACGGGTTAGCCGTTGACGGCGCCGTTGCATGTTACTCCAAGCATATGGCTCCTATAAAAGGGTACTCGTGTACCTAGGTTTATTGATGGGATTTTGCACCATTCGGCGGAATGGTCAAACTTGCCATCTAAACAGGCATTTTTGCTCATATTGCCAATGCAAGTCACAACGTAATGCCTCCAGTCTTCTGATGGCCACGTCACGCAAAATATGAGCGGTGCCTCCGAAGTTCTATGTTAGAGTAGGGATTTCTTCCAGAAAAGACGTGAACTGAGTCATTTGGCAGCAAATTTCACTTTATCAGTGCTGGTTATCCAACCTCCATCTCTCCCTTCATGTTTTACAATCACTTGTATTGAACATGCTCACCGGGCCTGATAATCTTCTTCACGGCGAGTGTGAAACCATGCTCGCCGGCTCCCATTACAAAGTACAATGGCTCGATGCTTCTATTTCCAGTCTCTCTATAGTCAGAGGAAGAATTACCAGGTACAGTTCAAGCCTTACGGCGAGGTTTGCCACGCAAGATAATAGTACATTTATAAGCACCACAACTATGTAGCTCGCACTGAGCCGAATTTTTGATGGCCATCCGTGAGAAGAATCGGGCTGAACGAAAGAAGAAGAGAGGGCAACAAAGCAAGCGCGTCCAGGCTGTTGAGGAGTGACCGAGGCTAAATCAAATTCAGGACGTCGCGGACGTATGTCTTGTGTATTGGAGCTTTTTGTTTCTATGCAGAGTACAAAGCAAAGCGTGATGGTAGAGCTACTCAAGCGTCAGACGACGCAACCCGCGATCACTTTCATTGGATACTTGAAGGTATTGCCCAGGTCTTGCTGAATGATTGGTGGAAGTGAGACGTCTGATTGCCGCCTTTGCAATACCTGCGAGCACGTCTTCATCTTCGGCCAGGATATACGGGACGGGTTTCCTCAGGGCCCTTTCGCTCGGCTCCGCACAATGAGAGACAGAGAATAGATTCCCGGGAGATTTCACTACGACAGCTTCTTGGTCGCCGACGCCAGAATATCAACGGACCGATTTAAAATCCACCAGAAAAGAAGTATCAAGGTGAGGCTGAATGTTTAATTTGCAATGGTCTTCAACCCCGAGTCCGTTAAATCGGAAAGGATCCTTGAGGATGACTTGGCGGATAAAAGAATCGTTTTCTTATATCGATGTTATAGAGGTTCAAAAATGTTTCTTCTTGCAATCCGAGAGACTTGGCATGGACTACCAAGGCAGGTAACGTGGCAGCCTAAAGTCAAGGCGGTAAATTCCATCCCTAGGACACCCAGGCGGATTGCGAATAATCTAAAGGTAGAGTGATATAAGCCTCAGAAAACACGATATCTGTACTAATCCATTGTAAGTTGCACTGCTTTGAATTAGCGGCGCCGGATGAATTGTTCCTTAGTGTCACTGCAAAGGTACTCTGACTAGTTATAGAAGTATTTTAATCAGAGCATCCTCTAATACCCACAACTTACAGCTTGTTGGATAGAGTTGATACTGGGTGACAAAAAAAGGTGTCTTTTTATGACTAGCTGGTTTATATATGACTGAAGTGAATGTACTAGAATATAGGCTTGAAGTACAAACAATACAGGGCCTTTTAAGAGGAAACTGACACAATAGCTTCATAAACTTTCCACATTATGTAAGAGCACTGTCATATGCTTTATCACGTGGCGTTTCACCTTCCTTCAACTATATATAGGCCTTCACTTTCTATACCTTCACTTACATAAAAGCAAGTCTTTTTGACCTAAATTCTTATATGTCCTGCTGTGTGCTCCAACTCGTGACAGTTATAAGCCCAGCTTCTACCATTGCTATTTACTCTTTTACTATAACTCATTAACCCTCTACAAAAAGAGCAATAGGAAATCAAGACTAAGGAGTACATTCTTCTCTCGCCTATCATCACTCAGCAAGTAAAGAGCACTCATGTAGTAAATTCTTAGATTACAAACACAGGTACCCCAACTCTTTTACTAAACGCACAAATAAACATAAGCCTTAACAGTTAACTAGCAACAGCTTAGCAAATTATTAGATCCTTAAGAAGAATATGGAACCAAGCGAGGCCTTTGTCAGGATTACAGCTCGAATCAAATACTGCAACGTCCTCAATAGAGGAAGGGGCAGCAGCAACAGCATACGCTAGGACGAAGAATAGCAAGCGGCCTACCTCTGCGCCTGTGCCTACAGCATACCTAAGATTAAAGGACCAATCGCGGCAATTAACTTCCTGGGTGCAGTTTAAGTCCGACTTGCTCCTAACTAGGGAGACCGCAAATACAAAACGTCCATAATAGACCTCAAGTTAGGCAACCCAACTAACTCAGTTATTGAGCTAGGGAGAACGTTTTACACGATTATAACTATGACTTAATCTGCCTAAAGAAATCACCTTTCTAGGGCAGAGCTTATTTGATATTGACCAGACGCTCAGATAAAAACTCAAACGCAGCAGAGACTTCAGGCTCAAAGTGTCCAGACGGACGTAATCACCCGTGGAAGGTTTCAGACTGTGCCTACGTTGAGTACGCCCTGACTGGCAAAGTCGCCGACGGCCGTTTCAGAGCATCTGTGTCCTTGTCGAAAGGATACGTTCAGAAGATTCGAGAGGAAGTTGTGAAGAGAAAGTGGCAGAAAGTACGCCCAGAGCTGATTTCAAAGGGATGGTTGACAGCCGATGGCAGACTTCATCCCATGAATCGTGACAGAAACAACCTAGGCTGTCGTATCAACTAGGTCACTTCTCGTGCCGCATCGACCCATGTGTGATTCACTGATTATAGTGCAATGACCTCTGCCATACTGCTAGCTCTGCTCGCTTGTAGCTTTAACTCCAAGACTATCTTGATAATCGCTTAAAACTGAGCTCTAATGGATGGGTGCGCCGCACTAAGACTGATTTTCGGTTTTTGGCGAACCCTTGGGCTTACCAAGTTATATAATACATAGAAGTTAAATGAGAAGCAGAACACAGTCGATGGATTTCTAAAAGATTGGTGGCCTGAGAGCAACACTGATAAAAACCAGAGTATCGTTTGAGCTATGACGAGGAAGGTTGATGGGGAGGCCTCGTCAGAATGAATAATACTTATCATTTCTCAGAGGATGTTTCTATGGCTTGCATCTGAGGATGAACATCTTGTAAAGCTTATTATTTCTAATAAAGCTCTGCTGCTTAACATTTTAAGTACTTTAAGATTGCCTTGGTAGCGATGACCCTACTACTACTATTCGTCTTGCAAGTTTCTGCCGATTTGACCACTCCTGTCTGAAGCCCGCGGCGCTCTTACCCACGATGGCCTGCTTAAGATGGGGCAGAGTTTCATACCGGTGCACTTGGGGGCATGGTTTACACCGCCGCACTCTCCAATATCTAAGTAATACTCTATTCCAGTTACTAAATTGTCGAATGAAATATACAAGGGCTCTGAGTTGATGATTAGTTGTTCTTTCTGCTATGATATCTGGAGTATAGTTCTGGTTCTACTGGAATAGTAAATAATAGAGCCCCTGGGTCCTCTGATCTGTGGCGCGGCGGCATTGATGAGCTTTGTAGGTAGGATTGTGTGCTGGCGTCGAGTCAAATCAATGCTGAGACTGTTGACATCCTGCCATGGAAATGACAAGAAGAACTGTGTGATCATATACATCCATGTAATGCCACAGTGGGATCTCCCGTTAAGTACTTTGTAGATTATGTTACGTTGGTTGTATATTCTGTCTGTTGACGCTGTCTACAGAAATGAGCTGGGGAAAAAAAAAGAAAAAGTTTATTGGGTGGTATGGATGCCGTGCCGTGATAGGAGAGGGCGCAGTCCCGCATGCCAAAGTCTACACATGTCATGTTCCGGGGCTTGTCCGTCTTGGGAACTAGTGCGCGCCACAACACGAAAAGACCGCAACCCCACAGAGATGATGTACCTCGTTAGTTAAGAAATGCAGCGGGAAAAGAAAAAAGCAAGGGGAGATATGCAGCACATCTGACAACTGGAGGCTCAAGCAAAGGATGATGAATCATCTAGTGACCCAGTGAGATGTTGTCTCCATTGCGAGAAACGAAGAGCAACAAGTTCGTGGAATAGCTCTGATTGCTGACTCCACTGAAGATGCTGTGAAGTAAGGAGATGAAGATATCGGGGAGTTTAAGTTTGCGGTCCCAAGTCGTATTAGCTGGCCATTGACGACCTCAGGACATCGGAATCGGTGAGGTCTGAACAAGGTTATCTCATCTACCCTTAGATCGTTGGGCTGGCATGGACGGCTTTGCTCTGACCGGGTTCTACGTTATGGAGTCCTTTCTCAAGAATTCTCAAATCCTCCACAGACTACCGGTACTACAGAGCCCGAATTTGGGGTGTCATGGTTGAGGAAGAGAGTGAGTGGCTAGCTGCCCGAGCACTCAACTCGGCGTGCCACCCAGCTCGGCTCGGTTTTGGAGTGGGGTAAATGCGATGATCTTTCGTAAAATGCTACGGTGACACGGTGCCACAAACAGGCGAGGTAAGCTGCACGGGTAACCGAAGAGGCCTGTAGTGTGGCCAGCCAATATGAGTGTGTTTTCGGCGAAGGCGAGAGCGAGGCAATGCCACGCAAGCTCCAGTCAGATCTATTCCGGTTGCTTGACCCTATGCAGTCCTTGCTGCCCATTTCATCAAGTTTGGGAAGATCAAGGAGTGGACGAGGCGCAGAGCGATTCTAATCATCATAGCAAACGGCCCTGAGTCCCACCTAACACGCCTGCAACACAAGTTTCTAGTTACACAACTTCGATAGTGTGTACGCGACTTTTCTATCGCCATACTGGCTTTCGTTTCTGTGGTTGAAAGGGGTGGACCGGCCCCTACGTTTCCCGGGTCGAGCTACAGGAGAGTCAAGATGGTCCCGCATGGGTCAACCCTACTCAGCCCACCAGTTGCAAATTAACCTGGCTAGCGACATTGCTAGCGTCATATCTAATCAATCAGATCATCTTATCTGATCACACTTTGCACTGCAAACTGCATCGTGACTGGCCACATTGCCCCCTTGCCGGCCCACGGGGGGGGGGGGGGGTTTACATGGTTCCATTGCTCCATTGCTCCATGGCTCCAGTGCAAAATTTCTTCCTCCGTCCGGAGGACAGGACACCCTGATCGTCACCCGAGCCGATCTGTACGCTCCTCTTCCTGGTCGTAAACCCGCGCTGGTCAAGCGCCGGAATCGGCCACTTCCCTTCTCCTCGCCCATGTTCGCATGTGCCGCTCTTGACAACGAAAGCCGGTCGATTCTGAAATTTCCCCCTGTTAGCAAGAGGGGGGCGCAGATTCCTGCAGCGTCCGCGTGTATCCGCAGTCAGTGAGGGGGGGGACAAAAAGAGACCCCGGCCCAACTTGCTTGTCTTGTCTTCTCGTTCCCTCGAAAGGTGTTCTCGAACTTCATTCCACCACCCCAACCCTCTTTCGTTAACCCCCTCCCTCCCTCCGTCCGAGGTGATCGCTGCCGTATCTTTCCGCTGGACTCGTTCGGCTAGGACACAGCAAAGGGGTCCGAGTAAGAACACGCGCCACAGCCAACAGGCTACTTGGGACTCTGATCAGATCTGATAATCGGTGACGATCCAAAGTATAACAAGATGGCGGCACTTGAGAAGCAGGAGCCAGAGCAGGCAGCTCCTCCAGTGACCGAGAAACCCGCAAAGCAAGAAGAGGCGAAGGAAGAAGAACCCAAGGGCATGCCGGTCAGTCTTTCCCAGCCGCTGTGCCTGCGCTGTGCTGCACTGGCTGCAGGCGCCTTGGCCTGTACCGGGCCGTCCCGCATCTCTCTGGAAAACACCAAAGGATCTCGACAGGCCCGCGCGCAACAAGACAAGACGCCGCCCAGTGCAGAGCGTCGGCATATCAACTCCCCTCTATGCATCACTAACGTGTCCGAACTCAGTTCACCAAGGAATTCTTCACCTTCTTCCGCCTGTTGTTTGCCGCCAACCCGACATGTCTCGATTACTTCCTCATCATCTTCGGAACCATCATGGCCATCGCTGCTGGTGTGCCGTTCCCCCTCCTGGGTGTCCTCTTTGGCCAGCTGGTTGACAAAATGAACGCTGCCACCTGCGCTGCCGATGGGACCAGCGACATCGACGCGTTCGTGTACGAATCTGCCATCAACCAGAAGGTCATCCAGATGGCCTACGTCGGCGCCATCGCGTTCGTTGCCATCTACAGCTACATTCTCTCGTGGAGCATCATCAGCCAGCGCCTCGCCCAGCGCATGCGCACGCAGTACGTGTCTGCTCTGCTGCGCCAGCCGCCCTCCTACTTCGACAAGCGCGCCGCCGCCGGCGAAGTGTCTAGTCGCCTCCACGGTGACATCACGGCGATCCAGTCCGGCACCTCGGAGAAGGTGGGCATCCTCATCTGCACCATAAGCTTCTTCGTCACCGTTTTCGTCATTGCGTTCACGAAGCAGCCCAAGCTAGCCGGCATGCTCGTTTCCATGCTCCCTGCTTACATGCTCTCCTCCTTCCTCGGCGGTGGTTTCATCGCGAAAAACACCGGCTACATGACTGAGGCGATTGAGAAGGCTTCGTCCATTGCGTCTGAAGCTCTGTCTCACATCTCCGTTGTGCAGGCCTTCGGCGCTGGCCCGCGTCTCGAGGCCAAGTTTGCCGACCACATGATCATTGCCCGCAAGGCCGGCATGAAGAAGGCTGGTGTTGCCGCTGTCCAGGCTGGTCTTCTCTATTTCATCGCCTACGCCGGAAACGCTCTTGCATTCTGGCAGGGCAGTATCAAGATTGCCGACTCTATGGCCGGCCGTGGTGATGCCACAGTGGGCGAGATCTACGCGGTTGTTTACCTACTCGTTGATGGTCAGTCTCCCTCGATATTCCATCGAGTCGCATCATGGTTTCGGCAAAAATGACTAACACTTGCTTTCCGCCTTAGCTTGCGTCATGCTTGGCTCCATCGCCCCTTTTCTCCCCTCTTTCCGGGGTGCTTCGGCTGCGTACCAGCGGCTACAGGAGGACATTGAGGCTCCCTCGGAAATCGATGGAACCTCTGAGGAGGGCAAGGTTCTGCCCCTGGACGACCCCAAGGGCATCGTGCTCCGCGACGTCACTTTCGAGTACCCATCGAGGCCCGGCCAGCCTGTTCTGCGCAATGTCAATGTCGAGTTCCCCGCTGGCAAGTACACTGCTGTCATCGGTCTCTCGGGCAGCGGCAAGTCCACCATCGCCGCCCTCCTTGCCCGTCTCCAAGACCCGAATCAGGGAGAAATCCTCCTCGACGGCCACGATATTCGGGAGCTCAATGTGCGCAGCCTTCGCAGCTTCATCAGCTTCGTGCAACAGGAGCCCTCACTCCTCGATCGATCGATTCTTGAGAACATTGCCCTCGGCCTCATCAACTCGCCCAAGCCAGAGCACCAGCGTTTGAGACCCTTCCTCAGCGGCGGCCAGTTGGCCGAGCTGGCATCCAAGGGCAAGGACGCTTTGTCATCCGCCAACAACTATGGTCCCGAGATCCAGGAGATTGTCGACCTCGTCCGTCACGCTGCCGAGCAGGCCGATGCCGCCACCTTCATCAACCGCCTCGACGATGGTTATGGCACCTCGGCCGGTCCTAGTGGCAGTCTCGTCAGCGGTGGCCAGCGCCAGCGTATCGCCCTCGCTCGAGCTCTGATCCGCGACCCCAAGATTCTGGTGCTGGATGAGGCAACTTCCGCCCTCGACTCTGCCAGTGAGAAGCGCATCCAGCGTGCCGTCGAACAGGCTGCTACAGAGAACCGCACCATTGTCTCCATCGCCCATCGTCTTTCCACGATCCGTAACGCGGACAGCATCGTCGTCATGGAGGCCGGTCAGGTGGTCGAGCAGGGTACATACACCGAGTTGATGGCGCGCGAGGACGGCGCTTTTGCCCGCATGGCCAGGCTACAGACGGTGGGTACCGCTGATCGTGCGCCCGATGCCGGCTCTGCCTCTGGCGACTCCCTCGATTGCTCTACTCTCAAGGGTGACCATGTTGTCGACGAGAAGTCCAATGGGCCCGAAGAGCATGTTGCCACAAAGAGCTTGAAGAACGTCAAGTTCAGTGACAAGGAAAGCGACGCCGAGGAAAAGAAGGAGTCCGATATCGCCGGCCTGGATGATGTGAAGCCTTACAGCACCGTGATCAAAGGTCTTGTCCGACTCGTCAGACCCTCCTTGGCCTGGTTGGTTGTTGCCATCATCGCTGCTACCATTGTCGGTGGTACCTTCACAGGCGCTGGTCTCATCTTTGGTTACACTGTCGGAGCTCTTAACCCCTGTGCCAGCACCGCCGAGCGTATTCTGTCCATGGGACGCTTCTTTTCCGGTCTCATGTTTGGCCTTGCCTCTATCGAGCTCTTCGCCAACTTCTTCGCCTGGTCCGGCTTCGGCGTCGTGGCCGAGAAGCTTCTCTACTCCATTCGCGTCTTGTCTTTCCGCTCCTTGCTGGACCAAGACGTTCAGTGGCATCAGTCCGAAGGTCGCACCGCCGACGGTCTGCTTTCCATTATTACAAAGGACAGTGCCGCCATTGGTGGCTTCAGTGGTTCTACCGTCGGTACTGTGTTCGCCATCTGCGTGAACATCCTCGCCGGCGTGATCCTGTCTCACATCATCGCCTGGAAGATCGCTGTTGTCTGCCTGGTCACCCTCCCCATACTTCTGGGCTCTGGTTTCATGCAGCTGCGCATGCTGGCTCGCTATGAAGAGCGTCACTCGGCTGCCTTCTCGACCGCCACGTCGGTGGCGACCGAGGCCGTACAGTCCATCAAGACGGTAGCAGCCCTCTCCCTCGAGAGCCAGGTGATGGATAACTATGCTCAACTTCTCGCTCCGCCTCAGAAGCAGATGGTCCGCGCATCGGCTTCCACCAACATCTGGTTGGCCATCTCCAACACCACCGGCATTTTCGTCAACGCTCTGGCCTACTGGTGGGGTACGCAGCTCATCATGAAGGGCGAATACACTCAGACCCAGTTCCTGATCATATTGATGGCGATGCTCATCAGCGCCCAGCTGTGGGGTACCATGTTCGCCCTGGCTCCCGAGTTCTCGCGTGCTCGTACCGCCTTGTCCCGTATCATGTCCGTCATCAACCTCGGCAAGAACGACGATCTCAGCAAGACTGGTACCGAGCAGAAGCAGATTGTCGGGGACTCCAAGACGGAGCAAGACATCGAGTCTACCGCAGAAGTCAAGACCAAGAGACCCAATGCGGGCGGCGTCAAAGTCACCTTCAACAACGTTTCTTTTGCCTACCCCAGCCGTCCCGACATCAACATCCTCGACAACGTTTCCTTCACCCTCCAGCCTGGTCAATTCTGTGGTCTAGTTGGACCTTCTGGAGCCGGAAAGTCGACCATCATGAACCTTGTCCAACGTCTCTACTTTCCCTCCCAGGGCCAGATTCTCATCGATGACCACGATATCGCCAACCTTCCCAGCTCCTTCAGAGACACCGTTGCCGTCGTCCCACAGGACCCGACCCTCTTCGACGGCAGTGTTCGCTTCAACGTCGGTCTCGGCTCGTCGCCCGACACCGAGGCTACCCAGGCCGAGATCGAAGAGGCCTGCAAGCTGGCCAACATTCACGACGTGATCATGGCTCTTCCCGAGGGATACAACACCGAGTGTGGCCCCTCGGCGTCCCGCCTGTCTGGCGGCCAGAGACAGCGTTTGGCTATTGCCCGTGCTCTCGTCCGCAAGCCGCGCCTGTTGCTTCTGGACGAGAGCACAAGTGCCTTGGACGCCGCCAGCGAAGCGGCTCTCCAGGAGGGTCTCGAGCGTGCGTCCCGCGGTACAACTGTGTTGGCCATCACGCATCGCCTGCACACCGTGCACAAGGCCAACGTGATTTTGCTGGTCGAAGGCGGACAGATCGCCGACAGCGGAACACACAAGGAGCTTATGGAGAGGAGGGAGAGCTACAGGGTCAACGCCATGCAACAGATGCTGCAGTAGAGAGAGCCGTTGAGTGATTTGTGGTTATTGATTCGTAATAGAAGGGATAAAAAAAAGTACGTTGATTGCACGGATGGCCACACTGGCTCCGCAAACAGAGAAGTGCTGGATTGGCATCAAAATCTGTATAGTCATATAATACCTTAGCATTGCATTCGCTTCATGTCGTTAGTGCATATAGAAGAAACCAGGATAACGATACTTCCAACACCAGGACAAACCGCCCAGTGTAGATACTATTCAAGTTTGCTATTTCTCAGTAACATTGACAACAGCAGAATACAAAGTTCACTTCGTTTACCGGCCAGCATTGAATATTTGACTAGGAGCTGTAGCAAGCCACTCAAACAAGCCTCAACACAACCCACATCTGTATGACATCAGCACAACGAGGTGCGCAAAAGGAAAAACGCATGTGAGACCAGGAGTCCCCAGTCATCAAGAATGGTACTAAGAGTGACGATGCAACAGTGTTCGTACCTGTACTAGGGGAACATACAACTACAACTTCATTTCTCAGGGCACGAATACCTAATCGATTCACTATACTGTTACTTGTACTTGTTCGTACCTGTAGAAGCGGACCGTTCCTTGCCACTACTCCATGTATACGCAATTGCGTCCCGCTGAGGGTGTGCTCAAAGCAGGCCTAAAAAGGAATACGGACAGTTTTGGAGAAAAGCTTAAACAGTGACACGGGATGCATATCTCAATTCCAAGATGCAAATCCCGGTATCCGCACACACACACACACACACACACACACACACACACACACAAATCTTGCATCTCCCCCTCCTCGGTCATGAGTCCACGACATAAGCACACCCAGCCGTTTCCGCCGTTCCCGCTATCTTGCGCTAGGCTAAGCCACACTGACAGTGCGTGGAACGCAAAGCGCGGCCGGCTTGACCTCCTTTTGGGTCCTTAATAACACTTAAAGGTGTTAGGTATTGGCACCGGCAGTTCGATACCACGCCACGAAAATCTGCCTCCCTCCCGCGCCAGCCCTATTTGGTACTGGTATGTGACCCGTCAATCGTGGCCAGTAGAGAGTGTTTCGGCTATTTGGAGCCGCCCCTCTCTCTCGGGAGATTTGCCTTGGGAACAACCGACCGCCGGGAGCAAAGCTTAGCAGAGAAAACAGAGACTTCTCAACCCCCGGGCGGAGCGCCACAATGACGTACAGATGCTATAAGCAGCCGCGTCTTCGTGGCGAATCAACAAACGGCGGGATAGAGGTCCGAACGGCGAAAGGGGAAGGGAAAGGGAGAAAGGTAAAAAAAAAAAAAAAAAAAAAAAAAAAAAAAAAGGTTGTAACTGTAACGCAACGGGGAGCCGTGGCACAGGAAAAGCAGGCCGGACAGATTGCGACATGCGAGGAGTTCATACACACACACACACACACCGCCAGATGCCGGGTTCTCTATCAAGCAAACAAGTCACAAAGACTTAGGACTCATCTGACGCAACCCCCCCCCCCCCCCCAAAAAAGGGGGTGTTGACTCACTGTGCCAGGGTCCATCGCGTTCCCGCCGGCTTTTTTGCTCAACAGGTTTGATGAGCCGTGTGTTGACTGGACTGTCTTACTGGTACGCTCATCCAAAACCCCGCGTGATTTCCCGCCTTCCGCTTTACGTAGTAGCTAATGACGGGCTTCGACTAGCCCCCTAGTGTCACCAGAGCTCAGAGGGTCGATTTAAGTGGTCTGATGATTTGGTGATCCAACCGGCACCACCGGGGGTTCCTCCGTGAGTCCCGAGAGAGGACTGCTAACGGGAGAGAGATTAGAAAGCAATCCGGTTCGCGGCTCCATCACATCTTTCTTGTTATTGTTGACTGGCGCCGCCTTAGCCCCCGGTACACGGATGCTCGAAACGAGAGAAAGGAGGTCACCATGTATAAAGGACTTTACCTGCCCATCGGCCCGTTCCTCTACCCTCCTGTTCCTCTGAGATGCACACTGTGATACCCAGCTGTTTCTCTCTCTCTCTCTCTCTCTCTCTCTCTCTCTCTCTCTCCCCTCCCTTGCCCGTGGTAGTCTCACCTCCAGCTACGGGCGCTACCAAACCCCTCCCCCTCTCGGTGTCCATCCCTACGTCATCGTATCACATCATTCACAGCCATGTCAGCAGCAACAGCGCCAGCGCCAGCCATTGCGCCACCGCCAGCGCCGGTGGAAACGCCCAACGTCGGCGACAACAGCAGTCCGCGGATCAGCGAGACGTCGGACGATGTCTCGCCCTTGAAGCCCGCCACCCAGGCACCGTGGAGGAAGAAGACCAAAACGACCACGGCGGCGGCGGCGGCGGCGCATGGGGACAACAACAACAACAACAACAACAACAACAACAAGGCCGAGATTAACCGCACGGCGACGCCCAAGCGCTCGACGACGTTCTGGAAGTCCTTCAAGTACCTCCGCGACCTGACCCCCAAGCAGGTCGACGACTTCATGGCGTCGTACGTCATCTACAACCTCGACTGGGCCGACGAGGCCGCCATGGTCGAGGCGCTGGGGCCCGACTACCGGTCCCGCGTCGGCGACTGCCTGCAGTCGTACTACGGCGTGCTGAACCACCTCTGCGCGCTGGGCGACGTCGAGAAGATGTACATCCCGCCCCTGATGGACGCGCGGGCCTCGGTCCTCGACAACCAGATGCTGTACGAGGAGTCGGTCGCGCGGGACATCGGCCTGGGGCCGGGCGACCGCGTGCTCGACCTCGGCTGCGGCCGCGGCCGGGTCGCGGCCCACATGGCCGCCGTCAGCGGCGCCCTCGTCACCGGCCTCAACATCGACCCGAACCAGGTCGCCCAGGCCGACGAGTTCAACGCCCAGCTCGGCCTGCGCAACCGGTTCACCGTCCACGACATGAACGACCTGCCGCTGCCCTTCCCCGACGGCTCCTTCGACGCCTTCTACCAGATCCAGGCCCTCAGCCTGTGCAAGGACCTCCCCGCCCTGTTCGCCGAGCTCCGCCGCGTGCTCCGCCCCGGCGCCAAGCTTTCCCTGCTCGACTGGGTCAGCCTGCCCGCCTACGACCCCGCCGACCCGGAGCACGCCGAGCTGATGCGGCGGACGAAGCCGCTCATCGGCGCCGTGGGCACTCCGACGCCCCAGACCTTCGAGGCAGCCCTCGCCGGCGCCGGCTTCACCGTCCTCGTCTCCGACAACGCGAGCGTCGGCGGCCTGCAGGCGCCCCTCATCGACAAGGCCGACGTCTACTTCCGCAGCCTACGCCAGGTCATCCTCGGGCTCGTCAAGGTCCGCCTGCTGCCGCCCCATTTCAAGACACTCATCAACCGCCTGTGCCTGGATGGGCAGGCCTTCGTCAAGATGGACACCATGCGGCTGGTGACAACCAGCTACCGCATCATCGCGCAGAGAAATTAGAGCTTTGGAGAGCACACGGGGGGTCATGACATAATGGAACAACATAGAGCTTTTCTCTTTTTTTCTCTCCTTTTTTTTCTCCTTTTTTTTTCTTCCTTGGTTTTGGAGCTGTAGGTGTTTGGACAATGGCACGATGGCGCTGCAACGATACGGCATGCAACTAAGGTTATGGTTCCTTATCCGGGCTCTATAGTTTGGTATTCGTGCTGGGTGTTGAAGGGATAGACAAATCCACGAAATTATTAATCATAATTGGGTCGCGAGAACGCCATGTCCGAATTCTCTCACTGATCCAGACCTCGACAATTACTTTCCTCAGGGTTCAACAGTATAGCATCGAGGATCAACGTCTTGTACTGGAACAAATCTCAAGACCATCATTTCAAGTCACGCCAAAAGGGACAAATGTTTGATATGGAACGTCAAATTCTGTCCATGTCCAAGGTCTCTTTTAACAGGGTATATCAAGAATCAAAATCACGGCCAACGGCCCCCATCCTCACAGCATTAAACAATTATTGTACGTTCGCGCGTTGACACATAGGCATACCACGTCGTCTTTCATCCATTCATTTTATTTACCAGTCGGCCCCAGGGAGGGCAATCGAGGAGCCGATGGCACCGCCACTGACACCGCCGAGCTCGATAGCGGCGTTGATGACACCTCCAAAACCCTCACCGGCGATGAGGCCGGCGGCGGCAGCGAAGCAGTGGGTCTCGAAGCTCTTGGGGGCGTACTTCTTCCACGCCCAGGCGACGACAGCGCCGGCCATGATGGCGTTGGCGTAGCCGCTGTCGGGCCCGAGGACCCAGGCGACACCGATGGACATCCAGTTGGGGAGGTAGTCGCGGTACTTCATGCGGGGGCCAACGAGGTAGAAGTTCTTGACAACAGCCTGGAGGGCGCAGATGACGCCCATGACGATGGTGAAGATGGCGCAGGACCTGGGGATGGGCAGCTTGGGCATGGTAACGGCCTCAGCCACGGCCCTCCAGGCCAGGACGGAGGGGGCACCGAAGGCACAGGTCTCCTCGGGGCCAATCTCCTTCCAGATGCAAGGGTAGGCGGCCATGAATAGGACGAAGACGCCAGGGGCGAGAAAGACGCTGACAGCGGCACCGATGGCCTGGGCATAGAACTGCAAGTGGGGAGGGGTCTTGAGGAGGAAGCCAACGCGGAAGTCCGAGACCAGGGCGGTGGCGACATCAGCGGTACCGGAGGCAATACCACCGGCAACAAGGTTAATGCGCTGAGCGGCCTTGATATCGAGGCCCTGGCCGGAGGTGACACCGCCGAAGACGAGCTGGGAGGCCTTGGCGGAGGCGGTGAGGGGAGTGCAGTCGGTGACGGCACCGCCGTGGATGCTGAGGAAGGCGAAGAGGAGACCCAGCAGGCAGGCGAGGATGGCGAGGCCGGCGTTCATGTGGAACTGGACGTGGCAGACGACGCAGGCGACGGCGGTGAAAATGAGGGTGCCAGTGGCCCAGACCCAGATGGGAACCTGTTGGCTCGGGGGCGCAAAGTCCTCGACGAGGCTGTCCTGGGCGTCGGCGAGGCCGGCGTGCTTAGCGATGAAAGCGTTGTGCTTGCCGCGCGACTGCATGCGGTTGTTGATGCTGCGGGCGCCAGAGCGGAAGGCGAACTTTGCGCCGTCGACGAGGACGCCGATGTGTAGGACAAACTCCACCATGGAGTAGACGACGAGAACCATGACACCGGGCCACAGCATCCAGTAACGGGGGGACGGGACCCAGTCAGGATCGTCGCTGACCTTCATGACGCCGAAGTTGACAATGTCGGACCACTTCTCGCTATTTGGGTATCTCTTGACGCCAACAGCCTCGCCATAGTGGACGAGAGTAGGTCCGATGACACCCCAGGCGGCAACGGTTCCAAGCCACCACGAGAGGGCGGCGTTGATGCCGACGAGCATACCGGAGCCGAAGAAGGCGGGAGTAAGCTGGATGTACCAACCTGAATTTTGTCAGCTAGACGTTCAAGGGAGGCAAAAGTGTGAAAGAGACATACCCCAGTTGTTGATGTTCATGGCCCAGTTCTTGTAGCCACTCCAGACGTAGAACCACAGGAAGATGTACCAGTTGTGCAGGATACCGTCGGCGTACTGAGAGACGACTATGTGAACGAGGGCACCGGCAAAGCAGATGCCCAGTGTCTTGATCTTTTTGGCGGCATCGGCGGCACCGCTACCGACGGCGTGCATGGAGCGGATGGTCAGAGCAGTTGCCGTAGCTGGTTCGCTCAAAGTCAGCTTCGGTCCCACGAGATATTCAAGCGAATCGAGCTCGGGCCGGTAAGAAACCTGCCCGGCTCCCTAAACTTTGGTGGTGAATGTGACTTACGAGTCGGGAAGACGAGGTTCAACTCCCTGGCAACGTTGATGATGAAGAACTTGCGCAGGGGAACGGCGGCAAAGAGACCGAAGAAGGCGCAGGTGACGGTGATGGTCAGGATACGGCCAAAGTCCTCGCGGGGGTTCTCAGACATGAGGTTGAGCTGGTACATGGCGGGAAGGGCGGCTACGAAGAGACCCGACATACCACCGGCACCAGTGGCAGCCGCCTGGATGATGGAGCTAGTTCCATGTTAGTTGCTTGTGTAACATCGGCGAGCAGAGAGGGAGGGGCAAATATTCTTACTTTTCCTGGGGGCCAAAGGTGCCTCCGATGAGTGGCGCATTGGGCAGAGACTTGGCCAGAAGCTTGACAATGGCGTAGCCAAAGATGGCACCAAACATGGTCGCAGCGAAACTGAACTGGTGTTGATGTTAGCCATTGTCCAACATATGCGGAGGATTCGGGACTGATTAGAACATACGCCAGTCTTGAGACCGAGGTAGACGTTGGAGGCGTTCACGAGGGAACCCAGGATGATTCCGACAAGGACGGCGCGGAAGGTCAGGGGGTTTCCCTCGGGCTCGATGCCCTTGACCTCGGGGAAGGGGACGAAGAGGTCGGTGACGTCCTCATCGCCGCTGATCTCGCTCTTGAGCTCGTCGTTCTGCTCAGAGTAGCGGTTCTTCTCGATGATGAATGTCGGGTCGTGGGCAGGATCCACCGAGGGAATCTGCGTCTCGGCCTGGATGGGCCCCGGGGCGGGGTTCGTGGCCACCATTCTGACGAGTGTCTGATTGCCTTGCCGGTAGTAGAACTGACAGGCGACTAGTCGACCAGAATTTGACTGAGCTTCCTGGCTGGCTCTGGGTAAAAGAAAGACCTGGCTTGGATGTCGGGTGGGAAGGAGACCGGTCCCAAGGCCAGAGATGGCGGAAGTCTGCAGTCTTTTTAAACATTTGCATCGATTGCCCAGGTCTTGGTAGAACCACTACCTTCGCTCGTCCCAGCCAGGCCTCCGGGACCCAACATGCAGAGGGCAAGGGTCTAGCAGGGCCATGGAACTTTTGCCTCATGCCATGGGGCCGGAGTGGCGGCTGAGGACCCATGAGATGGCATGGAGAGGCCGGTTCATTGCTAGGAACCAACAGTGTGGTAAAAGGCCAATTGTAGTTGGGCGGGCCGCCAAGACTGTTATCGACCAGCAGAAGGAGGGGGGCCAATGATGATGTCTTCGATTCTAACCCTCAGTTCCTGTCGCGCATAGCTTATTTGCTGGGTAATTTGCCAGGTTGCGAGGGCGATTTCAATCCCGCTCGATTGGCGGCGGCGACGCCGTGATGTGCCATTATTTGTTGCTCCTTGGAGTTGGGCTTCCGCCGTGCGGTTGAGCTGCCGACTTGCCTTGCTTGGTGATTTGCTCTGCTGGCTTTGTTACTTCCTCCTCAATCTTACAAAGTACCTAGTGTACTACCTACCTAGGTACCTTAGGTAAGGTGGGAGAAGGGCTCGTGAGCGCGTCTGGGCAGGCGCGAGGAACGCGCTATGGATGGCCGGCCGGTCGTTGTGCAGCTTCCTTATCAGGAGAGAAGGAGCCGGGCGGCGGTGAGCCCCACCTTTTTCTGTGAGCTCCCGGCGACCACCTCCCGAATCGGTCATGTTGACCCTGCCGCCAAGTTACCGCCAAGACGTCTATATATTGATTGTTCTTTCCTCCACACACACACAGAAGTACAGTACTAGGTCAAAAGTCTGTTTACAGCAACAAGGACAGCCAGTCAAAAGCTACAGTAGGTGGTTAGGACATAAGGTCTTTAGTGACGCACTGTGAAGTGACCTCCAGCTACTAATGGGTCCTCTCTTTAACTCTTCTTTGGGTTATCCTTTTTGCTGTAAACAGACTTTTGACCCAGTACTGTACCTCACTTTCCGTGCAGTGCAGGTGCTCTCAGCCTGCCTGCCTGCCTGTTTGCCCACCCCACCTTCCCACCTTCCTTCCCCCTCAGCGCAGAGAGGCAAGACAAGTCAAGCACTCTTGGTGCTCTTGGAGGCAAGAGCAGCCAAGCACTCTGGCCCCTCACCAAGACTTTCAAAAGTTCAACGGACAGGTACTTTTGCTGCCCAGACAGACTTGGCGACCTCGGCCTGATCTCTTGACTCTATTGGCAATGCTTATGCTACACGACCATGTGCATGTGTCTCGTCTCGTCTTGTCTCTCCTCTCCTTCCGTTTTTTTTTATTTCTTTTTATCTTACGCGGTATCTCGTGCGGTATTGGGAAACGCGGCAGACAGCTGGCTGACTGAACTGATTGAACAGAACCGAACCGACAGACCTGAGTCTTCCGCCTCTTCTCCAAACACACCGATCGATGCCATGCGCCGCCGATTGCGGTGGTGATGAGTAACGGTTATTACACCAGTATCCGTATACACTCTGTCTCCATGCTTCTGGGTTGGTCCACCTCAAGCGAGCGGCCACATGCATCGCCCGCACGGAGCTACCGCGGCGGTCGACGCGACCTCTTGACCTCCCCCGGAATCTAACCTCCTCTCTCTGCGAAACATGACCCTGCGCCGCCTGCCTGCTTCCTCCTGCGGCCGTTTCGAACAAACTCGGACTATGTCCTGGCCCATGCTCAATGCTCAGATGGCAGTTTCCACTTATTCCGTCCCATCGGGTTCCCGACACACTCGTGGCCTGACAGCGAATGGCCGATCTGGTCTGGTCTGGTCCGGTCCTCTCTGAACACTCCACCAGGTCCAACAGCAAAGAAGGGACAGCAGCCAATGCGTTGCTCATATGTTATCGGACACTGATTCTTCTTAAAGTGGCTCCGCCGGTTGCCTAGACTCTGGAGGCGAGGTTGGTTGTCCCACAGCTACCAAACTCGGTTATGCGCCAAGATGGCCCCGCCCGCCTGGTTAAAGAGCAACAGGTCAGCGCGACGAAGACATTCCTCTTCGGGCATTACTTGGCGTGTGGGATCATGACAAAAGTCTTTTCCACCACCAAAATTCGTATGGGTGGGAAGGATAAGGGGAGGGACTTTTGCCAGTTTTGCCAGCCTTTCAGCGTCCATCCTTCTATCAGACATATCCCCCTTCTGGAAAGCCTGACGGAAGTCCGCTATTCTCAGCCTCGCTTCATGTACTCTCTCGTTCGCTCAAGGAAACCACATGGTGACACGGTATTAGTTTAAGCAATGCCCATGTCCGGGGTGGTGCAGTTGTCACCCTGCTATCCAAGGCTAGGTTATTCATAACGTTGGCCTCATAAAAGGGCCTGCATCCGACATCACAAAGCTGCCTGCTAAATGGCGATTTCAGTCTTCGGTCGCCCCGCCACGGGTTCGTCTCATCACGCAAGGGGTTCGTTCCGCCTTACTCACCTCAAGGGATCTCCGCCGTGGCGACACGAAGACTAGCAAATTAGTTCTCCGGGACTGGCGAACGGATCTCCACAACAAGGGGCCCTAACGACCTACCTACCGCGGTGGCGTAAAGATGATTTAGCCTGGCCACCTGCTCATTGGTCGTCGATACGCCTCACACCCACTACGCCTTGTCGGGAGGAAGCGTGCACTCGTTGTCGGCGATTGGTCTACATGTCTATAGGCTTAGGACGAATGTTGGCATCCCTTGCGATACGCAAAGAAACCACTCTTCGCGGTGATTGGCTTATCTTGACGTGCGTTTAACAATCTTGGCTCTGACTAGTGTGCATATCAGCCGTGCTCGGTGGCGTTGCGCCATCATTCGAATAATCTAGAAAACTGCTGTTCCATTTTGCCATCCAAAGGTCTCTTTTTTCGGACTAACGAGCTTTCAAACGTCATCTTGACCATCTCGACCCAAGCGGGTTATCTTGATGATACCTGGGTCCTGATGACCTGACTTGGTGCCCTACACAACCAGCTTGACCCATGGCCCATTGTTCCCAACAGTCACATCTTTCTCGTCAGCAGCAAATCTCGGCGCCAAAGAGATCCAGTGACTTCGGCCGGATGTAGATGGCGGAAGCACATCATAAGGACTAGGTAGCCGGGAGGCCCCCTTGCCCAACATACTGTATTGCATATAGCGACAAGAGAACATCCCATACAGCCACGAATGATATAAGGCGTTGATTACTGCCCGTAATTAACAGAGCGGCCGTTGCGACACCTACATAAAATGATTCGGTAGTCGCGGTGTACTGATGAGCTGGACCTGCGTCATATTAGCTGCAAACTCGGATTCAACCAAGGTTCTCGCATCTCCGTCCTCGTGCAATTATAGCAATTCTAACTTTTGTGTCCATTTGGTGCTACTCTCGAAGGGCACATCACAAACCACGTCTCGTCAACATGGCTCACCCGACTTGACGAAATGTCTGCAACACCACAACCCCCCCCTTTCCTGTCTTGAGGAGAAACAGGGATGTGTTTGGGTCGCACACCGCACGCTCGCCTGACGACTCGACGACCCTTGGGAGCTGCCCACGGAGAAACGCCCGGGGAAGATTTGGGGATCGAGCGGCCGAAGCCACCGGGTGGAGGGGGACCTGCCGACTCCGGGTGCAACCCAGATCGTTCCCCGGAAGGAAAAAAGCGAAGACCCCCTCGACAGGAGCGAGACGTTACAGAGTTTCCTCGACAGACGCGCCGTTCAACATGGACGCAAACTGGCGTGTTTGTGCCATCACCGCATGGGTCATGTGTGCAGCCCAGAGTTTCGACGGCATGGTACGTGGTACGATTAGTCCTCTCACCTGACCAAGGCAAAAGACAATCTTTCGCGACTACTTACTTCCGGCGACGACAAGACGTCCGCTGCAGGTCCACCTCCCGGTGACCGTTACCGCATCGGCAGTATAGTCCTCGGAAGGCTTCCGAGTGACTCTGAGCATGCTGCTCAACCTTGGGATTGCCGAACGGACGCCTTTGGACTACGTTGCTCGCATATGCCTATGAATGCCCGAGCAGTTTTGATCTGTGTGATACCTAGTGCGCATCTGCTCCCCTCTGTCATGCTTGGCAAGGCAAGCACTGAGGCTTTTACATCCGGGCCTTGTGATGATGTGCGCCTGCGTCACCGGGCCTACAGTCACGGCCCTTGGGGTATGCGGTTGGGGTCACAATACATTGAGCGATGTTGGAGATGGAATCCCCAGTTGTCGGGAGCCGTCGGGAGGCCGGGAGAGTTCCTTCAGCCTGGGCCATCGATCAAGCAGATACCCCCATCGGCTCGAAGCGCCCACCGCAACGGTCCGACAGGAGTCGAGTCAAAGTATATGGCAGGTGGCCTTCCGCAGATCAGTACGGGTTCGGCAACATGCCCAGTAGGGCTTCGAGGGAGGGGTTTCTTATGAACAGAATGCCGACATTCAAGTGAGGCTGCCTAGACGAGCAAGGCCAGCTGGGTACCTTTTGCCTGCTTTGGACTGGCGCCCAGAACATCGCTTGCACACTGACCGTTTTCTACTGGTGCGAGTCCGAGCTAACAAGTTTGATGAACTGGTCTCTTGAGCAAGCGGGAACAGTCGAGTGGTGAAACCAGCAGTCCGGTATCACGAAGGAGGCGGAAACTTCTCTTGATCTTCCGATTGGGTTTTCGCTTGCGTTCCAGCAAGATTCATGTTGCAAAGACAACGTGAACATGGGATTGGAGCTATTATCGCCCCTGGCAATGCCTTGAACCTATGCAGGGCGCCTAAGCGGTATCACGGGTAGCCAGGCACGATCCTCGTTGTCAAGTCCGCCTTCTACATTTCCCTTTGCGTTTCAATCTAGGTCATTCCACGATGTATGGGTAAAGATATAAAGAGGCTTCGGCGAAGTTGATCGTGCTCCATCTAGACCACTGAAATGGATCATTATTTCCATGCCCAGTCCCTCGTAGCATTCAGATACCGCCTACTTCGTTGAGCAGCTCAGAAACCTATCAGACTTGACTTCTCATCTCGTAACCCTGAGCGCAACTTCGTTTGAAAGGCGCCATTGCCCAAGAAGCCCATCAGCAACACGGCACAATGCACGTCATACTCCATATTATCCTAACCATATTCACCCTCGGTACCAATGTCCAGTCCTCTCCAGCGGCCGCCAACATCCTCCCTGCCACCAATGGCGAGGTTGACGTCGCAGCCTACGCCTCCTCGGTGGAAGAGACCGTAGCCAGGAGCCAGATGAGTGATGCGGCGGGCCTACAAGCCACGAACGACCTCACGCTGTCAACAGCCGACGACAAGCCCACTTGGTCCCTATGGTGCCCGAAGAACAACTGGGTTTACTACTACAACTGGACGCCGTAGGTCTTTCTCGTTTCCTCGTTTCCGGGTCGAATCCTCCGGATTATCGGCCCTTGCTGACGTTTGCATCTTCTACAGCCTGGTAAACTTCATCTGTGAGCAGTATGGCGATTCCTTGGAGAATGGCTTCAACGCTTTGATACCCGAATCCAACTACATGGTGGACAGAGCCAAGTCCGTCACCCTTGGATGGAGCCCGATAGAGGGAGGCACCTGCAAAGGGACCTGTAAACAGGTCTTCAACACCATGCGCACCTCGAGTGGCTGTAAGTTGACGGTTCACTTGATCCCCCCCCCCAAAACCGTAACCCTCGACCCGTCCCGTCTGACTCGGACACGCAGGCAAGGCCGAAGAGTTCTGGATGAAGGAGATGATCAACCTGACATACGACGGGTGCGGAACGGCGTCCTGGAAATACCAGTATCAAGACGTGGCGCCGCTGAAGCACGACTCGGGGCTCTGCTGGGTGGAGAAGGACGAGGTCAAGACGTTTGAGCCGAAGGACGGCGTCTTTGAACGGTTCTGCTACGAGGCGCTCTACGACATCAGGACAAAGGGGAGCATGCGGTTCATGGACGCCACCCAGCGGATCGGGTACTACTGGACGGACTACAACCGGCGGGTGGCGTACCCGTCCAACGCGTCGAGGTACTACGACGTCGGCATGGTCCACATCTGGATCAAGGCGCCGCAGAACGTCATCCCCTGCCCGACCAAGGGCAGGTACGGCGACGACATGATCGAAGACGAGGTGAACGGGCTCACCGAAGAGCTGTGCGTGAAGCACCTCACCACGCTCCAGAACATGGACTGTAAGTTCCTTCTCGCATGGGTTTCGTAAGGCGACACGACTGCTGATCACGGCCTTTTCTTCTTACCTCACAGGCGCACAGCCAATGGGAACAAGCCAGGGCGGGCGGTACTGGGCTGATTGCTTCGAGTGGGGGATCGAGGCGAGCGGATACAATGCCAGGAAGATGTCCGGTTGAGGCACTGGTCTGTTGGGGCGAACCCGCGGGTTGGAAGCCGCCGGATTTTGCTGCGACCACTACGGGGGTTGTCGTTATGGACGTTGAGACAATCGGCAAGGCTGAGATAAGCAAAGAAGAAAGCCTGTCTGGCCAACATGCGAAGTGGTCGCGGGGAGGATACTCTTCTAGAGGTAATGGAGAACCCAAATTGAACAGCCATCCAGGTGGGCTTCTGATATTCAGGTCGATGTATGCACGGTTGTAGTAGAAGATATTGTCGATCTGTCGATGGACAGGGGCCAACGTCGTGCTCGGCCGAAGTGAAGGTCGCCCGCATCGCAAATACGGCCCAGGGCGCTGTGTAAGACCGACTTGGCGGTCTCAGAAGAAAGTGGAGAATTCTCCGGAAAAGGCGAGCGAGCGGTTACGGTTCAGGTTTACTGAAGAATACCTGTCTAGTAGCCGACGTTTGCCGAAGACGTTGAGCTAAGAAGCACTACGTTCAGCACAGTCGCTGCTGGTATGCTCGAACACGAAGATCCGATCAAGATGAGAAGATTGCGAGAGACAGCGATTGATTGATGTTCCTGTTCCTGCTCCTGTTCTTGTTCCTGTACACCACGTGACGTGGGTTCCAGTTCAAGCTTGAATCCAGACCCGAGGCTCAACCGTCAGCCGAGAGGACAAGAGGCGCTAGTGCCCAAAGAAGCATGGTGCCCCACGTTTCGTTCCTTCCCTTTCCGAGCCCAGCCATGCGACGGAGGAAGGAGGGAGGAGAGCAAGTCCAAAGTGATAGTGACAGTGGGTGGCGGGAAGGAACTGACTGTGGAAGCTCACAATGCTCTCTCTGTCTCCTTCCCGCGGATGCTGTTGTCGTCCTCCACTCTTCCGATAGTCCGGAAGAAAACGTGGTGGGGCACCGTATTCGCATTCCAGCCAGTCAAAGGCCTGCAACCAGAGAAACACTGGAGTCAAGCCACATACGAAATCCGTGGCAGAGTGCAGAGTATCCGTACAGAGGAGCAGCTACAGAAGATAAAAAAAATAAAAAAAATAAAAGGCTTTGCGCTGTTACCGGCCTGTACCGTAACCCGTTTCCGAACCCAGCTCGCCCGTGTTTGCCTTGGTTTTTGCGGCATTTGACCCGTCCAAACCACTGTAAAGAAACCACCTCCTCGAAATCCCACTCTTTTTCGATTCTTCCACTCTCCAACTCCTCCGATTCCCCGAACACATATCTTGCTCCGCGAATACCCTCACGAGGCACCTACGACCGCCACGATGCTTTCCCGAGGATCCGCCCGCACTGCGCAGGTATGTATCTGTCATTCCCGCGCCCAATTGAGTGTCCGATTGCCTCGGATATGAGGTGGCTTTTGTGTGTGTATGTGTGTGCATCGTGTCTGAAGAGGAGGATATCGAGTGGAAGAAGAGGAGCAGAATAATGGCACCCACGACAAACAACTGCACCAGGCGGCATTTGAGAACGAGAATTGGGCGACAGACAATTTCAACAGGAAGGATAGACGTCGGAAAAACACACGATGCACCCAACTTTGCAACCCCCCACATCCATACCAGACAAGACAGATACACCAAAACACACAGACTCGCGGCTAACGGTTAACCCCCCCTCGATAGATTCTGCGCACCGCGCAGCCCGCGCGCGCCTACGCCACGGTCGGCTCCGACATCTTCAAGCCCACCAAGTTCGGCGGCAAGTACACGGTCACCCTGATCCCCGGTGACGGTATCGGCGCCGAGGTCGCCGAGAGCGTCAAGACCATCTTCAAGGCCGACAACGTCCCCATTGAGTGGGAGCAGGTCGAGGTCTCGGGTCTCAGCACCAACACCCCCCAGAAGACCGAGGAGCTGTTCCGCGAGTCCGTCGCCTCCCTCCGCCGCAACAAGCTCGGCCTCAAGGGTATCCTGCACACCCCCATCGAGCGCTCCGGCCACCAGTCCTTCAACGTCGCCATGCGCCAGGAGCTCGACATCTACGCCTCCATCTCCCTCATCAAGAACATCCCCGGCTACCAGACCCGCCACGAGGGCGTCGACCTCGCCATCATCCGTGAGAACACCGAGGGCGAGTACTCTGGCCTCGAGCACCAGTCCGTCCCCGGCGTCGTCGAGTCCCTCAAGATCATCACCCGCGCCAAGTCTGAGCGCATCGCAAAGTTCGCCTTCAACTTCGCCCTCGCCAACAACCGCAAGAAGGTCACCTGCATCCACAAGGCCAACATCATGAAGCTGGCCGACGGTCTCTTCCGCTCCACCTTCCACCGCGTCGCCAACGACTACCCCACCCTCGAGGTCAACGACATGATTGTCGACAACGCCTCCATGCAGGCCGTCAGCAAGCCCCAGCAGTTCGACGTCATGGTCATGCCTAACCTGTACGGCGGCATCCTGTCCAACATTGGCGCCGCCCTCGTCGGCGGTGCCGGCATCGTTCCCGGCTGCAACATGGGCCGCGACGTCGCCGTCTTCGAGCCCGGTTGCCGTCACGTCGGTCTCGACATCAAGGGCAAGGACCAGGCCAACCCCACCGCCCTGATCCTGTCCGGCTCCATGCTCCTTCGCCACCTCGGCCTCGACGACCACGCCAACCGCATCTCCCAGGCCATCTACAGCGTCATTGCTGACGGGTAAGTCGAAGCCTAGACCGTCTTGTTTCGTACACGTAACAAGTGAACCACTAACAACCGCGCAGCAAGGTTCGCACCCGTGACATGGGCGGTGACGCCACCACCCACCAGTTCACCAAGGCCATCCTCGACAAGATGGACACCTTGTAAATGTCCCCAGCTACATAAACACCCACCCCCCACCCCAAACCTCTGTAGCTATAAAGAAACACCTACTTCGGCGCCCCCCGCCTTCTTTCCTCACGAGAACCTCCGCCAACACCCCCTCACCCTCTTCTCTCTCTTTTGCCCCCGCCCGCGATTAGAGTCGGCGATTTTGCCGAATGGAGCGAAAGAATGGGGGAAACGGAGATAGATACCACCTGACGTCGGTCGAATTGCATAACCAGTGGAGGACTAGACTTATGTTTTGGACACTGGGAGGAGGCTCGTTCTTGCTGGGAGATTGTAGTTGTACCAGTTGTACGTAGCATAGGAGTCACGCAAAGCATATGAGTTCCTTTTTCGTCGTTTGACATTGATTGGCCGTTGCCTTTTAACATGCACTTGATCGCCGGTGGCGTCTTCTTTTCGTTTGAGACCTTACTGCGAGTGTTTTAGTTGCCCTTGAATGCAAAGACAAATGACTGGCGAATCCTTTCTTTCTCTCCCTCCCGTCTGCCGCTTCGCACGTGTCGATGCATTACCAGCGACGCCAGCCTTGCGCGATGCTTCACCCAGCGCCGCAATTGTTCCCTCCAGCCTCGCGCGCGCGATTAGCTGGTCCACTTAGTAGGTGGGGGTTTGTAGTATTCCCTCATCAGCCCCCCCCCAACGGGAACTACGAGCGCGGCCTTTTCGGCTCGGAGGGGGGAGGGACGCGACTTTGCTCGGATAACATCGGCATTCCGAGCGGGCTGCTCGGCCGCCGAAGGGATGTCTCGGCCATTTGGGCTGGGTCTCGGACTTGCCGAGGTTAGGCGAGAAGAATGAATTGCGCTGAAGAAGAGCGAAGAAAGTGGGCCGGACGCCCTTTTCTAGAGACACATTTTGGAGTTGTGTGTGTTGGCTGGGTTGAGTTGGAGAGAAGTCTGTCTGAGAATTGACCCTGTGTACCCCCGACTATCTCACTGTTTATTTATGCCGTCATGACGAACGATTGTCTGAACGACGCGCCGTCACGGTACTTGTATGCACTAGTCATTAGTCGTTGATCGCCCCCGTCAGTCAACTTGCAACGCCCTAGACGGCATAAACCTTGCTGGGGGGCCAGATGGTCAACGCTCTTTGAGTCTGGGAGCCGAACTTGGTTGTCGCCGTTGAAATAAAGCAGCAGGGTGACCGAATTCGGCACGTTGTTCATGTGCATCAGGCGTGTGTGTTCAACCCCCCCCTGCCCGAAGTGTGAGAGGTCTTTGGAGTTCGTCGGGGTTCTAATGCTTCAAGATTTTGCTATAAGCTACTACGTACGGATACTTCCCCCCTTCACTTGCCACCTGTTCTTCCTTTGCGACTTTCAGCCTCATCTTGAGGCGCCCTCTCTGTTACACTTTGTGTACTTCGTTGCCTCCCCTTTCCAGTGTCTCTGTCTGTCTCATCGATTTCTCGATATTACATCGGGTAAGGCTTCATCGGTACATCGTTGTTCAGCCCTTTGGTTTCACTGTTCATCCAGACCCCCCCTCGCTCCCCAAATTGCACAATAATTTCCAGGGCGAACCTCATGTGTGGCTTCGCCCAAGTAAATGAAACTAGTGCTTGACAATCATCAGACATCGTAGCGATAGTCCATCCCCAGGTTCGACAAACTTAGTCTGCAACCACTCTAGTTGACCGATCGGTTCTATTTACCGGCCCTTGCAAACCCCCCATTCCCACTCACACTGCCCATCTCTTGTCGTCTGCTTCTTTCTTTGGAGGCACGAGATCTCGCAGCCAGACATCTGGATAGCCTCAGATCGTGTCGGGGGTGTCTTGTATCACTCTTCCTCCCGAGACTTCAGCCACCCTGGGCAATCTGCAGCTACCCAGGACTTTGTTTTTTCTTTTTCTTTTTCTTTTTTTAAACCCGTGGCGCCTAAACAAGGTCGTGAGACCGTCGAGAACAGTTCCGGAATGGCGGCCAAGAGTTTCCGTGTCAACCGCCTACGTCTCTGACCCTTTCACTTGCTACTCGACATCGGGTTATCTGCACCGCGATGTCGGGATTTTGCACTGCGATATCTGCTGCTATCGATGTTGGAACACACTGCCATCAACTGGACGTCGGCCGCAATACTCTACCAAGTATTCCATCGCTGGCTTCCGTCTCGTCAACTCCAATGCAGAAGGGGCGATGCGAACCTGCCATGTCGTCACCCTATCTGACGCATGTAAGCTTCTTTTTCGCCGTGCTCCCCTCCCCCGGCGTCAAATATTGCGTGCCGCCACGAAACCATTGGCCCAGTTTCAGCCACTCAATCTGCATAGGCGACACTCGGGAATCGACGATTGATCACGAGTTGATGTCGGGATGCTTTCTGTACGATCGATCGCAGATGCTCCGCCTGATCAGAAACATCCAAGGCCCATGACCGCAGAATGCCGGCTCCCATCCCCCCCTTCCCTGTCCGATCTCGCGAGTGACCCGATATTGCGCGTGGTCCTGCATGATCGAGACGTCGGTGTTGTACACAGCGAGGAGGAAGGGCATGACTCCGCCTCTCCCGCCAATGAGGTCCTCGCCGACACAGCGGCCCGGGGGTCCGGAGGTATGATGGGGGCCGTGTTCAGTCAGAGAAGCCTCGTCTGCGCGTGCATGGAAAGCAACGATGCGGCAAGCACCCGTCTCCCCTCCCCCTCGAACAAGGTTGTCGGCGGCACGAGTCCATCTCCTTCCCTCACCGATGTCTGCTCTTGGCTGTCGAGTCTCCTCGCAAGTTTTTCTCGTTTCATGACGCCCCATGCCAGTGGTCCCTCTCCATGTCTCGAAAGTCCTCAAGGATCAGTCCGTCGGTGGACAAACTTGAATTGAGGCGCAATGGTGCAAGATACGCGTACAATATATTGAGTCCCAGGCAACGACGGAGGCAACGACGGAGGTATAGTGACAAACTGGTGCGGGCACCCTGACCCTGTGCCGGTGACTCGGGACTTGTGTAACCCTATGGCGGTGTCTGGCCCTTCATGGCCCTGAGCAAAGCTTTGTTCTCTCCTTTTCCCCCATGATGCTCTCTCTCTCCCCCCTCCCAGACATTTATGCGCATGCCCTCTGACAGGCTCCCTTTGGCAGGGCCAAGCGTAGCCAAAGTCTATGTCCCTCGCAAAAAGTTATTATGAAGCTCGCCTACTTCTTGATCCATATCATCGTTGGCTTCTCGTAGGCTAACGCTAGCACCTCTAGCTAGCGTTTCCTTCAACTAGCTAGTATTTCCCTCGGCACGGCTCGCGTTAGCGCGGGAGGTACGGAGCACGGAAACAGGGACCAGTTTACCTCTTAACTCCCTTGCCTTGCGGTGATACGTCCTCGTGGCCATTGGTACCTGGACCAGGGTTCGAAAAGAAAGGGGAGCGGTTGACCTCCGCTTCCCACCTCACGAAATCGAGATTCGGTGGCTGCCCTGTGTTACGATGCAAATAGATTGACGCCTGTCATCATTTCGATTAGGCAATGCGAGAAGAACAGTTTAGCGTGGTCTTTTTTTCTGTTTTCTTTTTTTTTTCCTGCGCCAGTGGAACTTGGCATACCTGTTGGTGGCGTTGCGGACAGGGGGAGGCCGAGAATGACTGCTTGTCTATCTTGCTTCTGCTGGTTCAGACACGGCTTGGGACACCCCCCCAAGAAGCCTTCGGTGACTTGAGAGGCCAGTGTCTACTCCGTCTTTCCGATCTGGGCAACTCATGGTCACTTTCATATGAGATGCTTGGCATGGAAGAAAAGGGAGGGCACATTGAGGGACGGGCGATGATTGAGGGCGGGGGACAGTACAAACAGCGTGTGCTTTGAGGTTTTTTTGTTCCTTTAAAGACCGAGCCTGCGTCTTTGCAATCTCCGTTGCTGAACATGGGAGCTGTTTCTGAGCCCTTGAAAAGTTTGACTGGCTTCACATTTGCAACGCTCACCTCCTAAGCTTGATCGTCTCCTTTGGACATTCAGACGCTCCTCTCAATCTCACATTCCTCCCATCAGATAACAGCCAAGTATTCATCTCGAAAAGGGCTTAGGGCTCTATGAAAATTTCATCTGAACTTTTGCGTGGTCCTCCTTGCCTCTTTTGCGCTCAACACCCGGAGCATCACGCACGTTAAACCTCAATTCTAGGTCGCCATCTTTTTCTCTTCCACCTTTCTTCCCGCCTCCTTCTCACCATTTTCTTTTTGGGTGCCCTCGGTTACTATCCTTGACCCTTAGTCTTGCTTTCTCTTGCAGTATATTGCCTCATTCTTCAAACATGGCTATACCGGCTTCTGTGGTGGTGTCACTCCTTCTTGCGACTCTTAGCGTCAGGCTTTTGCACATAGACTGGGCTACAACAATCCAAATCTTTGCAGTCTCTTTGTCTTTTCAGTGCGGATCCCTCTTGGCATTCCATGCCTTCATTCATCCATTCCTTCTCTCCCCATTGCGGCACCTCCCAGGCCCAAAGGTACCGACCGCCCCCGTCCCTGTATTTTCTTACTCCAGACCCGTGAGCAGTAGCAGACCGGGCAACAAACTTTGAGAAACATGACTGAAATTTCTGGCGAATCTCATAGGGAGGTCACTTTCTCATTGGCCAGATGCTCAACCAGATCAGAACTCCCGGACCAGCAGACATATTCATCTCATGGATGAGGCAATGGCCTGAAGCGCCCTTTGTGCGATACCTATCCGTTGGCAACTCCGAGACGCTCATGGTCAATAATATGGCTGCATTCAAGGAGGTCCAGCAAGCCAAGGCCTACGCCTTCCGCAAATCGCACTTCGCAGCCCGCATGTTCTCTCCCATAACGGGTCACGGACTTATGTTTTCCGAAGGGGAGGAACGAAAGAAGCAGCGTAATCAGCTGGCCCGTGAGTTGTCCATCAAGACCAGCAACAAGAAGAAGAAACAAACAATTCACAGCAACTAATCACAAGTTATAGGTGCTTTCTCAAACCAGAACACTCGCAAGATGCTGCCGGTCTTCCAGCTCAAAGCAAAACAGCTATGCGAAGCCATCAGCCAGGAACTTGGAGGAGATGAGACCAAGACCGTCGACAGTTCGTTTCTCCTTTGAGCCTCTTTACCCGACATCAAGCTGACAGCTGCCCAAGTCGAGGGCTTCCTGAAGAAGGCTAGCCTCGACGTCTTCGTCATAGGGTCCATCGGCTGCGACCTCGAGAGCATTTCCATCCCGGAAGCCCACTTCTTCGACGTGTACGAGCGCATCATCCGCCAGCCGCCTTCGGGTCACATCGTTACCTTCATTGACGGTCATATTCCTCTCCGTTCCTGGCTGCCTCTGCCGAGCAACAAGAGATGGCTGAAGGACATTGCTCTTATCAGGACCATGCTCCTTACTTGCGTGGAGAACCGACGACACGAGATGATAGCGGAGAAGAAGCTGGGGCTCAACGAGAGTCAGACTGATCGTCGCGATATCCTAACCTTCATCCTAGAGGACTGCCAGTTCGATGCAACCCAGACGAACTGGACGGACTTGGAGCTTCTGGAATACGTGAGCCACACCCGTCGCATGACTAGTTGTTATGTGCTGACACTTTCTAAAACAGATGCTTAACTTCATTGCCGGAGGTACGAAAGCACATAAAAGTAGCAACGAGGCCGAAATACTGACGCTGAGTGATAGGCCACGAGACGACTGGATCGACCGCTATGTGGATCACGCACATCCTCGCCACGAAGCCCGAGGTTCAGGAACGTCTCAAGCAGGAAGTCTTTGGCCTTTGCGCCGGCAAGCCGCGAGACTGGGTCCCTACCTACGAGGAACTTGAGCATCTGGTCTATGTCAACAACTTCCTCAAGGAGGTCTTGCGCTTCTACTCCCCGGGTAAGTTCCCCCTGAGGTTCCGCTCGCACTCCTCGACCCCTCCCAGCTGAACGACTTCTCACACAGCCATCTTTCTCCCCCGCGAGGCGGCCGAGGACGTCACCGTCTGCGGCATCTTCGTGCCCAAGGGCACCCAGGTCACACTCTGCCCTGCCGTCGCGCACTTCAATCGCCTGGTCTGGGGCGAGACGGCCGAGGTCTTCGACCCGGACCGGTGGGCCGACGGCCGCGCGCCCAAGGACTCGTACGCGATGGAGGCGTTCCTGCAGGGCCCCGCAGGCTGCATCGCCAAAAACATGGCGCTCCTCAACGTCAAGAGCGTCATCTTTGCCCTCGTGCGCGACTTCAAGTTCTTCCCGCGGCCGGGCTGGGACGGGGTGCTGGAGCTCGCGAACCCAAACTTCACCCTGCGGCCCAAGGAGAGTCTGCGGGTCACGGTGGAGAGGGAAGTCAGATGAATCGACGGTCCGAGTCTCCGCGAACGAGTCCGGCGCGAATATGGAGAATAGACTTGATACTCTGGCGCCAGGCATGGAAGGGAACGTTCGCTTTGTTGGATACTTGGACAGACAGCGCCTAGACTGCAGTTGTATGTATGTATACCTAGCCAGTATATAATACACGCCTAATGATAATGAGCGTCAGTCAACGTCTCCTAGTTCCTGTGGATGGGATTGTTAGTCATACAGTTATCCTATTGAGAAATAGTACCTGATCGTTGCATGAATTCTCAAGGAATATTCCATTGTGGTCTTGAGATGGATGCCTTTTCTATATCAAGACTTTTACCAGACTGCGTTTCTACGCTTTCTTTCTGCACGGAATCTACTCGAGGGCCTCCTTCCTCCACCTCATCCGGCGCAAGTCCAGCCTTCCCGCTCTAAACGCCATTCCCTCAGGCGCACGTCACCCCAAAGCCAACCTTGCCCCCCTGCCCTATATCCTCTCGCTCCTTCTTCCTCATGCTCCATGTACCACAACTCCTCGTTCGCCGACATCTTCTTTACCCTCCCGACGCGAACCCGAGCAACGCAACGAGTATGACATCAAAACAGTTTCAACAAATCAAATACGTTCGAGATATCGTCAGTTTCCCCTAGCGAGCCCCGGAAGGAGGGGAAGCTGGCGTCAGCGTTTCCCGCCATATTCATGCCTGCTCTCGCGGACATCCCGACCTACCGGATCGACATGGGCAAGCCTGCCGAGGAGCGCTAGATCCAACTCGCCAAGGAATTTGCTCCCCAGATGAGAAGCGTTAGCCCTCTCTTTGACGAGGTGATCGAGTGGCTAGTCGGAAGAAAGCTCGCTAGTGTCATCAAGTTGGCGTCCCGCCATGCCCTGCGCAGAGTGTTTGACAAGGAGCAGACCAAGGAGATCAGGTCCATCGCCAGTGTCGTCAAGATCAGAACCCACTTGCTCATATCCCTCAACCTCTTCTTGGACCTGATGCTAGGTTGCACTTCAGGAGCAGCGCTGGTGCGGCCCGAGCCCGGCGACCGGGACGGCCAAGATACCAAGGACCGCCTGATGCATTTCCGTACCCTGGAGTGGGGTATGGATGCCTTGAGAGACCTTCTTGTCATTGTGGAGTTTGTCGACAGCAGCAAAGGAGATACTGACGAGGTGGTTGCAAGATCAGTCTCGTACGCCGGCTTCGTTGGCTGCCTCACGGGTGTCCGGTATGCAGCAGTGTTCCCCTTTCGATCCCGTTAATACTTAGTGACTAATGATATCTTTAGCAAGGACTTGTCGGTGTCTCTCAATTTCCGACCAACTCATGATTGCACTACCGCATCGTTGAGGAGGCATCAATTGTCGGTCCTTCTTGGCCGCCGCGAGGCAGTTCCATCTATTCTCCGACGCATACTCCTGGACCACGACATCCCTAGCAATAGCCTCAAGGTTCCCGTCTACAATGGCCCTCATATCAACAACTCTGAACAACGTCCGCTTTCCATCACAGGCGTAGCAAAGAAGTTCATTTCGATGCCGACATCCCCTTGCTACATCACACTATGCAACGGATTCAAGGTCGTCAGTGTCCTTAAAGACCTTTGCACAGGAAAGGCTAAGACGAGCAGCCTTTTTCAGGTTCAGTGTAACCACGACCCGGACCACGGGACCTGCTGTGGTCCCAAGGCAAACAACAGCCCCCCCGAAGCTACTCAAGCCATGATCATTGGCGAGGACGACTGGCTGGGTGAGTCCGAGGGTCGTAAGCGAGTGCTCGAGGAGAAGTGGCTTCAGCACATGGCAGCAGTCACCAAAGAGGCTGGGGAAGAACTGAAACCTTGTATCAACAGCCTCTGTCTTGATGCGGACACTCGAGCAGACCTTGGTATAAACATCAAGGTTCGTGGCGTGGACGAAGCCATACTTCAGCAATGGATTAATACGTATCCGACTACCAACGAGTGTACGCACTTTGCCTGCATCATGGACCCGGCGTATGGTACCATCCGTTGGATAGCTCGTGGTCGGAATTGAACAATGACTGATGAGTGAAGGGAGGTGGCGTTGGGGCGAGCCAACGACTTGATGACTTTAACAACAGACGATAACCAAGAATTACCCACTAGTGCGCATAATAGCAGTTAACAACGAATAATCATGACGGAACGATTGAGCTACGCTAGCGGTTTCGGTCACTGATCATCATATATGGCCACTGAGATTCCATCTCGGTCATGGTAGCTTTGCCCGGCTCGAATCCTTACTGCTGGGAGCGGTGATGGGAAGCGTCCAAAAGAGGTTTCAGGTGCAAGGCCTGGGATCTTCCGACTTCTGAAAGGATGCTAGCCGAGCTGTATCTACGAACTCTAGGATATCATCAGTTTTGACTGCCAATCCCGCCCTTTCGAGCTTCCATGCTCATATGAGCCTGCGCGCCCGAGTGTTCCGGCAGCACGGCTCCTCGCTGTCAAAGTGAATGCACAGGCGAAGAGGCCAGTGGGGAAATCCCCGCAGCATGGCTTCTTCGGGGCCATGACAGCCGAAGCTGGCTAGCGATAGGGCGCGTACGCTCTGACAATTAGGTACGTGTAAGCCAGCAGGGCGGCCGACGCATAATCGAGTGTCCAGGCCAAAGTCACTGCGCCACCTCAATAGAGCCAGCCAGCCAACTCCCTTGATGGTTCCACAAACTGGAAGCACTGAACGACGCTTCACTCCGGGTTCCCACCTTGATGCAACGGAGCCGGAGGCTTTCGCCAACATGCAGAAGCCGCCTCTGGAGACGGGTCCTATGACCGACGAGGTCCTGAGGGGCATCTTCGCCTCGGACCAGGACATGTACCCTGCGCCGCTGACCTGGGAGCGCCTCCGGAGCTGGACGACGGCGGCGCCCGACATGGCGACGTGCTTCTACCTGCCGGCTGCCGAGGGTGACGAAGGCCGGGCCGAAGGGCGGTCGCTCGTCGGCGCCGTCATTGTGCTTCCCCTCCTGGCGCGCGCGTGGCGGGACTTACTGGCGGGACACGTCAAGGAGACCGACGTCGACGCCGAATCCATGTTCGCCCGCGACGAGGACGACGGAGGCCCGCCTCCGGAGGTCGGACTGCACGTCTTCCACGTCGAACGGTTCGACATCTCTGCAACGCATGCAAAGGTGCGCGGGTTCGCGAACCTCTCGATGCGGGCTGTCGCCGCTGTGGCGGAGGGCAAGGGATGGAAGATCATTGGCCATTCGGGTAAGTGATTCGTGTAGTGTATGGGTCGTGTGTATCTGTGTGCTTTTGCGTGTTTCTGCCCTACCCTCAGCTTAAGGGGTGGGCGATGATGATGATTATCTGACAGTGTTACATAGCGCTCACGGCAACGCCAGAAGGGAGGCGGTGCTTCGAACGGATGGGTTTCGAGCCTACGGGCTACGAAGAGTTATGGATGACGGACGGCCGCGGAGGGGCCGAGCTGGTGGCCGTGTCTGCCGATATGGCGGCCGAACAGCGGACGGCACCCGATGCAGCGGCTGTTCGAGGCCACGCGAGGATGGTCGCGAAATACCTGCCACCGGCACACAGCGCATGACGATGTTGATGGACTGTCTATTCTAGTGTACACTCCTAAGACCCTTGAGGACCGCAAGCCGGTTCAGCCAGGGCGGTCGGAGATCTTGGAGATTTCTAGAAAGAACCAGGGGATGATCTACAACTGCGAAAAAGGTGAGAAGGGGGGGGGGAGGCAAAAGCCCTATCTCTCAGCAGCGGAATTGAGCGACGTGGGGAAGCGGAAATTTGGCTTTGAAATCAAGAATGCCATTACAAAGGGAGACAAGGAAAAGAGCTGGGATCGGTGGCTACGGGATAACATTGCATAGTACGGAGTAGACGCAACTAGGTATTCGACCGAACGTTCCATTCAGACCGCAATCTGTTGGATTCCCAGCGTCGTTGAAGGGGTGACGACCCTCCCCAGAAGAGAAGCCCACACGGTTGGACCTCGGCTCCGTCACCGACAAGCCTGTTCTAGATCGTTACAGCCTCGGCCGCGGGCCTATCCACCATTGTTTCTGCATTGTTCTAGGTATCTATCGGGGGGGGGGGGGGGGGGACCTCCGCCGAAAGGGGCTATCAGCTCCGGTGACGTTGGGTGGATGGGGATGGGTGTTGTGTCATGCCTTGGTTGTTTACAGCAGTTGGCTGCTTTGTCATGATTGCTTCATGGACAGAGATTTCTGCGGCGCTTTGGGGCACGGCCAGGTATCCGTCAGAAAGAATGGGAAACGGTTGGTTAGTGACGGAAGCCGGTACAAGTACGGAATGACTCGGGGATATGTGCTTTGAAGAAACGGCAACCCCGACGAGCATCCAACAGTCGGAACTTGCGGGCTAAACGCCGATAATGAGCGTCAGGACGACCCTGATGAATACCTAAAGAGAAAAGGTGGGGGAGGGTGACTGACCCTGATTTGTCCTCGGAGGACCGAACATGCAGCTCACCGCCTACCCAAAATTCCCAATGTTCACGAACCCCGCCATGAGCCGCGGCATCTTGATGTCAGAGACCAGGAGGTAAGCTCATTACCTACGAGGGGCAAATCGACCAAGAAAAATTTCAAGGTGCTGACAGATCTTCCCCACTAGAGAAAATGTAGGGGACCATGGATGGCCACACGCCAAGTAGCGGGCCGTCTGACACGACACACACCACACTGCCTACTATCTACATCGTACGCATCCGTACACAGATACCTAGTAGTTGCTATGTACCACACACTACATACCTACCTAACTCCGGAAATGCTATGGGGAACCATACGTCTCGGAACGATCGTTCAGCCGGGCAGATGGCAAAGCCGACCCATCGCCTGTGCATTCCCCATGCAACTCCACTCGCCGACCAGAGTGGGTTGGTTACCTAGTCTGCCGTTTATTCTTCCATGACGTTTTGGTTTCCAACGGCTTCCGCCCCTGTCTTCATCAAGATACCTCGGCCAAAGGAGAAAAGAAAGAGAGACTGACAACCAAGGAGGCGCAGTGCCACCGCAGGGTCGGACCCGGCGCGGGTACGACAGAGCTTCCATCCGACTTCGTCGTGATTTGGAGCAAGTGCTCGCAATGATATATAAATCAGTGCCGTCCCATCTCCAGCTGCAGCCTTTAACTTTAGGAGAACCATCAATCTCGATTCCGTATTAGAAGCATCTTGGTACACTTCTGTCTTCTCACCATACCCAGAACTCCTCGCCTTTGATACCCAGACCACCCCTCTCCCTTTTTTTCCCCAAAACAAAAACCCATCTCACAATGGCGCCCACCCCCAACAAGTCCTTCGTCTTCAAGCAGGTCCCCAAGGGCCTGCCCGTGCCGGGCCAGGACCTCGTCGTCGAGGACCGCCCCATCGACCTCGACCAGGACCTCGACGGCGGCATTCTCATCAAGGTGCTCTACTCGTCCTTCGACCCCTACATGCGCGGCCGCATGCGCCCCGCCGAGGCCGGCAAGTCCTACATCCCGCCCTTTGAGCAGGGCGCCGTCATCGTCTCGTCCATCGTCGCCCGCGTTGAGCGCTCCGACGCGGCGCAGTTCGCCGCCGGCGACCTCGTCACCTCCTTCATGGGCCCCAACGCCGAGTACGCCGCCATCCCGGCCAAGTTCCTGCCCGGCTTCTTCAAGGTGCCCAACACCCACAACGTCGACCTGCCGCTCTTCATCGGCGCCCTCGGCATGCCCGGCATGACCGCCTACGAGGGCCTCTACGACATCGGCAAGCCCAAGAGCGGCGAGACCATCTTCGTCTCCTCGGCCGCCGGCGCCGTCGGCCAGATCGTCGGCCAGCTGGCCAAGGCCGAGGGCGTCAAGGTCATCGGCTCCGTCGGCAGCGACGAGAAGCTCGACTTCATCACCAAGGAGCTCGGCTTCGACGCCGGCTTCAACTACAAGAAGGAGTCGCCCGTCGACGCCCTCAAGCGCCTCGCGCCCCAGGGCATCGACATGTACTTTGAGAACGTCGGCGGCGAGCACCTCGAGGCCGCCCTCGAGTCCTTCAACCCCCAGGGCCGCATCATCGGCTGCGGCATGATCTCCGACTACAACACCCCGCGCGAGCAGCAGAAGGGGGTCCGCGGCCTCTTCCACCTCGTCGCCAAGAAGCTCAGCTTCCAGGGCTTCCTCGTCGACCTCTCCCCCGCCAAGTACAAGCCCTTCCAGGAGAAGGTCCAGCCCATGATCGCCAAGGGCGACCTCAAGGTCAAGATCCACCTGACCGCCTGCATCGACAAGGCCCCCGAGGGCTTCGTCGGCATGCTCACCGGCGAGAACTTTGGCAAGGCCGTCCTGAAGATCGCCCAGGAATGAGAGAGTGAACGAAAGGGGAAAAAAGGAGTAGGACGGGGGGGGGGATGCAATTCACCTGTATACTATAATGACAACTGATGACCAATGAAACCGAGATTCAAGCACCTAATATCTATTTGCTATCTACGGTGAGAGCGGAACATGTGTGTGTGTGGGGGACTACCTGCAGCGAACAAGTCTATTACATTGACGAGAATAGTGCGGTTGAGAATTACTTCAAATGACATGCTATGAGGCGTCGAGATGCCATCGCGAATCTCACTACGTACTCCCCCATCGCGTTGGCCTTGAAAACTCATCCTCAACCAACACTTGTGTCGGGTGCTGATTTGAATCGTACCTCCTTACCAAGTCACGCAAAGTTCACGCAAGAAGACGGAAGAGCAAATGTAATTTGTAGAATTTGGCATTGTAGCATCATTCATCTCAACACCCCCCCGTCCATGTGCAAAACGCATGTCTCCTAGCCCGTGTCCAAATAAAATCGCTTTCTATCATCGGCAAAAGACCCCTAAGTGGTGAACGCCGACGTCGCCCATAAATAGAACAAAAGAAAACAAAACCGTTGACAAGGGGGAAAAAGGGTCAACGCGAAACCCGTCTCGAATCACATCTAACTTCTACCAAACAGCTTCTTGGCCGTCACCCGCCTGGTGGACGAGGGCGGATAGTCGCTCTGATCCTGGTAGCTGCCGTACCCGTTGGCCTGTTGCTGCTCCGACACCGACGACGCCGAGCGATGGCTGTACACGTCCGATGCGGCCTCTTCTGGCCTCAGCTTCTGCGGGCGCGGAGGCGGGGGAGGCGCCTGAGAAGGCGGCTGCGTGGGGGGCCTGTAGTACTCGTCGTCCCATTCGGAGTTGCCCGTGTTCATACGCGGGGGGTCCGTCCGCTCAGGCCGTTGGGGGGCGGGGGCAGGAGCTTGGGTTTGCGGTTGCGGGGGAGCAGGGGCTTGCGCGGATGTCTGCTGGCCGCCGTAGGTGTAGTTACCGTTGGTCGCCACGGGCTCGGCGGCGGCGGAGGGCTGTATCCTCATTGCTGCTGGGCGCTCACGACGTTCTTCGCGCTCCCGACGTTCTTCACGCTCGTCTCGGGAGCGCGTGGAACGGTGTGTTTCCCGGGTCGGGCTAGCGCTGGAATTGTTGTTGACCGGCTTTCGTGCCGACGGCTGACGGGGTTTATCATCGTCCGAGTCTGAACTGTTTTCTTCTAGGTCGCGATCTTCGTCGGCGTACTGCGGGACGTTTGTGTTAGCATCGCCGGCTTCGTGGAAGGGGACGACAGGTGTGGGACTTACCATCCGGAGCTCCTTGCGCATGGCCAAGCTGGCGCAGATGTCGCGGGCCTCCTCAATCGCCGTCTTCTGCGTCTTGAGTGTCATCCTGCGGTCGCGCGTCTCCTTGTTCTCGGCTGCGATCGCTTCGACGGTATCGTTCGGCATGCTCAGGATCTCCACCGAGTTGAAGATGCCGTACATGCCCTGAAGCAGGTGCCTCTCAACGACCTGGGTGATGGTGTTGCGGATAAATGTCTTGGCCGCCAGCTCGTAGAAGATCAACATCTTCTCGCACACCTCCTGCGCCTCCGTATAGGTGGCGCCGTCCTTGGTGGACTCCATCTGCCACTTCCGGAGGCGCTCCTCATACTCGGGGTCATAGGGCTGAATCTCGAGGTTCATGTCCTGCGTCAGGTGCTCGAGCTCCTGCTGCGCGTCCGCCATGAGCTTCTTCATCTGCACGTCCAGGAACTGGTAGCGCAGCGGCTCGCGCATGCGCTGCGGCCACGCAAAGTCAATGACCTCGCTCAGGAACTCGTTGCAAACCACGCCGAGGTTATCCTTGTGCTCCTGGGCGAGCTTGGGCCAGTTCTCCGAGTAGCTCTGGAAGAGCATGTAGACGGCGCGGGGCTTCGGGTCCATGGGAAACTCGGAACCGCGGATCTGGCGGAGGAGCATCTCGACTTCCCTGCCTACGAACTCCCTCTTGCTACTTTCGCTAATGGTGACGCCGTCCATTGCCCCGGGTGCCGTCGAGGCCGAGAAGCCGAACTTGCGCCCATTCTGGCGGATGCGCTGCGAAAACTTCTCATTCTCCTCGATGGCGCGGGCGCGCAGGTTCTGAGCGGGCGTGCCGCGGGGGTCGGCCGTGGCACGGAAGAAATTCTTGCGGGGAGGGTTCTTGTAGAAACCGTAGACGGCGGGGATGACCAGCTCCTTGGAGGCCGAGAAGAGCTCGACAAGCTCGATGCGCATCTCCTCGACCGTGTCCTTGCCAGTGCCCATGGACTTGAGCTCCGTGTCGCATTCGTCGAGCGCCTTCTGAATCTGCTTGCGCAGCGTCTTGACGTGCCGGCCGATGTGACGCTGCAGCTGGACGCTGAGCTTCTGCTTCAGGGCGTTGGCACCGCACATTGAGCTGGGGAGCGCGCGCCACTTCCCGCGGCCGAAGAAGTCTTCCTCGCGCTGGCGGCGTTCGCGCGCCGAAGGCCATGGCTGGCCCTGATCGCGGGGACCAGGGTTGAGGAGGACATACCAACCGAGCTTGAAGTAGTTTTGCTTGTCCTTGTTCTGGACGAGCTCAATGAACTTGTCTTCGAGACCGATGGACTCGCAGAGATCTGGTTTTGTAAGGACGCCAATGGTGCGGCTCCCAGAGGGGTCGAAGTGGCGTGCCTTTGTGAGAATGGGCGCCTGCACGTAATCGGTGTTGCCGCCGACGACGGCGAGGATGATGGTGCGCGAGCTCTTCATATAACGGTCACACAGTGTCTCAATGGTCTTGATGTCGTCCATCGACTGATCGTTATTGGCATTCTTGACAAGTCCGGGCAGATCCACCAGCGTGAGAAGAGGCATGTCGGGGCCTCTCTTCTCAACCACCAAGATGTCGCGGGCAGCGAATCTGCCGGGGATGTTCTTTGGCGCAATCAGGTCCACTGCCGATTTCATGAGCGCCTCAAACGACATGTCGGCGTCGACGGCGCCGCCAAATTGCTTCAGGCGCTCCTGCTCCTTGAATGTCTTGTTCTTGTCGGGGATGATGGAGACGTTGAGGCTTGCCTCGTTCGACCTGCGCAGGCGAATCTCAGTCGCGAAGCGCGTGCATGCGCCCGCATCGCGCGGGAATGGTGTGCCGGTGATGGCCTCGAGTACTGAACTCTTTCCTGCCGACTGGTCGCCGACGACGACAATCTGGGGCAGTTTGACATTATCGAGCTGGGCGAATTGCAGCTTGTCAATGAGCTCGAGCAGGCCACGCTGCTCGTTGGCCATGTCGGCCGTGCCCAGCGCCGAGTCGATATTCGGAGCCATGTCGCGTTCCGGTCTGAGTAAGGCGTTAGTTGAGCGATCACGGCTTGTAGCTGGAGCCTCGTACAATGATCCCATCACGTAGGGTAAGAGTGCGAGGTAGGTTTGCTTTGCGGAAGTGAGTTCTTGAACTCAAAGGCAAACGGCAGCCGTTACGTTGGGGAGAGACATGCTTTTAAAGGAGGGGGGGCTGCTTTCTGCTCGGGTTAAGCTTATGTGGAATTACGCAGCTGCGCAGCCAAGCGCAAGCTGGCAGTCCTGCAGGGCGTGTACGGCGTCCTTCTAGACCCGACATCACATGTCCTTTTGGGCTGTGTGTGCTGTCTTCCATGGACGGGTGCCTGGATCTGGGCTCCAGCCTCCGGGTCGTCGCAAAGAAGCGTCGTCAGCGCGCATATGACAGGGCAAGTGACGATCTTTGGAGGGGCGTGGGGGAACGCAAAGCATAGCCTGCGTCCTCAAGTTGCCACCGGGGAGTACGCTGGTCCGGCCTGTCCATAGAGTTGGCATTCCATGGATGACGCTTGGCTTGAGACACCCCAGAGTGAACGACACACCCACACGTTTGGACCCTCTCAGTCATCCATGGATGCGGCGAGAATAGCTACGAATAACGCATTTTCGTCTGTGACTCGCATCGGATAGCAAAGCCGAGACCAATAGAGAGACTCGGACCAGTTTCTAGGGCGAAGAGACTTTCGAAAAGCAGAGGGAAATGGAAGAGTGATCCCAAGTTGCATGGACGCAAAGCCACTGCGACGAACAAGATCCGATGAATGACGTCGGCAGCTTGGCTTAGCAAAGCCTCATTCTTCCTTAGAGGCACACTTTTTTTTTTCTGGTGTCAAGCTTGCCAACTCGGATAGCGAGACACAACCGCTCTCTCTCTCTCTCTCTGTGTGTGTGTGTGTGTGTGTTTGCTTGGCTCGAATGACGAAGCGTACGCGTACGTAGCGGGAGGGCCGCTTGTCTTCCAATCAAGTTCGACGAGGCCCGGCAAGTTGGTTCCAGAGAGGGAGAGTCGACCAAGTCATCTTGGTGGTAGTGGTTGTTGGTTCGCCACCGGTCACCGCCCTTCAAGGATCAGCAGGTGAAGCTGGGAGGGAGTGGCGGTGCAGCTGGTCTTCAGCCACACGATCTTGATGAATAAGCAATCTAGACCCGGTTGCTGTGTGGCTGTGCGAGTGGCTGGTGGACAGGTCCGTCTGTGGTGGCAATGCAGCCCTGGAATGAATGTTACAGGACTCATGTGGCTCGACCTCACCTCTCAGCCTGAGTCTCGAATCCATCAACGACTTTGCCCACTGCGACGTTGATTCGACTTCAAACGTTGTCATGTAACGCTCAGATGTTTTTTCGTTCATATCTACACAATCCCGCATTATGCACCTCAACTGCAACACTGACTTCTTAGTCGTTTCGCCCGTGGACCATCCTGTCCGACTCCAGCGTCTCAATATCTGAACTCCTGCCCGACGAGTTTCTCGCTCAAAGCCCATAGCATTTCCGCATCGATCTTACTCTTTGCCCACGGGAAGACTTCCTCTTCCCACGGGTCCGCGACGCGGCAATTTGTTAGGAACTCCCCGTTCTTCTCCTTCAGCTCCGGCGCAAACGCCGCAAACACGTGCGTCGATACGCCATGGTCGAAATCCTTGGGCTCGATGTTTTGCATCCCCCACATCCACTTCGACCCGGCCAGCACGTGTGCCTTGCGTAGGTCCTCCAGGAATCCGGAGAAATCGTCCGCCCCGTGCGCGGCGAGGTTCGTGACGACGTATCCCGGGCACAGGCTAAGGGCCGTCAGGCCGCCGGCAGCGGAGCCCAGTCTCTCGGCGAGCGCGATCGAGAACAGGCTGTTGGCCGTCTTCGATTGTCCGTACGCCATCCATCTGTTGTAGTGCTCCCCCTTGTTGAAGTTGTAGTCCGTCCAGCGTATGTGGTGCAGCCTGTGGCCCGTGCTGCTGACGTTGACAATGCGTGGCGACGCCGATGCTAGGATCTTGGACATGATGAGGTTCGTGAAGAGAAAGTGGCCGAGGTGGTTCGTTTGGAACTGGCTCTCGAAGCCGTCCTCGGTGAGCTTGTAGGGCACGGCCATGATGCCTGCGTTGTTAACGAGGACGTCGATGTGCGGCACATCGGCCCAGGACTTGACCGTCTCGGCAGCGGCGCGGACGTTGGCAAAGGACGCGAGGTCGAGGGCCAATGACTTGACCTTGATCTCGGGGTGTGCGGTGGCGAGGTCCGCGACTAACTCCCGGAACCTCTCAGGTGAGCGGCCGGCGAGGATGAACATGGCCGGCTCGGCGACTGCGACCTGCTTGACAAAAGAGTCACCAAGGCCGCCAGGCGAGACTCCCGTGACGAGGATGGTTCTGCCGGCGATATGAGGAGCGTAGAGGGGCACCAGTTCGCTGGCCCTGGGGTCCCGGTTGTGAGTGGGAGGGACCATGATGGCTCGGTTGATGGACGGCTATGTCTTGCAAGGCCGGTTTGCGGGCTGGGATGACAGGCTTGAACTTGGGTTCTGACTCGAGATCTTGAAGTGTTTGTACGGATGCTACTATGATATGGGAAAACAGGTCAGGAAAATGGGCATCTCTTATTGCTTGGAGCCTTCTGTCATTTAGTTCTCAAGCTCGACACGGTGGATACACCCGGCCTGGGATTACATATTAACTCCGGGCTTGTCACGATGGGGTTTGTAGGACGCAGATAGTACGGAGTTAAGACTGTAATGCCGCGCAGGTAAACTGAGGCATCAGTAATTCCATGCCCGGCTGACTATCGAGGCACCGCTAGGAGTTGAATAAGGGGGTTGATAACTCTCTAAGTGGACCTCTTTCCGCGACCCAGCTCCAACAATGGTCTACAACCACCCACAATGCCACGCCAGCTCCCAGGTAAGCCCATGCGATGCGGAATCATCCAATTGCAACGCCACAATCATATATCACAAGCAATCCATGACAACCATATCCCGTTCCGAAACAAGAAGAAAAATCACCGCTTTTCGTGCCCGACCGCCTTGGTTCTGTGTCTTGGAGCTTGAGGCGGTCCTCAGCTCTGACGGCTGGGTCCGCTGCCCCATGTCGCTCCCGTGCTGCTCGGAGCCGGCGAAGAACTCCACATGCCCGCGCCGTTGCCGGAAGTGGCACCCACGGATCGGAACGAGCCGATGGCGTGAAACGGCGCCTTTGAAGCGTCTTCCGACAGCCAGGAATTGAGTGTGCTGGACGCGCCAGCCTGTTGGTATGCGGGAGTCTGCGGCGTCTGACCCTGGCGAGGCCGAGGGACGGAGGTGTATTGGTAGCCGGGGTGGTTCTGGTTAGAAGACATTGTGACAGCAGGTGAAATAGGTCAAGATAGTTGAGCTTTTGTTGCTCTTGGGGCTCAAAGGTAGCTGAAGAAGTGAAACGTGGAACGTGGATGTTGGTGCTGATGATGAGCAGAAGCGGCAAGAAAGCGAGAAGGCGTGCTTGATTCTTATAAATACCAGCTGGGAGCACCGAGGAAGCGATGCTTCGGGCTCAAGAGACCATCTTGTCCTCCACGTCCTCTTCCAACGAGGAATGAGGAGTGCGAGGCGGTCTACTCCTCAAACTTCCATATCGCGCCGGCGGGGTCCTTTGCGGTACTTTTATTTCTCGCCATCATCATCAAAAAAATGCGAAATGCATGTCGCTCGGGCGCGGTGGGTAGTTGTGCACTGCCATGGAGGCCGACGACGATGGCCGGGGCTCACCAGTCGGGCTGGTGGTTTGGTGTTTTAACATGACCCAAACAAAAGAACCGCGCATGTCCAAGAGCCAGGGTCTTGGAACAAGTGCGCTTTATTACGTACCTGCGGCAGCTACTGCAAGGTACACGCCCATACGTGTAGGCATTGAGGTCCTTTTGCAATGAGGTCTCTGGTGTAATGGTAAACGTGGCAACCATGAATGCCTGGGTAGGCAACTGAGGTATTAGTCTGGCATAGCCCGGGACTCTTGCTGCCGAAACCCCGAGATCCAGGGCTAGAAGGATCTTGCTTATGCAGTGTCCTTTTGTTTTCTTTGAACTGATTGGCTGCCTCTGCGTTACTTCAGTGCACATCGCCGTCTGGAGCCTGAGGATCTTATGTTAGCGACTATATGAATTAACAAGACCGGCCAGACGACATGGCTTTTCGTGCTCGGCTGGCCGGACTGGTGGCACTTTTTGTTCCAGGCTGTTGGGAAAAAGAAATCCCAGTCAGGTCACACAAGGTTAGATAGCCAGCATATCAAAAAGCCCGCGCTTACATGTCGGGTCTTTTCAGTCAAGTAGGTAGTTTCGTGCCGGAGTTGCCAGTCGAAACAAGCAACATATCAGTTGGAGGGACTCTCCGGGTATCTATTCGTCTGCCGTATTTCGAGGGAACATTCACTCCTTTCGTAATGGCGGTTTAAAGCCAACCTACTACACAGATGACAAGTTCCATCTACGTGTCGTATTGTACATCCTGGCGCACTTGCCCACCGAGCCTTGATCAACTGCGCTCCCAGCCAACAGTCCTGAACACCTCGCCCATGGCGCCGAGAACGGTATCAACGATGGACTTGACGAATCCCTGACGCTTGCTCCTGCCGGAAGAGTCCCGCAGGGGATCCTCGCTGCCCATCGTTGGCAGAACATTGTCGCTCGCGGACAAGCTCACGAAGAGGGCGAAGGGGATCAGCCACACGCACAGGCCAAAGTATGAGGCAATCTCGGTGAAGCTCGGGATATCGGGCTGTTCGTAGTAGGAGTGCATGTTGGAATAGGATCTTTGCTGGGCAGCGGAGAAGTGGCGGAACCAGAGGTAGTGGTTGACAAGGACCAGGGCTATAAGGCGTCTGTTAGTCTGGGGCTTCCTGACCAAAGCCGATGGATATCCTTGCACATACCGCAAGATACGAGAAATAGAGGGTCCGTCAATCTGACAAAGGGGAACCGCCGCATGTTTCCGAGGTAGACGACATGGGAAATGACACCCATAAGGGTCAACTTGAAGGGGAACCCGTCGACAAGGCACAGCAACAGCTGCAAGACAATGACGGAGTAAATCAGCTTCGTGAGCAGGCGCTTCGCAAACACGGTGTGCTCCTCGACGAGCTCCGAAAGGTAGTACAGACCCGAAGCTATTCAAGCCGTGTCAGCGTGGGTTTATTTGCACTTGCCCAAGGGAGGCCTGGGACTAAGACGAACCGATGGCCAGGGTCAGGAAACAGAAGCCCACGATGGAGCCGAGATAGCCGACTAAAGGTAGAATCCACATGGCGACGGCGTTGTGTTGTGAGGGATCGCAGGGCGTAGCATGAAGGAGATGGGATTCAAGACGAGAATGTGGCAACCGTCGGTGGACGATGGCGATGGTGTATATTAATTACTTCTGAGCTACGGAGTACCTACACCCGCAATTGCCCTGGAGCTATGACGGTGGGCGGAAGGGATTGGGGCGCCACACAGCGCGTCGGGCTTCTTTCGCAAGCGTGGCCTTTGCGCCGGGTTCTCGGGCAATATCTTGATCCGTCACATGTACCTATTGAGACAGGCTTTTGGGAGGGAGACTCGATTCGCCCTACCGAATGCTGGGATCCTTATCGATAGCAGAGATTGTACTACTCTTGTTTATCTTATCGATAACTAGCCGCCCCTCACCCCCCCCCCCCCCCAGCTGCGAAATTTGAGGATTTCCCACGACACAAAATTCACCTCCCGATTTCTCGATGCGCCGGCGTGACGACGAAGTGTACGGAGTCATAGAACGACAGGAGTCTCCTCATTCGCAAAACCAGATTTAACCTCCGGACAGAATTCGCCCATCATGTCGCGCCCTGAGGACACCCTGTAAGCCGTTGTTCTTTCCACTACGACCCCGCCACAGCAACGGAGCCAACTAACATGTTCCCCCCCTCCCTCTCCTCAGCGCGGCCGACATTCACTACAATGACTCCGAAGCCCGCAAGTACACGACGAGCTCTCGTATTCAGAACATCCAGGCGTCCATGACCCGCCGCGCCCTCGAGCTCCTCGATCTCAAGCACCCCTCCCTCATCCTCGACGTCGGCTGCGGCAGCGGTTTGTCCGGCGAGATCCTCTCCGCCGAGGGCCCTGAGGATGGCGGGCCGCACACCTGGATTGGCATGGACGTCTCCCCCTCCATGCTCGACATCGCTCTACAGCGCGACGTCGAGGGCGACCTACTCCTCGCCGACATCGGCCAGGGCGTGCCCTTCCGCGCCGGCTCTTTCGACGCCGCCATCAGCATCTCCGCCATTCAGTGGCTCTGCAACGCCGAGAGCAGCGACACCTCCCCTGAGGGCCGCCTCACCAGATTCTTCAACGGCCTCTACGCCTCATTACGCAGGGGCGGCCGCGCCGTCTGTCAGTTCTACCCCAAGAACGACACCCAGCGCAACATGATCACCCAAGCCGCCGTCAAGGCCGGCTTCGGCGCCGGCCTCCTCGAGGACGACCCGGAGACCAAGAACGTCAAGCTCTACCTCGTCCTCACCGTCGGCGGCACAGCCGAGGGCGGCCGCGGCGGCGACATCACCAACGTCGTGGAGGGCATGGACAACGTCGACGTCGAGGACGCGCGGAGGAAGGCCAATGCGCAGCAGAGCGGCAAGGGGGAGATCAAGAAGGGCAGCAAGGCGTGGATTGTCAAGAAGAAGGAGCAGATGGAAAGGAAAGGCAAGGTCGTCAAGTCTACCTCCAAGTATACCGGGCGGAAACGCAGAATCGCCTTTTGAAGGAATAAAGACTCGAGACAGTGGATTGCGGGGTGGTACATGGCATGGCGTTACAGGGACCAAGGAAAACTTTGCTATTATTTTAGAGATCGAATGCGAATCAGATACCCTTAGTCGACCATCCATTGACGCCTTACCTGACATTGCATTGCAGTTGTCATCTCACCCTTTGTCACGAAGACGCCTCTAGTAAGATGGTTGAGTGTGTCATTTTGCGATATGGGACCGCGAGTCAAGAGTCTACCTTAGAGGTATCTCAAGGGTCACTACACCAACCTCCATCAACAACATAACTACTGCCCGTTATACCGCTTGCTTCGTCGCTGGCCAGAAAAACAATCAACTTTGCCACGTCTTCCGGCATCAGATCACGTTGCAGACTCTGGGACCGCATCACCTCGGCGCGATACTCCGGTGTCAAGACCTCGTCCCTCTGCCTCTGGGTGGCAATGGCGCCCGGCATGACGCTGTTGATGCGGATGTTGAGCGGGCCGACCTCTTTGCTCTGAGCGCGGGTGAGGCCCATCACCGCGGCTTTGCAGGTGCCGTAGACCGGCACGGCTGGGTCAGGAATGCGCCACGTGATGGAGCCCAGGTTCACGATGCTGCCTCCGCCGGCCTGTTTCATGCCGGGAAGGACGGCCTGCGTCAAGAAGAAGACGTGCCTCAGACTGGTGTTGATGTTCATGTCCCACGCCTCGGACGTGACCTCTTCAGTTCTGAGTCTCGCCTTGTGGCCCGTGAGTGCCGCGTTGTTGATCAGAACATGGACTGTTCCGTACGTTTCGAGGATCTCGTTGGCTGTAGCTTGAAGTTGGCCCAAGTTGGAAACGTCACAAAAGTAGAATACCGGTGTTTTGATGGTGTTAAGGCTGGCACCGGTCTCGCTGGCAATTGACATGACATGTTGGATGGTTTTCTGCGCCAAGGTCCCGGCGATGTCGAGGAAGATGACTTGGCAGCCTTGAAGAGCGAAGCGCTCGACCGTGGCGGCTCCGATACCCTCCGCACCGCCGGTGATGAGCACGGTCTTGCCGTTCAGGCTAGGATAGATGGCCGAAGGTGCCGACATGGTTTCGCGTCAAAAGATTGGCTGCTGGATTAGGGGAAACGTGTTGTAGACTGTCTGATACCATTCGTAGGCAAAAATGGGATGGGGTATCCCCAGCCCTTATACATTTGAAATGCCCGAAACATTACTGCAGGGCTGTTCTTTGTCCTCATACGCGACCGCAGCGATATTAGGGTCAATACCCCCAACCCAATGTACTGAATGGTTGACCAAAGTAATTGTTTTAATGCCAGGGATCTTCAGCCTTTCATTCGGAGTAAGCAATGATGTTACACCGATGCGTTGTCATCCGATAACCAAGGAATTTTTAGCTTGACACGACGTCGAACAATCGTCCAGACTGCACGAATGGAATCCAATTCTTCCGCTTGACCCAGGCTTCATGTGAATGAAACTACGGTATGAATACCTCTGGGGTACTGTAATTTTGTTCGGGAATCTTCTGTTGAGTTTCTATTATGCTAAGAGTATCAAACATGATGCTTTTACTGTGTTTTCCTACTGTATTACAAGATCGCCGTGTCCCCTGTGCAAACCTCCGAGGAACCACCTCGGCTCCGTGTCTTTGTATAAAATCGAGGTGCAAGATTACAAGGATTCAAGCTCGGAAAATTGGAAGCATACCCATTGGCTGTTCGTTTATCGATGTACTTCCCATCCTCCAATTCTTGCATGAGATGGGACACCATAGCCTGGCGTGGACTATGCCTTGACATGAAAGTTGTTCCGAAGAAAGCGAACAGCCACACAAACTGAGTTCGATCACCTACCGTAGACTCCACCCAAGAACTCCCTCAGAGGTGTATACAGAGGATGGCTTCTCACACTGCATACTTCATCTCAAATACCCGAACCTATCTGTCATTTCCCACATGGCTATTGTTAGCTATTATTCCCTTGTCACACAACAACAAGTGTCAAGACTGTCTCTGATTCGGTAACCAGACGGGAGAGATAGATTGATGGGCTATCATTCCCCGATCAGAGAGTCATGATCCCTATTTCTGGATCCACTTCGGCTAACAAGTCCCTGCGCGGGGATTCCTTCAATGAAGTGTACACCGTCCAGCCCCATATTTGCTGTGTTTGTCGTCAAGGCTCCCCAAGTACTCCGTAAGGTAGATCAATTTAACGTAATTCTCTCATAATACCAGGTAAACTGGGTTAGGTATGACTCGATAGAGCTTACTTCTGGCCGTTGCTAAAGCTCAATCCCTCTATGCATTGCAAAGGGTGAAGCCACGTATAATATCTTCCAATGCAGGTAATGACGTGTGATAACGGGCAATTATGAATAGCGTGCTCAAAGGGGTCTCAGGAGGTGAAGATGCATCAATACGAACAACAATGTGGAATGCAACATATCGCCAAGTTTTGTGCCACAGATCTCGTCATGCTTTCCCCAACCTGGCACGAGCCGTTTCAATCGATAAATTTCCATGTGTATACGATAACTTTCTCGCTGCTAAAAATCAACAATTGATGTTTAGAAATTCCCCCTCGTCCCCGTATCGAAGTGATAACACAGGTGTGCAAGGCATCCTCTAACAGTTGTGAACTCTTGTTTTTGGGAAAGAAAGCGCCGGTTGATGCAGATTGCAATTGTTCATTTGCAGCATAATTGGGTATGGCAAGTGATGGCTTTAAGATACAACACAGAACGTTCTGTTGACTTGAACTATGGAGTGCACGTGAAAGCGGATATATTATGAGGATCGAGCAACGCATAGCATCGACATTCCTGTTTGCAGGGCGAGCGCCCGGGCCCGCTTCCCACGGTCCTCGGTACTTGGCAGCCCACCTACGATTCGGTTGCCTCTTTGGGAGAGGAACGTCACCTTCGAAGAAACCATACACCTTTCCGGCTGCCCGTTTCCATGTTTTGTCTGAAGGCAGCGCTCCCTACGGGGTATGGCGCGGATAATTGGTGAGTATAAGGTGCAGATAGCGCTTTCGAACACCCCACAATGCGCTGCATCGTTCATTTTCCAACAATCGGCCCCGTATTTTACCATTCGACTACACCGCGATTGTAAGCTTCGCAGTGGTCGATAGCATCGCTGTGTAAGCACTCTTTATTGTGCTAAGCTTTGAATTGTTGTGGGTCTTTTGATCTGCCGTAACGAGGGCCAACATGGCGGCCAACGATATCACCCCGGTTCCAGCACCGTGGAAGCTCAAGGGCGACATCTACCTCTTCAGCTTCTGGGTCTCCGGACCGAAGGCAGCGCACCCGCCCACCATCGCTTACTCCCCTCTCGAGGCAAACTCGTCCTTCATCTGCCCGGAAGGCAACAGGCCGCTGGGCGGAATCAGCATGATACAGATTATCCGATATACCGAGAGCCCTGTTGGTCCATATGACGAGTTGATTCTGTGTCCGGGCTTTCATGAGTATACCGTCGAGGAGAATGGAAAGCGCATCAAGAAAAAGAACGCAAGAATCACACGGATATACGTATCTCAAAAGTACACCTGCTGGAATGGCCGGAAGAGTGAGTGGCATTGATTCGGAGGCGAAGAGGTTAACCCAACCAGCGCACCCTGCTGACATCAAACACCAGACTGGAATATTCCAAAGCATCTCGCCGCCTTCGACTGGAAGAAGAACGCGGATGGCAGCACAAGCGTCAAGGTCTTTCCCCACGACACATCGGGTGACGTCAAGGAAGCGTCCGCGAGCGCTACCCCGCTGTTCCAAGCAACCTTTAAGACCGTCCCATACGTCCCATCGTTCCCTCTCTCGCTCAGTATCTTCAAGTACGTGGGTGTGGACCCGACCCTCGTTCAGCCTCCGCTTCCAGAGGGCGACGGCAGTCAATGTGAGTTGCCTGGGACAGATCAATGGTGCAGCATATCGCCCGGTCAGAGCTGCAGAAGGGCGAGCCTGGGGTGGTTCGATATTCGGCAAGCAGATGAAAAGGGGAACGTTGTTGGCGAGCACGAAAACTTCTGGCCGGGTCTCGGGCGTTGGCAGATCGGGCTGAAGATGGAGAACTCAGACGTGACTTTCGCTGAGCCGAAACACTGGAATGCCCCCAGATCTGTTTTATAGCCGACTGCAGTTTCTCGTTATAGTATTGAGACTCTTTTGAACGAAATGTTAGAGGAACGGGGACGTCGTGCATGATTGAGTGGAGCCTGCCATAGTTATATGTCACGAGGTGATATACAGTCTGTTGCGTTGGCAGCGTCCGAAACCTATTTTTCAGTCCGTGCACCCGCGCCACACAAATGCAACCCCATGCAAATTCGCGTTTTTTGGCTGGCAGGATCCGAAATCTGCATTGCCTAACATTAAATAGTTATAACAACTTAAAGTCGCGCATACTAGTAATAATAATAATAATAAGGGGATTTAGACCTATATAAAGCCACTTGTCAGCTGCATATCTAATTATCTCTTTAACACTTACCCCGCAGATAGGTTTGTCTCCTATTATAATAGTCTATAAGAGCACGCCTTTTAAACAGGCAGCTAGCTAAGTTAATAAAGTTATAAAAGTAATATATATATAAAGAGAGTAAAGTCTATAATAATCCTATTACTATTACTTACTACTATTATCTTTTACTAAATAAATACTAAATTAAATAAATATAATAGCACTAAGGTTAAATAAGGATAAGTAAAAAAAGATAGTATAGATCCTTAAGTTATTTAAGAAAATAAATAAAGAGATTACTATATAGCTAGGCTATACTACCTATATAGTCTAGTAATAGCGTTATTATTATAAAATAACTAGATAAGTAGAGATTTATCTTACTAGTTAGTAAAGCTAAATAAAGTTAGAAGTGTAGTAACTATATAAGTTATTAAAGCTTTTTACTTACTATAATAACCTTAGCCTTAAAAAAATATAAGATTTCTTTTATAAGTAATTTAACGTAAAGGTTTATAAGTTAATAATTAGTTAGTAGCTTTATATAGCTAGGTAGACGTTAAAGTCTATCTATATTATTACTACCTAAAGGGATAAAGTACTATAGTGTAACTAAATATATACTATTTATAAATACTATCTAGAGTAATTAGTATTTATTAATAAGTTAGGTATTAATAAATATATAGGTATATAGAGGATAGGTTAGGCGCTAAAAGGACTATTACTATATTAAAAGGATAAGCTTAAATATAAGTAGTAATACTAAATCCTTTCTACCCTTACTATAAATAGTATATTTAATATATTAATATACCTAAGTATAATAAATAATAATAGGTTTATAGTATAGATTTAAAATAAGGTTTTACCTAAGTGTAGTGTCTTTCTTATAGTAAAGTTAGTTATTATTATAAATAATACTAGCTTTTACTACTAATAAGATATCTAAAAGGTATATAATTTAGCTAGTATATAACTATTATATCTACTACTATACTTACCTAACTTTAACCCTATTAAGAAGGTATTTAGTAACCTTAAGAAGCTTCTTTATAAGTAGTACTTAGGATAGAATAAAGATAAAGAGGGTTTATATAACTTTAATAAGCTGCTTTATAATTATATAGTAGAGGTTAGTTATAGTATTAAACAGATAAAAGGCTATTTTTATTACTTATTTATTAACTTTAATAGTATGTAAAGGTTATTTAATAATATATTAATTAATAAAGATAGTAGTAATATTAAAGGTGCCTTTATAACTAGTAAAGAAAGTGCTGTTATTAAAGCAGTAATAAAGAAAAAAAATAACTATTAATAGATAGTAAAGAAATCTAACTATAGTAACTACTTATTTACTTTTACTACCTTACTTTTTGTTAGTATTATTATATTACTTTTTATCCCTATTACTTTTATATTATTACTCTTTATCTTTATTACTTTTATATAAAGCTGTTAATAACTTATTATTACCTATATATATTAGGTTATTTATATTACTACTATATAACTTATTAAAGCTAAAGTTATCTATTTTATTATATATTATAAAGTTAGAAAGGTATTAACTTATATAAATAATTAGTAAGAATAAATTACCTAGTTATATAAAAGAGAAAATAAAAAGACTATTTATTACCTAAAGGTTAGTATAGTTATAACTACTAGATTTAATTTAACTAACTAAATCTACCCTTCTTAAGGTTACCTATCTTATTAGTTATAGTATTTATAATAAGTAGCTTATTAGCTTTATTAACTTTATTAACTTTATTAGTAATATATAGTAATTTATACTATTAGTTAGAGCTAGTAAAGTTACGTCTACTACACTTATAGTATTACTATATAAGTAAGAAAGTCTTTATTAACCTTTATATAGTGCTAATAAAGGATTTAGGTATACCTTTTTCTTTATACTACTTTTTTAGTATACACTAGATAACTACTAGGCTTAATAAAAAGCTCTATAGTTATTAAAGGGCTGCGTTAGTACTACCTTTATAGCCCTATTATCACCCTTTAACTTTAAGAAACTACCTTATAAAATCTTAGACCTCTAGTAATTACGCTACAGGTAACTGCTCTCTAGGTCGTAAGGGTAATAATAATAGCACTTTAGTCTCTCTTACTAAATATACTAGTAATAAGTTAATTACTAAAGTAATAGGTATATAATAATACTATTAGATTAAAGATAGCTACTATTATAAAGGAGGTAATTAATACTACTGCTATATAAAAAGGCTAACTTCTTTACTACTAAAAGATAAATTAACTACTATATTACTAGTAGAGTTATTTATAGTTAGTAAAGAAGGTCTACTAGTAGGATTTTTACCTCCTTTAAATCCTACTATAAAGTGTAAATTACTTATAACTTTACCTTATATAGGTAAATTATCCTTTTTTACTAGCTGCTAGGTAACTATAACTATAAGGCCTAGCAGTAGATCTTTTAAAGTTATATTTACCTTATAATAAAGTATTATATCTTACTAGGCTTTAAGATTATAAGTAAGTAACTTATAGTAGACTTTAGTAATAACTAAACACTAGTTAGTACTGTTACTTACCCTTATATTATGATAGTAACTTATAAGATCTATATACTTATAATACTTTATTAGATTATACTATAAATCCCTTTTTATATCCCTCTCTTAGTTAATCTTATCCCTTATTAAATTTATTACTATTTTTCTTAAATTAATATATAATAGTTAGCTACTATAATCTAGTTACTTACTATAATTAATTAGCTTACTATAGTTAATTAGCTTACTATAGTTAATTAGCTTACTATAGTTAGGGTACCTACTTTTTAACTTTATAGCAGATTATAGTATACTAAATACTAATATAATAAAACTAGTAAAGTATATAAGATCTATACTAAAGAAGATCTCTTAAGTCTTATAGCTAAGGTTACTTAGTTATTAGCTAAATTTAGACTATAGTAAGGTTAGCTATTTCCTATCTACTTTACTAAAGTTATTACTATAGTAAATATTATTAACCCCTTATATAGTATACTACTTTTTACTAAACTTTACTATTATTTATAACTTTAAGAGCTAGTATTACTTAGTAAGTTACTTTTAAAGGTAATCCTTTATATCCTTCTAGATTTACTTTTTTTACCTTAACCTAATTATTATGCCTACTATTAACTAACTTATTAATTACTATACTATCTAAAAAGGCTAGACTTATAGTATAGATTTAATATTATTAAATTAAAGGTTAAAGGTAAAGTATATTATTACCTTAGTTAGTAGTAAAGTAGCTACTACTATAGCTACCTGCTATTACTATAGTAATAGTACTAAAGTTTATAATAAGGTATTAAATAGATTTAGTATAAATAGTACCTATTATATAGGCTCTTTATTATTATAAGTAAGCTTATTACTATTATTATTATTACTATTACTAACTTTTTTTTTTATTAACAGTTACCTAGGCTACTATTAACTTTTATAGCGTCTTAATAGTTATTATTAACTTTTTTACTACTACTAACTTTTTTACTACTACTAACTTCTTTACTACTACTAACTTCTTTACTACTACTAACTTCTTTACTACTACTATAGCTACTACTAACTTCTTTAGCGTCTTAATAATTATTATAGATTTTATTAACCTTACTACTAGTGCTAGTGCTATTACTATAAGGCGCTTAATTACTACGCGTAATACTCTTTTATAGGCAGCCTTATAGGCTTAAGTACTATTAGCTAGTAGCGCTAGTAATACCTCTTTACTACTAGGGGTAGTAACCCCTTTCTTTAGCGCTATTATTTAATAACAGTAGTAATAATAACAGTAACAAGCTTATTAATTAAAGCTATTTACACTACAGTATCTACACAAAAATCCATAAAGTGGTAGCCACTTAGCAGGGTAACCCCCCTGTGTGACCCTAACTAGGGTGGTTGGTTGTGATGGTGTTTCTAACGCACGGACTGAAAAATAGGTTTTGGACGCTGCCAACGTAACAGACTGTACTATGTAAGCTACAACTGCAGCACGCCAGTTGTGGGCCCACTTTCGTGCCCAAGTGCCTAGGGTCTTAGGTATTATGTATACAATTTCCACGCATTTTTCGACCCACCCGGAAGAATTCCAGTATGAGTTAATTGAATCATTGAACCAAAACTCATCATCAAGTACTGATTTGAATGGCCCGAATTCGGGGTTTGGGAAGACAACCTTACGGAGCAGCTTCTCTGGAGGCCAAGAGACACGAACATGACAACTTGCCCTGTCTACTATCGTGTTATTGGGTAGCTACGGGAGAGAGAAAGTCTTGGCCGCTAAAAGACACTGACTATATGTTCATGGTAAAGAGTACCGTCAATAATATTGTCAGCCTAAGGAATTGCGGGTCTATGAATGCTTCGGGCCTTCTGCTAAATTCCGCAATAGCACCATTGCCTCTGTGAGAATGTGGGTTTCGAAATTTTAGCTATCAGGCAGAAAACCAGGACCCTATCGAAGAGAGGATATTACCGGGCTGGGTTGAAGAACAATCCAACACGAGAAGATTCCCCATTCTTAATCCGAAAGGGAAGGGTAAGATCCTTGGGATTGCCATGTTCGATCACTGTGTTTGTTTCTTGGAATGCTTTCACTTTATCCTGTCTTCAACAAGGAGACGAGTCAGGACGGATCCATGGTACCCAATAATCCCCATCTTTGAGATTCACTAAAAACCCTTGGCTAACCTGAGCACACAGTCATCCTGATTTTGAAAAGGATTTCCCCAGCAATGAGAAGCACTGGTCAAGTGGCCATGAAGAATCTTATAGCGCCTTCGAAGAAAATGGCGTTTAAGATGGTGACGACAACTCGTCCATTGAAGAAAGCGAATGCGGATGCGTCGACTGCGGGCATCAAGATACTTCAAGACTTTTGCTCCTACACTCAGCTTATACCGAGGCATTGCTTCTTCGGCCAGTCCATGACACATTGAAGAGGTATATACGGATCGGGATGGCTCTATTATGGCCGCGAGCATTGAAGATAGGAGAATGCGAGTTCACGGAGTAATATGAGATTGTTTGGAGTGTACTGTAGGAATGCATTGAAATCCAAATCTGTCAAAACTTCTCATCATCTTATTGTTCTTTCTCAAGTTCGCAGTTACTTACTCTATGAATTTGTTAGCCCATTACTATTGCAATTTCTCTTGGTGACTAGCTTGCGGCGGAGGCCGACGAAGTGAGAATTCGCACACCGTACCAAGGCGATAGTGTGGAAGCACCAAGTCTGATGTTTCGCAGGCGTGTAACACAACCTATCATTATCTATGCGACGAAATGGCTTCAATAGATATACATGCGGGAAAAGTATAGCTGGTCACTGATTGGTTATCGTCACGTCTTACGATTCTTGGCTGTCCTTCCAACGATTGGCTACCAAACGAGGTCAGCTTTGCAGTAGACTCAACAAATAGATTTCAGCCACATCGGAGATGCTGAGACGACTAGTGCGGCAGCGCAGTGAGTTAAGGGTAAGCCGTCAGCCGTCAGGTTGCTTAGGCAGCACACTTTCTGCCTGATCTTATGTATGGTATCCCTGGTTGCCTCACAAACGGCCTTCCATAAGAGCAAGGCCGAACCCAATTGCTCGCACGAAACATAACAATTACCATTCATCACATCAAGAACACAGCCATGAGTGACATACTCAGGCTCACCAAAGCGTCCTTTCTCTCCGGCGGCGGGGACGCAACATCTCAAGGGTTCCACCAGTTTCTGGATCGCACTGCGCCGGGCTTCGGAACGCTGTCTAAATTCTTTTCGACATGGCTCAGACTTGATCTCACCACGATAGTTCTTCTCATCTCTTTCGGAGGAGACATCCCGAGGGCTTTGACAGGCCTTCAAAACCTCGGGACTCAAATCTACTGGTGGATAACGCGGTTCTTCACCGCCTCCATCTCTATCGGGGCCAATGACAAGCTTAATAGAGAGGTTCTGAACTGGTTGGGTGCTCATGTTCTCACCAGGCAAGGGACTCGCGTCTTGACCGCACGGACTGAGGTAATCCAGAACGAAGCATGGTACTATCGAAAGCCAGTCGAGCGTGATGACCTTCATCACGAGAAAAGAGTTCCCGTTCAATACCTACCGACCTTTGGTACGACCTGGTTCGTGTATGAAGGGGGTTTCTTCATGGTACGACGAGTATCTACCAGGACTAGCCGCTCTGTTTACACCGGCATTCCTGACGAATACTCCGCTGCCCCCGAAGGCGATGAGCCGTTGGTGGTCCTGCGACTCGGGCGTTCCATCCAACCTGTCAAGGAATTTCTCAATAACTGTCGGAACTTCGCAGACAGGCAGCGCGAAGCTTTCATTACAGTCAGAGCGACAAAGAATCAATACAATCAGGAATCCTGGGACACGACCATTCTTCGTCCGATAAGGCCGCTCGAGACTGTACATTTTGATGAGAAGACAAAGAAGGAACTCGTACTCGATATAGAGGTGTATCTCAACCAGAAGACGAGGAAGTTTTACACCGAAAGAGGTATTCCCTACAGAAGAGGCTACCTCTTCCACGGACCACCAGGCACGGGCAAGACGTCTTTGTCTCTTGCCCTTGCGAGCTACTTCAACCTTGAACTTTACCTACTTCATATCCCAAGTATTAGAGACGATAATGACTTGGAGAATCTCTTCGCAGCACTCCCACCGAAGTGCATTGTGCTGCTAGAAGATATCGACGCAATCGGATTACAGCACAGGAAGAAGTTCGACCCACAGGATACTGCATCTGACAACAGCGACAGCGATAGTGACAAGGAGAGTGCAAGGTCCTTTGGCAGATGTCGCTGTACTCTGTCGGGACTCTTGAATGTCTTGGACGGGGTCGCGTCTCAGGAGGGCCGAATCGTCTTGATGACCTCCAATGTGGCTCACAAACTTGATAGAGCCTTGGTTAGACCTGGCCGGATTGACAGAATGATATACTTGGGAAACATATCACGACATAGTGCTAAGGGCATGTTTGAACGCATGTACCGGCCATACGTATCGAACGAAAGCACTCTCAGTGAGAAAGGTATTGAGCATCCGGGGAACCACGCAAATGATATTGATGACCTAGCGGAAAGGTTCAGCAGCCAGATACCGGACGACGTTTTCACGCCAGCACAACTACAAGGCTACTTGCTTCATCACCGGAACTCACCCAAGGAAGCGACTGATTGCATCTCGGATTGGATTGTTCAGGAGAAGGCGACCATGGATGAAGCAGAAAGGCGCAAGAGAGCGTCAGCGGAGCGTAAAGCGAAGAAGAAGAAGGCGTTGAAGAGATTGAAGGCACTCAAGGCTTTGGATTTGGATTCGGAAAAAGAGGGCGACAATAAGGAGGATGCAACCACGCCAAATGTCGCCCAGGTTGAAGAAGTGCCCAAAAAGGGAGCTTACAACGAGAGCGATAAGAGCCAGGGCACCGTAAATGGCACCAAAGGCGCAGAATATGTGTCAAACGGCGACATAAATCAAACAGAAGTTGAAAAGACAGAGAAACAATGAGCCTTCAATCGAGCAACGGGGGAAATCTTTGATGGTATGTTGTGTTGAGCAGACAAGTCAGCGGGAAGAACCTGCATCAACAGGAGACAGGTAGTCACTAACATGACATGTAGACACGCAATATTATGAGGAGGAAATATCAGCAAATAGTGAAAGAGAACAATGGAGCAGAATCAGGTGAAATGTCGTTGAAAAGCATGGTATCCGCAGAGGTACTAAGATTAATAATGGTCAAAAGAGAGTCATACTTTTAGAAGAAATAAGGCTCTACGATATCCTCAGCACTTATTTTTCTCATCGTCCAGCAGACTCGTAGCAGTCCACATTGAGTTACATATTCAAGACACTTCCTGATGGGTTTTGTCAATGAAACATGATACAGAAACTCAATAACAAGTCGGAAAGTAAGCATCATATTATCTAATATTGGACACAAGAGAAGGGTTTTGGAGCAAACGCCATACTATGGAGATATCCGGACATTTCACTACTCTATTGACTAAGCTCGCTGCTGAAATTTCACCAACATAGTTTGAACCTAGCCATAGAGGCCATAAGCACATTTTTAGACAGCAAGATTGACCTGGCGTTGGTCTGCCTATTACCGCCTCATTCAACCATCTCACCATGCATTAGAATAAACGCAAGCACACCCTTTCGGAATTATAGCCTAGGCCCGCTAACATACAGTCACAATCTCAACAGTTATACAAGTCAAGTAAGCAACCGGCAGCGGGAAACGCTGCGCTTAAGGGGATGATGAAACTAAAGTTGCCTGTAGCATCCTCTAACACTTACTTCTTCATCATAATAGGAGACCGTCTCGCACGATACACCGGAAAGCCCGACTACTACAAATGGGCTAAGAAGACTTGAGATTAGATTACCGGAATTGGATTCATCGACAGCTTTAATCGGGCTGTATACGACGGAGCTCATGTTGAGACTAGCTGGACCAACATCAACAAAGCCTAATTTTCTTACAACGCTGCAATGCTCGTGCAAGGGGCCGCGTTGCTATACACCATTATTTGTCTCGCCAGTTTCTACCAGCCCTGGAACTGACTTGGAACCGACCGACGGTTCTGATCTCAGGCGTGAGAGAACCGAGAAGCTAGTTTATTTCATTCGAACGACCTTCTCCAACGGAACTGCGTATAAAACTGTTTGCCAGGATCAGAAGAGGCTCTACAATCGGATGCTTTCTGGTCCAAGTATTATTGGCTGTCGTCTAGCGCCCAACTAGCCCATTTATCGTGAAGAATGTGCTGCCTTGGTCCAGAAGCTCTGCTGAAGCCGCAGCCAAGCAGTGTTACGCCGACCAGTCGAGTCTTACTAACCAGTGTGGATTCTACTGGGACGACGGGGTATTATCTGATTCGCAGACCAACGATAACACTAATAACATCACAGGCGCTGGCGAAGCAGTCAATGTACTTACTGCGGTTTCAAATCTGCTCATTACCAACGCCTCGGCACAGGTGACCGAAATAAGCAGTAAATGGAGGTGGCCAGGATAACTAACCTAGCGGCATCTCATACAGCTTCGCCCACAGTTACAGCCGCTTCCTCGGGTGCTGATAGTATTAGGGTGGATATTAAAATGACTTTCTAAGTCGGTCCTTTGATAGGTCTAGGATGGGCCAACATAGACACTAGCTTGAACTGATAGGCGCAGTTTATCCGCAGTACCTTCAAGATTTAGAACCGTTGCATGGGTGCCTCAATTTGAATTGCATCTTGAGCCCAGTTCACAAAAGGTATGGGTACATAAGTCGCGAAGTTGGCAGCACTGAGTGTGAATGACGATTGGTAAAGATGGCAATGCGATTGAAGATAAGGAATTCATTACTGCATCGCACCTTTGCGCCGCTGCTCCATTTCATGGCTAGCACACTGCCCAGGCATAAGATTATGAGGCAAAATATATCTCTAGACATAAGAAATCGTTACAGTCGTTAAGCAGTAGCTAGCAAATCTTATCTGCGTGTCCTTCTGGCCTGTCCCACAAAGCCCAAATATTCCTGAGTATCATGAAGAACAATCCCCGAATCTTCCTCGTTCTCTATGAGGTATCTCGGCATTGTTGCCGATCCCATCCCTATCAGTGTGTTGTGAATGTCTTTCGGATTGATAGTGTCCTTGGAGTAGTGGCCTTGAGCTGGGTAGTCGATGGGGAAGCCCTGGTCAGCGTCCAAGGTGTATGATTGATAGTCAGAGGGAACAGTGGAAACTACATCAAACACAGGCTCGAAACCTTCGATGTAAGATGAGCTGGCTAGTTCATCAAAGTCATCCAGTGCCCCGGAATGAACGTAGCTCTGGTACTCTGGCTGAAGGTGCATGTCAGTGTAATCGCTGTCCACTGGTCGACTGCTTGCGCGGGCCTTGCGCGGTCCGTTTGATGTCAGACCAGTTGTTGCCGTGCTTGCGTGCTGTGTTGAGTCGGTTGCCAAAGACATATTGCCCATGCCCCAGTTCTGCTCCTGGTAGCCAGATTGCTGATAAGTATGTTGTGAGCTGTAACTGTTGCCATTTCCAATAGTCCGACTGTAGCCACCGGAGCTATTCGATGGATAGGCGCTTGAAGCGTCAGTTGAAGATGATGCGCTGGGACTTGATCCGGAGAACCGTCGATATTCTCGTGACCTGTCTGAATCGGCATCGCTTCCATCAGAGTCATAATGGGTGTTGTATCCCCTCTCCCATCTATCAACGGCTTTCTCCATGGCGTCGAACATGAGCTGTGTTGGTAGGAGGCAGGGAGAATAGGCGTCGTGGTCTACATCTCATCATTAGCGCTACACCCTTTAGTCCGGGAACTCAGCGATCGACCGACAGATTTCCACTTTTTTCGCCCACTCCTCGTGGCCAGGGTAAAGCTTCATGAGAAGCTTGTGGCGATACTTGTAGTCTAGCGATTGTCCGCTGGCTCTTACAGACAGATTGTCCAAGACTCGCTGCTGACTTTCCGACAGGAGTGGGGGTTCGTGAGGCGACCACACTTTTGTGCAATTACGCGAGTGCGACGACTTGGACTCCGCCGGCTTTGAGCTAAACCGGACTCCACAGTTGTGGCACTGCTTGTCGGTTCTCAAGTGGACTCTTTTGATATGCTCGCTGGAGTGTGTCAGTCTTGAGTCTTGAATATGTGATCAGAGACTTTCAGCTTACATCAACTTTCCGATTCCACCCTTGATGTTCCCATCGGTGCATGAGTTCCGGACATGGGTAAAAGCAGCCGGATTTCTGATGAAAAGGGGGCAAGCTAGATTGACACTTTTCTCGTCGATATTGTCTTGACATTGAGGGCGGTTCAGGGGCAGTCCCATTTCTCTTCTCAGTTCTGTCATCAAGAAGTCCTTCATGTTGGACCAACCCATTGGTGACTGCGGTGTAAGTTGCTGCACAACTTCAACAGGCACGTTCGTTGTAAGCTTTGGGCGTTTGGCGTCCAAGGCTTGGCTTGCTTTGCCATGAGTGACCGATTCACGGCTTCGCTGCCGGACTCGTTTGCTGCTCTCGCCCATGATTACTGATGATAAGATTATTTGGTTGAAACTCCGAAAGCTGCAAGATTCTCGGTAACTTCTTCTCCGATTTGATAAATATGCTGGACACGGTGCTCTGTGACTTTGGCTTCGGTCTTAAGTTTGATGAGGTTGGCAGGAAAAGTGGCTTGCTGTTCCCGGACCCAGGCTTCTGTAAGCCGGTTGTTTGATGCAATGTACTTTGGGTCGCTGTTAACAACCGAGCTAAGTGAAAATGAAGGCTGTTGTTGCCGAGTATAATGACCCTGCGATCTCGTAGATCTGCTCTCAAACGAACTAACAGTCAGCTCAGTTCAACACTCTAGCGCTCTGTGACCCTGTGTTGGACCGGCTTACACCCGATTGGGTAACTTGCCTCTTTGGCGTGTTGTTGAGCACCATTCGGTTCAAGTCAGGTAGACATGAAGAGTGGCCATCAACCGGAATTTCACAGAAACACCGTACACACAGTGACAGAAGGAGCAACCAAAGACCACGGAATACTTGAAAGAGACAGAGAGGTAGGATTGGGATGGGAAGGAAAGAAAGAGCGCGATCCATGGCTCGACGGGGCAGCTTGCGACTAAGAAGCAATCTTCGATCGCAATTGCGATCAGGGCATCCCGGCCCCGTCCGCCACCGCAACAAGCGGATTTTGTCGCAATTTGTAATGGGAAAAAACCTAGCATTTAGATACACGGTATTTATAAGGTTATTTTTCAAGAAAGACAACATTCGATGTACTTCCAGGTCTTTGAGGGCACCGGACGGTCTCACAACGAGTCAGTGCAATCAATGTCTCAGCAGTAGTGCACAAATGCTTAGAATAGATGCCTGGAAAGAGCCACTGGCTTACGCTATTCCTGAGCTTACATGGAATATTCAGTGTCTATTTCAGATAGTCTCTTAAGGATTGGGGTTGACTCATTCCAATAAGTGGTTCAGTGTTGAGCGTCGAGAGCAAGGTCTCGACCAGATCTGCCCGGGCAGGCATCATGCCCAGACTGACCGGTTGCATCCACGAATCCAGGTAATTGAACAGATACCACTCTTGCTATCTAGCCACGAGATACCCCTAGACTAGCCCGAGGTTCCTCAAACCCGGTGCTCCTATAAACGTGGCTTCGGAGATTTAACTTGGTGGCGCTTGGCTCACCCAGGGACCGAGAGTTTGGAACGCTTTCACCCACACCACCGGGGCCTTTTGTTGCATCGAAAACCTTGAGAGACAAGCAATACACTCACTCACCGCCTGTATTAGAGTTTTTATGCTAGATGCTCAATGGATGAATCTTCTTCAGGTGGGACTGTCGATGGATGCTAGTTCCAAGCCTGTGGTCTCGTGACCAGAGACTCATGCGGGCGATCTAAGACAAAACAGGCCGTAACAAGGGTGTGTGGATGACATTGCAAGGAGCAGTTGCACTGATCCTGGAGATGAGGGTTTACAGACTCCCACGTTTCGGAAGACTAGCGGTCAGAAACCGCATTCGTCGATGAGGCTTTGTAAAGGTTTGCGCAAAGCAGCAAAATAAGAGTCGGCATATCGCTTGACCTTTTCCAGAAGCTCAAGAATGTAAGGGGTTCTGACAATGGGTAAATTTTCTTATTTTTACACCTGCAATCATGATCGGTTATCCTTCATTCAAATATGACACGGCTTCTCATGATATGGCAAGCACCCACTGCTGTTGATCCGATCCACTAAACGGCTGATCTGCACCACGCTGAGTCATCTGCAAGCACGCTACATTATTGCGATCGGTTCCAGGTCGCCAGTATTATTGCAGAAATGACGGAGTACTGAGATTATATCTGTATAGGAACATGGTCATCCTCTAATTGTCTAGAATAGGGCGAATGCTTAGCTAAAGTATGCGTGCATCACACCGGAGTTTATAGCCACCTTGGGGATTGGGATGCGGATTCGGGTTTTTACGGTGCCAAGACGCACATGACGACGAGAAGGGGTGAATAACCAGGTATCTTGAGGCAGGGGTGAAAGACAGTCGGGCAACGATATTGCGATAGTGCTCAGTTAGCCATCTTCTGCATCAATAATTCACCCTGGTCAACAAATCCACGTCGCTGGATCTGTTCGGCTGACCATTCGAACCAATGGGAATGTTGGGTGTCTAGATCATTGATCAGTCCAGCGAGGTGTCCTGCATGAACCAGAAATGCTAAGCGCCTGCACGACAACACAAAGTGATTGAGGAGAACAAGGGGTGAAGCTTTCTTCTCCCGCCAGTGGATCACAAAGGTGCCGTTCATGCTGTACAGCCAACGCATGACGATCTCGAGTTTATCATGGACACGCATCCTCGGGGTCAGTTGGTCTCATGTCATCTTAAAGCAGTCCTTCAACAAACTGAGTGACTCCATAAGCGTTCTGCGTCCAAGATCATGCGTGGTAGCCACCATATCGTAGAGTCCTTCATGTTGCTTCTCTCAGTACGCCATCTGATTATAGTCTAAACTGCGGATGATACCACGAACGTTGCGCATGGGCCCCCACCAAGGGACCTCGCCATCCTCCACATCGACTGAGAAAGAGGTGACCCGGGCTTGGCTTCATCGCACACGACGAGAGACAGACGAGAACAGTGGTATGGTTTAAAGATTGGCAGTTGATCTTGATCAGCTGTGGGATGGGGTTGGTCACTGCCAGCAACGCGCTTGTTGAGTGTTGCTCTGCCAAAGTCTCGTAATGATTGGACCGTGCTAGTCGAAGCCTCGCAAGGTGTTGCTCGAGATTGTAAGAACCATGTGAAGAATATAGTGATGCTGAAAACCGAGGTTTTGCAACATATTTACGCTGTACGTGGGGATCGCTCCGTGTAATAGCTATATGGCATATAAAATAGTGACATAGAAGATCGAGGTTACTAGCGTTGGCTAGCGATGGCAACGCCGGTTTGGTCAGTGGCAGAGCCAATATGTGCGGCGTGTTGGCCGCCTCAAAGTCGGACTTATTCGGGGTTGTTAGCTTCTGAACGGAATCCCCAGGTCTTCTGGGGGTGGCCCCGTGTTCTCGGCAGTGTCGCCGACGACGATGCAATGGAGGATGGCGCAGTCGGGTTCGTCAGGGAGAGTTGCAGGGCATCAAGAGCCTTGGACAATTAGCGCACTCGGATTTGACCCCGTCGCACTATCAGAACAACCCAGTTAGCATTATACTAGTCTAAGAAAGGTATACGAAGCGCTTGTCGACGGAGCTTAACCTGGTACAATAGCCGAAGACACCAGCATTGGGTTTGTCAATATATCTTTCGACACATCGGGAAGAAGGTTGTGGGTCCGGAATTTCGTGAGTCGTGGGACCTTCCCCGCCCATGGGCCCGGCCTTTCGGTCGCATGATTTTTTGCATCTAATAAGTAGTGTAGTGTATACCCGAGAATTCTTTGATTGGCCAACGATCCTTGCCGATCCTCCAACCCGTTCATAAACTACGGTCTAATCGACTTGTTCAAGATCTGAAATCTGCGATCCGGGAAGAGGCGGCCAAAGAGTGCCAATGTGGATAGCTTAGCTAATATCAGCACGATGACATAATTATTAGAGCATTTGCACAGCGTAAAAAATCTTGATATCAGTCATTAGGAAAGGCTAGAACTGATAGCACTGCTACCACAAGCTTGAGTTCCAAGCTTCTAGATGCGTACGGATAAGGACGGCATAAGCCCCCTGTCATCGACGACAACTCTGAAGAAAGTCAGTTGAAATCGTATCTCACACACCGACCGTGGGCCCACTGAGTTGGTCTTTGAACGTATCAGATGACTTTACATACTGCGCCATTTGTTGTAGAAGAGTAACATTCGTGTAGATCTAGGGGGCGATTGCGTCTAGTGGGTAGCTAGAATCGAGGAAAGAATTGGTTCGCTCTGGGGAGCGCAGGGATGGTTCGCTGATACGAATGTCAGCGTCGCCGGAAATGCGACATTTGAGTCCTAAGACGAGTTGCTGAGCTATTGGACTGGTATAGTAATCTATCCCATTTTCGGGCGTATCTGACACTCCAGGCCCGAGATTCGAAGGAGACCGAGGAACTTCGCCGCCGTTGGGCACTGGCTAGTCTACTTCCGACTAGTTTGGCACGTACTTGAACCCTCATCGTTCGTTATCCGCCCTCCTGGGACACACCTCATGAACGCCACGGATGCATGCGCATTGACGCGGGCATTGAGTTGAGATTGCAATTGACTTTTAACAAGGTAAAACGCGGAAAGCCTGGCAGCCAGAGTTGGCATGGGCGAATCTGCTGGCTGTTGATGTGGGCATGAGTCTGAATCATGACCCTGGGCGCGGTAGCGTGATCCTTGAGTTCATCCGATATCCGCTGGGTCAAGGTTTAACTTTGGGCTCCCCCATGCCAAGGTGTACAACCCACTCGACCGACTCTTTGGGTCATCAAGCAACGAACTGTTACTATTAACGGTCTACTGCTGTGTTATACTCACAATATCACATTGCGGTGACACATCACTCCATCGCCGCCACTTGATGTTCTCAGGCTCGCTGTTCCACATGCAAAGTCGACAAGCGTCTCGCTTCTTATTACCTTACGGATAGCCACGTGGATTGGTAGATTGCGAGCGGTTCAAGTCCGTTCGCGCGGGCTGCCTAGGGGTAGATATCCGAGGTTGGTGGAGAGGTGAGTGAATGGACCAGATCATGTCGAGTTTACAAGGTATGACGCAAACTAAACCATCAAGAAGCGCGGATCAAGTCTGAAGTCGACGTAATCAGACTGATTTGTAGTTCGAAAATTTGCGGGAGGACTTGCGAAAACTCGGTATTGATGCGCAGTAATGGGTTCCGTGGAACCGAGCACCTCGCGATTTAACTTGACATGCACTGACGCTGCAATCACGTTGTCTGGACAGGGAGGCCCCTGACCCAAACGCGCATGTTCAGCTCTAAGGCTTACCAGTGATCTGGGCCATGCGTAACGCTCGCCATTGAAAAGGTTCATGGAAGATGGCATCGCCAGTCCGAACTTCTTCTCGGTCCTTACGGACTTTCACGAATTCCCCAGACACACCTGACTTGCATCGGTGTGACAGCTTTTCTCACGAGCTAGAGCACACAGCAGGTAGGGAGATACGAATGAGTGAAAAGGCTTGTATTGTGTGAAGACGAATCTCCCGGGTGGAGGGCCCATATAAAGGGGGCCCTCGAGCTCGTTCATGTGACATGGCACGTGGTGTGGCTGACGACAACCGCCACACATACACGAGCCTCCTGTGATAGCTTTTGTGGGCCTTCAGGGCCCATGTCAGAACTCTTGGTTTCACTTCCAGCTGAATTTCAGAGTTCAAGGGAAGAGCCGTAATGGTCCAAGTATGTCATCCACGGACCTATGGGTGCCCTTCCGAGTAGTTCGTCTCATGTTTACAGCGTTGCATGGCGCTCTTGAGCCTCTCGACGCAGTCTCGTCTGTTTACTACGTAGCTTGCCTATATAAAAACCTACGCAACCTTACTTAATCGTACTATTACGGCTAGATTTAACGAATCAATATTCTAGCGAATTTAGCTACGCAACAGCGGGCTTCGGTACTCTCCATTGATCTGACCTAGCGAGAGGGGACTCCGCGAGGTGTTGACATTTAAATCAGTCAGCTAGCCGAAGTCTTACTTCTCCCTACGGTCTTATAATGAGGCTGCATCCTGGGTTACAGGCGTACGCGGATATTCTATTCTAGACCCGAACGTTTTGGCCTACAAGCTGCAGGGTAGCACCGCAGCATAATACCAAGCAGCCTGCTCTTGAATATCTATCGAGCAGACGAATATCTCTATTACTTCCAAAAGCTTAATTCGTAAGGTCGTTAGATATCTACGTCATCCATCACTTGTATATACAACCTGGTCACCCAGAGCCAATTGCAACGTATAGCATTACGAACGCAGCTTGAGCGTTAAACTGTGTCGAAGAGTCGCTTCCCGAGCGGGGAAAGACGTAGAAAATCGGCTTTCTACGTGAGATCGTCTGGGTCGGGGCGTTCAAACACAAATCCCACGTCGTGGGCAGGTCCGAAAGGTCGGAGCAATGGCCATTTGGACACTGTTTCCAGCTATGGCCATAACACCTCAATACTTCTTGAACAGGAGGGGGGCGGCCACGGGCCTCACTGTCGCAGGCTCTTCGTTAGGTGCGCTTGTATTCCCAATCGTGCTGTCGGAGCTGTTGGAAACTGTATGGTTCGGCTGGTATGTTCGAATCTGTGGCTTCATCATGATGCCGGCTCTCATAATCTCATCACCCACGGTCAGGGCCCGGCCCCTCCGCGAAAGAGTCGTTTCTTCATCTGGGCGACATTCCAGGAACCGCTCTATCTTTGCCCGGTCGATGACGTGTGTCTTATGTTCGTTGGCATGTTCGTTCTACTCTTCTATCTATCTACGTTTAGCATCGACTATGATATGAGCCCGGCGCCCACTCCGTACCTTGTCGCTATCATCAACGGAGCCTCGATTCTTGGACGCATCGTACCCGGGATCCTGGGTGACAGACTCGGCCGTATCAACACGCTCTTCGCTGGAGGACTTCTCACGCCGATATCGATCCTATGTTAGCCAAAGGCTGAGACCCAAGCCTCACTTATCGAATTCTCTGCAGCCGACGGTCTGACATCTGATGCTATCATCTCAGGCGACTCGGTGGTGTCTACGCTATGTCCAAATCACTAGAGGATATTATTGGCACCTACGTGGGAATGGGTATTGCGTTTGCATCCCTGTCTATTCTTATTGGACCACCTGTCAGCGGCGCACTGCTGAACCATTTTCATGGGTATAACCAGGTCTCCATGTTTAACAGTGTCAACTGTATAGCTGGCATTGTTCTTACACTTTGTGCGAAGCTATTCGCAAAAGAGGGTCTTTTAGGGGTTGTTTAAGAAATACATTCACCAAGATTAACTTGTTATGTGACACTCATCAAAGCCAGGGAGAGTTCTAGATGCATAGAAGACAGTTATATCATTATAGCTATCATCCATGCATTTGCTTGCAGTTATGCGGATTAACAGAGTTAGATGAGAGATGAGCTCGCTAACAATGACAATAAGGGGTACAGTACCAGCTCAAAAGTCTTGTTACAACAATAAGGACAGCTAATAAAAAGCTACATTAGGTGTTTAGGACATAGGGTCTTTGGTGACGCACTGTGAAGGGACCTCGAGCTATGAATGGGTCCTCTCTTCTACTCTTCTTTGGGTTATCCTTATTGCTGTAACAAGACTTTTGAGCCGGTACTGTAGAACAACAGTGGCGGGATCAGCTTTGAATGGGCCATTCACAACTCGCAATTACCCTATGCAGCTCCCTTACCACACCCTTGTGTTGCGCTACTTGGCCCTGGAATTCAAGGATCATCACATCGCCCAGCGTAGCAGCCAAGCCTGCAAAAAGCAGATAAACCCCCGCACTGCAGGGGTTCTAATTGGAGGATTATTCCACCGCGGAGAAGGTTCAATTTTGGCTACTGGTTCACGCTACCTGGCCAAGCCCACACTGGTAACCGTATTTTCTTTTCACGCAGCATTCCTTACTGATTACGACTATTTTCAGTAGCCGGTGATACATAGTAGATTGGATGACGTCTCCAAGGATGCTAAGCGTCCCCTGCCGTTTGGCTTACCATGGACATCCCGTAGCATTCTTGCTGCGTCTCTCCTCCGTTCGGACTGCTACGGAGTTAAGTTCCGGCTGCCGGTCGGCGCAATTTGTAATCAGTGGCTATTGACGTGCTGCATTAACGCAATGAGATGAGAGAAAACTTAAGCTTAAAGTTGTCCACCCCGTCGAATTTCGTCTGGTCATATTCGTCGTCCTTTTTCAGATCGAAACTGGCAAAAATATCTTCGCCAAGAAATATTCAAGATGCTCAGCAAGCCAATTGTTCTAGCCCTCCTGGGATCCGCTTCCCTGGCGAGTGCTGCGAGGAAATGCCCCGTTGCCGACGTTTCCGCCATCGCCCATACCGGCACACCGGTCGGCGAAGAGCTCTCCTATAACGGACGTAAGATGACAGCTATCCCGAGACATTTTCCGAGCGGCACTCTGACATGAATTGATGACAGTCACCCAATATGTCTCGAAGCCCAAGGCAGGGTTTGTGGCCGGCAATAAGACGACCGGTGTGCTGTACTTGACCGATGTGTTTGGTATTCAATTGCCCGAAAACAAACTGTAAGTCGGGCAGGCGGGAAATCTCTGCACATCCCGCAGTTGCGAGGCCTTTGAATGCTGATCATACTGACTCATTTTCTAGGCTCACCGACAGCTTCGCTCGTGCTGGCTATGTCGCTGTCGCCCCGGACCTATTCAACGGCAACCCGGCGCCGAACGACATCAACATACCTGGCTTCAACACAACCCAATTTCTCGCACAGCATGGCCCGAACGTAACCGACCCCATCATTGCCAATTCTATCAAGTATCTCCGCGAGGAGCTTGGTGTCGAGAAAGTTGCCGTCACGGGATACTGCTTTGGTGGTCGCTATTCGTTCCGTGTCCTTGCTGATGGCAAGGGTGCCCAAGTCGGCTTCGCTGCGCACCCGAGTTTGCTCACTGATGACGAGATTAAGGCAATCACCGGCCCCGCCAGTGTCGCTGCTGCCGGTGAGCTACTCCCCGGACGTACTCGAAATGACAAAGATGCTGACCAATTTTATGCAGAGAATGACAATCTCATGACTGCCGCTCGTCGCGCAGAAGTCGAGGCGCTCCTCGGCCAGACCGGACAGCCGTTTTCTGTAGCCCTGTATGGTGGCACTTCCCACGGTTTCGCCGTTCGTGCGAACATCTCGGACCCCAGACAGAAGTTCGGTAAAGAGGAAGCTTTCTTCCAAGCAGTGCGCTTCTTCGATACCTGGGCTTGATCAATACCTGTACATATGTATCCCAAGATATAAGTGAAGCTGATCAATGTGATGTCTTCTGGGGGTTTAATTATCCAATGCTAATTACGCTGCTGTTATCACCTTGAGTATTGACATGAATCTAAGCAGCCGGCACGGCGCCCCATCGGCTTTAATGTTTGCGATGGCCTTGATCGTGATGATTAATAGCCAGTACGCTGCATTTACCGACAATGGAAATTGGGAAAAATTGGCGTGCGTAATCTATTTGGAATAATCAAGTGATACCGGTTCTGTAGGCTGCGGTCGCACATCAAATGACGTTGGAAAGCGGCCTCAGTTTAAGTCTTAGTAGCAGGTGTTGCAAATTTTCTCATACTTGTGAAGATGGGATTCAACCCGCGGTATAAGGATCAATAACCGAATCAACTCATTGGTGATTGCAATCCTTACTGACAGTGGGAAACAAAACAAGTTTTAAGCCCTTTGAGGGGCATGCTCGACAGCCGCCGAGTCAATGTTCTTATATTATGCTGCTCGACAGCATTGTGGTTGCTATATTAATTCAAGGGCCAGGGAAGAATCGATCTTCCTAGATGCCCTGCTCAACCCAACCCGCCCATCATGTTCCCGGGTCGAGCTCCTACTACTACCCCAACAGTTCGCTATGTAACATGAAGGGGTGTGTAAGCCTGATTTGCCGCAATATTCACATCGGTTTGTTGAGACATAATACTAGCATTGTAGTATTCAACTTGGTATACTTAACGCACAATGCTCGATACTGCATAGACGCAATTTCACAGGAAACTATCAATTAATCAATAGCCAACTGATACATACGTCATCAGACGCGGTGAACAAGGTATAAGTTTCTCCTATATATGCAAATCGCCGCGGACGGACCTCTAACCTCCGTGAACCATAGCGAGCATTCGTTAGTCCCAATAAGAAGCCGAGAAGAATTCCCGTTTACCCCGCCTCCTCTTGATACCACACGCCGAGACTCACCCCGCAAATCACCCCAGACGTCTCTTTGGCAAAAGGTAAGGCCAAGCATTTGTCAAGCCATAGATACTTCAGAGCTCCCCATAACGTTTGGTAAAGCAGCTAGCAGTTTTGCCGGCGAAAGTAGCTTGAACCAATTATGGTCTAACTAAGAAAAGCTGGCCTTGCAAGATGGGCATCGTTGTATACCCTCTTGAACCTTCATGGATATGGTTCCATGTGCTAGTGAACCAAAACTGGGCGAGGTTCGGGGATAACAGAATACCTTATCATTTCTCTTATGGAAACTCATGTCATTCCCTGCTATTTTCATTTGACCCATGAGGTTGACCATTAGACAGTCACACTTCAAAATACCTTTTCATAGTCGATAGCTTGATCCTGAACATGCATTCCACTTACAGCCCCGTAGGGCCACCGTTTTCCGCTCATGTGCAGTCAGCGTGTCATGCCAGATGTTTTCGCAGCGCCGAGACGGACAAGGCAGCCTCTGCTCGATCAGTTCGGACGGTAAAGTGGTGAGTGCCAAATGCGGCTGAGATCGACGAGGCATCTCCGTTGTTCCTGACGAACGCCATACGACTCTAACGCACGACCTGGATCAGTTTCATGAGTATCACAGTCGCCGAGACCTTGGCTATTGTAAGCATGACTTGGCTCATGACCACCCGACCATCACATTTTACTGATGTTCACACCTTTGACCAATAATTCAATTGTCACTCCGTCGACAAGACCTTGGCAATATTTGAAAATGATCATTTACGGCTCGAGAAGCCATAGCCCCGATGTCCAGTATAGTCTGCTTCTCGACTGAGCTCAACTCTTGCAACATTGGACATGAACCCTTGTCGACTACGGGAATTCGTTCCGATTGACTCCGGATATTATCTAAAAATGCAAACAGAAATGATATTCAAGCTTGTGCGGGGCTTGTTTGAAGGGAACTGTTGTCGTTCCTGAGAGCCATGGAACCAACAACCTCAGTTTGTCTACAGTAACACTTGACCTGTTGGGTCCGTCATGGAACACTGCACAATGCCACTGTACTTCGGAAGGCTGGTGATGATCACTTCGGCGAGCTTCATTCCGCGAAAGGAAAAAAAGAAAAAAAAGGGGGGGGGGGATATGCTCAGAGGTCATACATAGAGTATAAGAATGGCGTATGTTTCCATATTGACCATGAGAGCTGAATTCACTCCCCATCAAGCCCTCTACTCTTTTGTTTTGATACTCAACAGAAGAAGAATCGATCCCTCTAGATATTCCAAGATGAAGTACACACTCACAGCACTTTCCATGCTGACCATAGCTGTGGCTCAGCAAGTCGGCACCGAAGAGTCTGAGATACACCCCAAACTAAGCTGGCAAAAGTGTACATCTGGTTCATGCTCCAACGTCAACGCCGAGGTCGTTATCGACGCCAACTGGCGTTGGGTCCACGAAGTTGGGTAAGCGGGATTCCAATATCATGGCCAAGTCACTCCTTCTAGTGGACCTGCCCTCTAGCTTCCGACTAACATACTTCCCAGTGGATATCAGAACTGCTACGAGGGCAACTCATGGACCGGACGATGCTCTAATGCAGACGACTGCGCCAAGAACTGCGCTGTCGAAGGAGCGAATTATAGCGGTACTTATGGTGTTTCGACAAGCGGAAACGCCCTGACATTGAAGTTTGTCCAGCAGCACTCGTATGGCAAGAATATCGGCTCTCGCATGTACCTGATGAACGGTGACAGCAAGTACCAGATGTTTACTTTGTTGAACAACGAGTTTGCCTTCGACGTTGACCTATCCACAGTGGAGTGTGGTATTAATAGCGCTTTATACTTCGTTCCTATGAAGGAAGACGGTGGTCTCTCCTCCGAGGCCAACAACAATGCTGGTGCCAAGTACGGTACTGGTTATTGTGACGCCCAATGTGCCCGCGACCTGAAGTTCATTGGTGGCAGGGTAAGTCTTGATGCTCTTCTTCATTGGCCTCAGCACATGTATAGGACTCAGCTCACTCCAATGCTCAACAGGGCAATATCGAAGGTTGGGACTCCTCTGAGACCGACAATAGCGGCGGAGTTGGCAACATGGGCGCTTGCTGCGCCGAGATCGACGTTTGGTAAGCCTCCTAAATAATCTTTTTATGAAGATGTGAACACTCATACGATAATCAGGGAGTCCAATGCTCATGCCTTCGCTTTGACCCCCCACGCTTGCGAAGACAACAACTACCATGTCTGTGAGGGTGACACTTGTGGCGGCACTTACTCTGAAGACCGCTACGGAGGCGGCTGCGATGCCGACGGTTGCGATTACAACCCGTACCGCATGGGTAACCGTGACTTCTACGGTCCTGGCAAGACAATCGATACCAGGAAGAAATTCACCGTCATCACTCGCTTCCTGCCTGATCGCATGTACCAGGTTTTCATCCAGGACGGCAGGACAATTACTGTTCCTGGTGCGAAGTGGGACGGTATTCCCGAAACCTCCGACATTACTCCCGACTACTGCAGAGCTCAGTTTGCTACCTTTGGCGAGCGCGATCGCTTCAACGAAGTTGGCGGATACCCTCAGCTAAACGCTGCTCTCGAGATCCCTATGACACTTGTGATGTCCATCTGGAGCGACGTAAGCCTCCTAAGAAACAGAATCCGGGCATTAGAAAGAAGCTTACATTCTCATAGCACTACTCCAACATGCTCTGGCTGGACTCCGTCTACCCTCCCGAGAAGGCCGGTCAGCCCGGCTCCGAGCGTGGACCATGTGCTACAAACTCCGGCGTCCCCGCCGAGGTCATTGAACAGTTCCCCAACGCCCAGGTCACATGGTCCAACATCCGATTCGGCCCTATTGGAAGCACCTACAGTGTTTCAACTTAGGAGGATGATACCTGGTCCTGGAGAAAGTTGAAATTCTGATTGGTGGTTCTAGCATTTTATATGGAATAACCTCTGGCAAGTTTCTGTTGGTATCACAGGGCTGGTGACCTAGGTCGAAGTGGTGACATGAGAGGGGTGCAGTGGTAGTATGTCTTATTCCTGAAGAAAATAAGAGGCTATCGCGAGTTGCCTTGTTGAAAGTTGGGACAATCACTCTCTAGATGGATGTGGAGGGGCAGTGGGCTATACCGGAGATTAGCTTCAATGTCGGCGATAGCTGGCGATGCCGGGCATTGCAACAGTTGCTGTACTTACCTTTGCTTCTCTATCAATCGTTGAGGATCTTTTATATCACAGGAGGCTCATGTATGTGTGGCGGTTGTCGTCAACCACACCACGTGCCATGTCACATGAACGAGCTCGAGGGCCCCCTTTATATGGGCCCTCCACCCGGGAGATTCGTCTTCACACAATTCAAGCCTTTTCTTCACTCATTCGTATCTCCCTATCTGCTGTGTGCTCTAGCTCGTGAGATTTTATTTTCCCCTTCTGTGACCTTTAAATTATTCAACTTAGGCAGATAGCTATGGACGTGATTATTTGTTACAGCTGTGGTGCGTCTAGAGTGACCTTATAATATAACTGGGTCACCGCCAGACTTGTTGGCTGTGGCGCGATATGAGATCTTTTCAGTTTGACTACGTAAGCAGCTGAAAGATAACAAAAGCACAAGCTCGGGCTCGTTAACACCAGATAGGCTGAACTTCGTTCCTCCGACACGACATTCGGATATCGCTTTGTGGCGTATGAAGGAATCAGTTCGGAAGCTGCCAGTCAGGGATGAACATCAAGACACAGTGCTTGCTTCAGTGTTTTCAGGTGTTTCTGTGCGTGGAAGCAGGTGGATATTTGTTAGAAATCGGATACTAAAGAAAAGTCAGGGGATCGAAAAGCCGGCCCTTGGCTGTGACTGGGCAAGTGGAGCAGGCAAAAAAGCATGGGTGTAACAAGCATCTGCTTACAGCTCAGACGAAAGGTGAGAGAGCTGGAGGGGCAGAGGGGTTAGCCCCGACTGTGCCTGTTGGTTGGGTAAGACTAACGTTAGTTGCGAACGCTAATGCAGCCTGCTGACACGCTAAAATCTGGTCCACATATTAATGGGACATAAATCCGACCGAAGGCGCCTCGCTGATAATCATGACCATAGGCAGGCTGTCTTAGCAATCTACTTTATAATGATCGTTTGGATAGCAAGACAAGCTCCATCAACGGAATGAAGTAGACGGTCTTTGAACGATTAAATCTGAAGGTAGTTCGATTTCCCCAAAAACCGCTGGACCATGCGATTTTGTATTTTCTGATGAGCATTGAGGTCTTCACCATCGACAATTGTACCGTCACCTATCAAAATTGGAACTTGCGGCACACCCAACTCGTCGGTGGTAGGAGCCGTCAGCATGCTGCATATAGTCCATGTGACAGCCATTCTCATTTCAAAACTCCACCTTTTGCCTTATCTTATCAATTACCCTTCGGTCTTCGCGCCACCTTGTTGGTCCGGCCTTTCGCATGCCGGCTCTCAACTAGCGCCAGTGTAAGGAAGGACCCAAGGAATTCAACTGGCGCAGACGATGGAATTGTGTTTCTCTCCTGAAGGAGCGGTCCCTACCGGGATTTCTATCGAGATTAATCCTCGCCTGGCGGAACTAAAAGACCCCTCAGAGGACTGGACCGGCGTGACAAGTACGGCGGAAAGGCGGAAATTACAGAACCGCCTAAACCAGAGGGCTCGGCGTAGGTGGCACCACCACCCACAACCCGTTGATCTAAATGGACAAGGTTGACTGACAAGGCTCTTCTTCGTCCAGGTCGAAGAACTCAGGCGAATCCTATGAAGAATACTCCGTCGAATCCAAGTTCTGAGCCGGATTCAGGCTCAGACCTATCGACAGTGCTTGTGAAGTCGGTACCGCCAGTCAAGAATCAGAATCAACTGGCTTCGGAGATGAGAGCCAAAAGACATCCAGAGCTATGCAGACTCGAAACTCAGATACAGCTGATCAGGTTTGCTGGAGAAGCCTACGAAAACTATCTCAATGGGAATCCCCGTCCTGCCTACCTTACAACGCTTGTTCGCGTGAACGTTTTTTACGCCTTCGTACAAAACGCCCGTGTCCTTGACTTTGATGGCGGGTGGCTCACATATGAAGCAATATCACCCTTCAATAAATCGGGGCCAGGTCTCGGGCATGCAGCGGTAGGGAACTCGTGTCCTGAGAATATGCGTCCCACCGAGCTGCAAGTTGCAGTCGAGCACCATCCATGGATCGACTTTTTCCCCCACCCTAGAATGCGGGATAATTTCCTTCGAATCGTTGCCGAGCAGGGAGAAGACTACATTGACGAGGATGACTTGTGCCGGGATATCGTAGACGTTGGAGCCGGGGCTGGGGTGGAGGAATCTGCCCTCAATGTCTGGGGCGAGGCTTGGGATCCACGGGGATGGGAAGCAACCGAGCCGTTTCTGAAGAAATGGGGTTGGCTTTTGGCTGGCTGCACGGACATGCTAGAGGGGACGAACTATTGGAGACAAAAGAGAGGGTTGCCGAAATTGAGGTTCAACTGGTCAACCTTGTAGTATGTACACCCAGCTGGTCGATAGATGTGTGGTACAGTTAGGAGATGTCACGTCATCATTGATAATCTGTCGTGACGAGGACTTAAAAAGTATTTATAGCAGTGACAACAATGGTTCCACCTTTGTCATCACATAATCTGAATGCATTATACCAGCTACTGCTATGTCACCGTCACATATTTCGGGACCTTTTCTCCTCAAGAAGTTCCAGAAGCCGTAAGAAGTAAGGAAGGAATGCTTCCAACTCGACCTGGAAGCCTTCATGCGCCCCCGGAACATCGAGCCGAGGACACTCCAAAATCTTCTCTTGTTCATCAACTGCCTGCGCATACCAAGCGTCCCTGCTTCTCGTACCCCTCATCAATCCGATGCTGGTATTGTTCTCTTTTATCCGATACAAACTTGGCAGGTAGCCTAACAGAATAGCGAACTCGTTCTCCCAGAAGTTCACTGGGTTACTCGGCTCCGGCGACACAGTGCTTGGTACGCCCTCATCAGAGTACCCAATGAGTTTTGATGCAAACTGCGTCTGTGCAGCCTGAAGACCAGAATTCTCGTATAACTCGAGGCAGTCATACAGAAATTCGAAAACCTCGGAGGCATTCGGCAACAAGGTGAAGGTCGGGGCCTCGTGCGCAATGATGTGATCGACCATGTGGGGGAAGTCGATTGCGAACTGGAACGACAAGATACCACCCCCGCTGCTCCCAAAGAGGATAGTTTTGTCGAACCCAAGGGCTTTTACGATAGCGCAGATGTCACGGGCTTGCTGCGGAGGGTTGAGCCTCTTGTTGACTTTCGCCTTGCTTGCAGACATCTGGCGCCGGTCGAAGGTGGCGCAAGTGTACCTGTCTGATAGCGCGGTGATGATGGGGTTGTATTGGCGTCCATGTCCATTGCCTCCAGGAACGAATAAAATGAGAGGGCCTTGTCCTTGGTACCAGTAGTGAATGTCGCATCCCTCATTGGAGAGGATGGACATGGTTGGTCTAAATTCCATAGAGACAGCTTATCTATGATCTTGGGTCTGTGCGAGGCAGTCAATGATAATAATGAGACTGCTTGATCAGAGAATCTTCGAACAACGTTGATTAGTGTCCTGGTTAAGTAACAATATTGCATGACTGTCTGACACGCGGAACACCAATGCCTCTTCAGAACCCGTGACTTCAAACACAAAAGTTCCGCTGCTGACTGCGGGGTTGATAATCCCGTCAGACGAAAATGGCCAGATATTACGGGTTATTGAGGCTAATATGTGATAGGACCGGCTTTTTCATTGTTGGGCTGACGAGCTATCTTGCATGGCTGAGAAGCGGATTAATGCCCGACTTTGCATCCTGGATAACAATACCGAGCAACGTGACCAGAGATAGTAACAAGATCTCGTAGAGGAATAAATATCCATGTTATAGCACTACTTTCTTAGTTACAGTCATATTTGAACATTCGAATCTGAGGGATAATCAGGAGAGCTTTGATTCCGGACTTCATTCGCAAAATCATGCCAGCGCTGAGGAGCCAGGATAACTCATAAAGAACTAGATAGTATCCATAATTCAACAAATTCCTTAATTTCTTTATCAACACCAGTTCTCTTAAGATTAAAGCAGGCTCGGACTCCAACTTTGTGGCCTCTTTTGGTCTAGTACGGCTGGATCCATGGTCTGCAGCGCGTTGCAGCACAGAAGCCGTTGCAACAGGGTCCAACATATTGTACTTGAGTGTTGTAGCATTCTCCGTATGTTGCGACACAGATGCCAAAGCAACTGACTCCGGTGATAGGCTGAGGCGGCCCAAGGATGACCTGCTGCAACCCCTGTGAGGTGATACCGCTCGCCAGTGCTTTCTCACCGTTAGTGTAGAAAGTACATTGCGAGATGGCGTTGTAGTCCGGTGCGTCAATAATGTTGACGGCGATATCGTTGTCTTCAAGTTATAGGGTCAGTACGTCCGCCTTTGAAGAAAGAATATAGTATAGAACAAACTGGTTGCATGCACCTGCCCATCGGCGGGGATAGCCAGTTCGTACGACGCGGCCCCCCCGTGGAAAGTCAGGTGAACCGTCTGGAAGACATCACGCTCTTTAAGAGGCTGAGATAGGGCGGGAACAACAATGGTAAGAGACAAGAACGAAATGGTGGACAACTTCATCTTGAATGATAGGACTTGATATACTGGTACTGCGACTTATTTCGTTTTTGAAGGTATGTTGCTGCTCAATGTAGTTGTGATATGAATCCCAAGAACTTGAGATCCGGTCAAACCTTTATACCCGCCCTCTGTGTTAGTGGTGCTGAATCCTCAGCAAGGAAAGACCTATCATGATCGACTTCGGTGAATAGCATGACCCGACTCTTACCACCCGACGAATCATTTTCAACAGTTGTGCTCTCTGTAACACCTTTCTTTCCACGTTCCCACTCAATTTCTGAAGCCGGTTCGACTAAAAGCCATCGAATACGAACTCACGTGTCATATGTCTGACTCTATTTTTGTACTTGACAGCCACTATGGGCAGGTTACATCCCTTCAAGGTTACATCTCAAGTAAAATCTGACAGGCAAGTATGAGTCTCGTAAAAAGGAGGTGGAAACCAGGGAGAGGGGCCCCAGTTACAAAAGTCGAGCCAATACCAAAGGTACTCGCAAACCGCTGGTGCTGGTCGATCCGTGGGCTGAACCGTCACTAGCGCCATGTTCAGCTTGGCCGTGAGAGCGGCTGAGTGTTATTGAGGGGTAGCGGGTGGGCATTGCACCACCCAAGAATCAAATCTCACGATATTGTGATGCTGTAAGGCTAAAGGTACTTGCGTCGTCATCTGCATACATTTTTGATCGGCTCTTTAGTCTATGCTGGGACTTGTATCTGCGAACGTCAGACGACAAGGGAGAGAGGGGAGCTCGTATCGATACATGCCCGATAACGCGGAAAAAGCATGCAGTTGACGCTTGTCTGGAACTATGTCTCAGTTGGGTCCTCCCCTTATGTACCTTTGAGTATAACTGGGCTGCGGTCAAGCCAGACTTCGCACTAGGGGATAGATCTTCGTTGCTGACGATCCTGTGATACGTTCCAGTAAGTGTAATGCACTTCGACTGGGTGGCAAGCGGAGACCAATAGTACTGTGGTATTCATGACAAGTTGGTGATCCTTCCTGTTGAAGTACATGTGCATTTATTATCTGCAAACAGCGAGGGGCGAAAAATAATCGACTTATCTGCCGAATTACAAGGGGGCAGATATTGTTGACACCTCATGGGGTCAAAACTTTGGGCTTTATGCTTTGCCAAATTTTCCAGACGTTTCTTTATGTCCTCCATATCATGAGGTCGAGATAGCAATGTAGTTTGTGTTCGTGCCCCCTTGCCACGCCATCTTTTTTTCAACGCTCCTTATAACAAGATTTCCCTGAGCCTCATTACCTTCATCACCTGTATGTGCTTTGGTCTAGAAGATGAGCGGATGTGATCTATGATCCGATGGTGCCAAAGGCCTTAACTTAATACCCATACTCGACAGGCAGGAATCTCCATCCCAAACATCGCAGTCAGCTTGGCACACTGTGCCGCTCTTCGGTACAATTCCGTGTTCAAGATACTCCCGAGCAATTCTCGTTGTGCAACGACTGCTAGTTGTCATGCTGCAATGCCCAACGGATTCCTGGATCACGACCGCCGACCCGGGATGACGCTCACTCTCCTTCAGCGCGTTCCTCAATGGCGTCACCGGATCAAGCCGAGACGTCAGGAACAGCAAAGGAGCCGCGGGTTTACCGTCAACCACAGCGGGGTCGGGTTCCGGTGTTGCGAATGGGCCGGCGAAGCGCCACTTGGGACGGACATTCCAGCCCGTGCAAGAGAAGCGGATTCCAGACCAGTAACCAGCGAACGTTGGTGATTGAGACTCAAGCTTCGAAATGTAGGCCCGGTAATCAGCGATTGTGAGGTTTGTGCTGTCTTCACCGCCACTGCAAAGAATGGCCGGGGCGCCATCGCCGACTGCACTCGGAGGGGCCGATGAATTGGGGTTAGAGCAGGCGTCGTCGAGTTTGGGGATATCAGCTGTAGCGGTCTCTATAAGGGCGGTGTAGTTCCCCTCTATGGCCGAGTTGATCTTCTCCGCCAGTTTCGTGAAGTCCCGATAAGGCGTATAGAGGGGTCTTACGAACGACCTCGTAACGTCGTAGCCCGTCAAGATTTTAGTGAGTTTGCCGTCTAGAACTGAGACTGGTGAATCATCCAGCTGCTTGACCAATTGGTTGACACGCTCCCGAATGTCTTGCCACTTTCGGTCAGACGGCCGACTAAGGGCGCACTTTCTTCCGGATATAAAGCATGACGTGCAGAAGAACTCAACAATCTTCTCGGAATCTTGGAGGTTAGTTGTCCACCCCTGTGCGCTAGGTTAACGGTCCGTCGGAACCCAAATGAATAAAGAGTTACTCACAGCAGCCATATAATCATCGGCGTCAACAATTCCGTCAAGAATGATCCGCTGAACCCGGCCGGGATACATAGATGCAAAGGTGTTGCCCAGCAAACTACCATATGAGAAGCCCCAGTACTGTAGACGCGGCAACTCTTTAGCACTACGCAGCTCCATAGGCCTTTGTGCTTTCTCCTCCTCAAAGAACTTTGCGGCAACTTCGTCATCCCGCAGCTCCTGGATCTTGTCCAGCATCTCAACCATGTCGCGGACAACAGACGCTGTCGAAGCATATGGGAGAATGGAGCCGTTCACAGCGCTCTGAGTGCACAGCTTCCCGTAAGCTTGAATACGCGCCCACTGCCGCCTGAGCGCATCTAGACTGGCGTCGAGAGGCCCTATGGCCAAGCGCTGGATGGCGTCCATGTCTCTAGCAATGAGGTCTTCGTAGCAGTCTGCCTTTGGCGAGGTGAACTGAACACCTCGCGGGTCCCAACTCAGAATCTCATACTTCTTGTTGCCGTCGACAGTATCTTGCAATAGGTGGCCCTCTCTGAGCAGGAGCCCAACACCCGAACCTCCAGGACCGCCTGGGTTTGTGAAAATGGTGCCACCGAATGCCGGATCGTGGTCGGGGACCTTTGCCGGGAGCTTGACGATGGCCAGCGCAACGGTGTACTCGTTCTTCTTATCGAGCCAGTCGAGAGGTACCTTGAGTCGTGCGCATTGGAACTCTTCATAGCATGGGTGGTACTCCAGCTTCGTTGACGGCGTGATTGTTGTCCAATTGAAGTCATTCAGATCCGGATAATCGCGCTCACCTGCCCTGGCAATGCCTGCCAGCGCGAATAGGACAGTTGAGGATCTCATGGTCGCATACGGTTGTTGCCTTCCCTATGTCTGCAGGTATGGTGTCTCTAATGACTGAGCACCTATTGATTATCTCTGTCACCAGTGATGGCGCTGGTTACCTGTGCCACGCTGAGACTTTAAATTTGATAGAGTGAGGAGAAGCTTTAAAAGGCCTGGAGGGAGACCAGGAGGCAACGAGTGGGATGCTGCGTCAGCAGGAGTGCCTGCAAAGCTGCATCAGCAGGGTACGTACGATGATGACGTGTTTAAGACCACAAAGCAGAGGCAGGAAGGTGAGTGAATGCAACAAATGGTAAGGGTACGGTGGTATTCATTAAATCTGACCAAATGTGACTGGAGGAAATCTAACTACGGATATAGGATCATGATTGACATTGGCAAATTGCAGAAACCCCCCACGTTCAACGCTTCATGGCAAATTCAATCTTACTCCTCGAAATCCGACAAGCGCACAAGCGACGATCCCACGCCCGGCATACTTGTCTATTGGCGATGAGCTTGTTGGGTATCTTCGAGCCTCTAGACGTTGTTGATTGGCACTGTAATCTTCCCCTTGGCTATCAAACCAAACAGCGTCTTCAAGTTTGGCTCGAATCTCGCGTCGTCTCGGGTGATGTAGGTAGTAGAACCGAGTCCTCTTGCCACAGAAGTGAACCGTACCCCGCGCCAATAGTTTCACAGCGGGCATGACAACCGACCGGCTTTCGCTATCATCGTTGAGCGATGGCAGGTTCCCGCCGAAACCAACAAGGATGCCAGTAGGTGACAAAATCGAAAACGACTCGTCCCAGCTCTCGAATCCTAAAGGATCGAACACAGCATCTGCCCCGCCGAGGTCCTTCATTATCTTGATCCAGTTCTTGTCGGTGTAAACAAACGGCGTAGCACCCTGTGCACGGGCGACTTTGTGGTTCCGCTCCGATGCCGTGCCGTATACCTGGGCGCCCTGCAGTTGGCATAGCTTCATAAGGGCATAGCCGACGGCCCCGCTGACGCCGTGGATGAAGACTCGCTGGCCCGCAGTCACCTTGGCGGACTCGAAGACCATGGCGTACGCCGTGTTCCAATACAAGACCAGGGCGTTGGCCTGCTGCAAGTCGATGCCTGCAGGTACTTTTATGAGGTACTTCTCTGGGAGGTTCACCAAGTCGGCCTCCGCGTCATAGACAGTAAGTAAGACAAGCGACGATTTCCCCAGCAGCGAACTTGGACGCTCCGGGACCGTTGGTCTTGACGATGCCGACGAGACAGTAGCCAGGTGTGAGCGGAGCTTTGTTCTGCATCGGGTAGACCCCCCTGCGCATGTTGATGTCGGCCCCAGAGAAGCCAGAGTAGATGGTCGCTACTTGCACATGGTTCTTGGGAGGGGGGGTGATGGTGTCTTGGATGATATGAACTTTGGATGCATCACCGAACTCTGTAATGACGACCTTGCGGATGGTGGTTCCCGACATGGTGAGATCGTGTTTGAGGGATTGGTTGGTCTGAATGAGGAATAAGATGGATCGTTTATGCTCTTCTTTATTCCTACACACTCGGTTTCCCTATCGTGTTTAAACTATTTCATTTCTGGTGACGGACACCATATTCAACATCATCATCGGCATTTTTCGGCCTTCGCGAAGACAGTCGGCCTGAGTGAATCGTGCCGACCGATACGCCCAATAGAGTCTATTACGCCGACATGAATGTCGAATAGTCGCAGTTACATACACTACGCCAGCAATTGGCGCTACGTGCTCAAATTGCATCGCTCCACGGAGTAACTCGACGGCAATGGGGAGTGCGCCGCCTGCAGGATCAAGTGAAAGGGCATAGACACACGAAAGAGCGCTGACAATAGGAATTGCGCCGATCAGAGGCGCTATTATCCCTGTATGGCGTCTGCCTGTTTCATGGCGCGATCCTTCGCACATTCCCCGGGCTGACTTTAAGCCGACTCGCTTCAGAGGCTTACCTTACTGGTCAGCACTTGGGGTACTCTGTCTGGCTGACAATAGCTAGCTATACTATCATGCCCCGACCCTACAATTCCATAAACGGGCTGAAGTTGTACCGCAGCGCATCAGCAACTTGCGTGGCTTTGCCAACGTAATACAGTATTATAACGATTGGTGCTTCTGGTCAATCCGCGGGTCGATGCCTATCCATGTTTCAACACGGAAGCCTGTTTTGGGTGTAGCAAGAATCATCTGACATTTTGGTTTCCAGAACTGTCCTAATCTTTCGTGATTTAATGACGAGAGAGGACTTGAATGCCAAAAGAGAGACTCGCTTAGAGAGCCATCTCCAAGTATCCGTAGGCTAGTAAAAATGAGCTACGGCGATATGGTGTAGCTATTGCACTTGTTCGAAGACAAACGTTACGCAACTATAGCCGAATCAATTGTTTCCTACATCCCAAGACCTTCTCGCAAAGTCACACATGCCAAAGAAGGGTCGGACCTTAGTCAGACTGCAGCCGTGGAAAGTACATCTTGGCTGAAAGCAGAGGCCTATCTATACAACACTTACAGCGAGATCCAACGCCAAGCAGATTTTATGGCCGCACCTGAGGAACAATTAGCTTGGGCGATGGACGAGGTAGGGTTAGCGGCTCCGACCAAATTTCAACGGTCCCGTCGCTTCTCTTTGGTTTATAGGTGTTGTGAAGGAGTACCCCGGATATGACAGGAGGATACGGTTGATGTGATTAGGCTCGGAGCAATATTCCGTGGCTTTCATAGTCCACTTTATCCGCAAGTTTTGGACCTACGGCCATAGAACATGATCGACTTTCTTCAATGTCGTTAGTCCTTGACATCTTGATCAGCGAAGAAGAGTAATATATAATCTAATGCAACACTCTTCTAAAGTACCAATATACCACTTGCATCCTCACCTTAGGTGCGTAAATGCTTATTCTAGGTTCCCTTCCGCGGAAATCTAAAGAATCGGGCAGTCATCTCTTGCTGGATCATGAATGGGACGTCTGTGCTGACTACACAGACTTTGATTCAGACCGTGATGAAAGCTTGAGAAAAGCTGGAGGCTTGAATCGTAATTCATGATGATATGTCCAAGATCTCACAATGGAGGTGGGAAAGTCAGGGATAGCCTTAATATATCATGTCATTATCTCCGCCAGGCAAGCAAAGACTTAGACCTTCGTCCGATGGCTGTCTGCTCAGTGTGCCCTCCGAGAAGTATTACAACTGGTTATGTTTTCCTGAACATAGTTCTTCTTTGGTTCCGCCTATGGTTTTCTCATTAGGCGGACCGGTGACTTAGGTACATTGGTCTTGCTGGAGTCCCCCTCACGGCAATCGGTACAGCGCTCTTGATTCCGTACCACACACCCAGTATTTCCGTAGGTGTTCTTGTTGTAATTCATATGCTCAACCGCCTTGGGACCAGCATCTTCGTCGCATGTGCCAGATTTCGATTCAATCTGTTGTCAACCATCAGGAAATCGCGACCGTGATGGCCATCTGGGGCTTGTTTGGCCCCACCTCGTGCCATGCCATTGCACCCATGAAATATCTATGCTACAGAACTTACTACACAGAGCAGCAACCAATAACCACAGTGCACTCACGATTTTGTCAATGATGGCCTGCGAAAGGTTGCTTCGAATAATAGTCAAAGCGTTTTCCTACAAAAGAAAACACTAGAATTGGGGGTATCCATACCATCTTTGTGCACCGCATGCAGGCCTCATTAAGAGCTTTTATTCAAGCGACTCCCCTCTTCGAGTTTGGGACACTGATGCTCTAAAGGCCCCGAGATCACATATCACAATCTGTGAAGACAAAGGTGGAACCTGCTACTGCGCTTCAGTACCGTCACGACACAATCGCATTGCTGTTGACCAACGCGGTACCTGACGTCACATTGAATCATAGAAGCAACTGCCGACAGTGCGGAGCAACGCATAAAAAGAGCCGATTTGAGGGAGCAGGGGCAAACTGTGCCCCGGAAGTTTGTCAATCGGCAACGCTCCGATAAGTCACCTGCGCGGGATGACATTGAGCGTTAAGCAGCACAAATCCACCAAGCCAAGGTTTCCAATTCCTTTGCCCGGAACATATTGGGTTTGAACACAGGCTGACGTGGGCTAGGTATTAAATCCGTCCTCCATTAAAACCCCCGCTCAGACATTGATGAACGGATTTGTCCCCTCATCTGGCCCCGCGTTTAAATCCGGATGCCCCGCAGGCATCATTGAAAACCCACCACGATACCACGACGTTTCAAATTATTTATCACCGCGAGGGATTTAAGACAACAGCAGACGACGCAGAAGAGAAAGGGAAGGAACACTGAACTTCATTCCTATTACACATCGATATGTCTTTCAGCCACCACCAAGCGCCCCCTTTCAGGGCAGAGCACATGGGCTCTCTGCTCCGACCCCAGAAGCTCCTCGACGTTCGGGAGGGTAAGATTCGAGACCAGGGCCTATCCGAGGAGGAAGCCGGTCTTCCTGCCGTCGAAAAGGAGTCTGTAGCTGAGGTCGTACAACTGCAGCGCGACCTTGGCATCAAGGGCGTTACCTCGGGCGAGTTCAATCGCACGCGCTTTTGGGGTCTGATGTGGGATGAGTTCGAGGGTACCACCCGCTTGCAAGATGCCGAAGCCAGCATGTTCCGTCTCTACCACCCGGATGTCGTGAGCCTCATCGAGCAGGACCGCAAGGTGATGCCTGGCGACTCTGTCATAGCCGGCGGTAAGCTATCGCACTCACCAGAGAAGTCCAAGTCCAACCTGCATGAGCTCCACCTGGTTCAAGCAGCACTTCCCAAAGAGGAGTGGAAGAACATCAAATTGACCATGATCACGCCCGCCTGGTTCCACATGCGCTACAAGCAGGGCAGAGCCTACACCAAAGAGGCGTACGCCAACGATGCTGAATATTTCAGTGACGTCGCCAAGGTGTACCAGGCAGAGCTCAGGCAACTCTACGAAGCTGGTCTGCGCAATGTCCAATTCGATGACCCTGGGATGGCTTGTAAGTTACCACAACGTCTGGCGCGAATGTAGCTGCTGACAATTTTCTAGACTTCTGCTCTCAAAAGTTCCGTCAGGGATGGGACGAGGACAAGGACAACGAAGGTACCGTCGAAGACCTCCTCGACGCTTACATCAAGCTCTACAACGACATCACCAGCAAATTGCCCGGGGATATGCACACGGGTATTCATCTCTGCCGCGGAAACTTTATTGGCGGTCGTCACTTTGCTGAGGGTTCTTACGATATCATTGCCAAAAAGCTCTTCCAGGACCTGGATGTGAACACTTTCTACCTTGAGTACGACACTGAGCGTTCTGGTGGCTTCGAGCCCCTCCAGTTTCTGCCCAAGAATAAGAACGTTGTTGTCGGCATCATTAGCACCAAGGTTCCTAAGTTGGAGGACAAAGAGCAGATGAAGGCCCGTGTCCTCAAGGCGGCGGAGTTTGTCGCGAAGGGCAGTGGTGAGACAAACGAGGAAGCTCTGAAGCGTATCTGCGTGTCGCCTCAGTGCGGGTTTAGTACCCATGAGAGCGGGTACCCGTTGAGTCTGGAAGATGAGAAGAGCAAGCTTCGATTGATCAGAACGATTGCCGATGAGATTTGGGGCGAGGCGTAGAATGTTAGCCAGATTTACGTAGTGTGCGCATGATGTGGAGTGTACATTCAACATGTGTAATGTATCCTGGGTGGTTGGAAATAGCGGGCACAGAAGATATTTGGTCTTGCTGGAAATTATGGGAATCTACAGTTTCCGTTGAGGTTTTTTCTGTCTGCCATGATTAGCTTTTAAAAGCTGCACTATTAATTAATTTAAACGGCGGCTACGCCTTATTTCTAACATATAAATGTTGTAGACTCTGATGCAGAACCGGCATAGCTTGCTGTAGGTGGGCATCGACATATTGGCTCCTAACGCGCATAGATTGAAAAAGAATGACTACATTAACTATCTGAAATACCCCTTGCCCAGGTATCGATTGCGAGATGGTGGAAACAAGGAAAGAGAGAAATAAATGTGTATCGGCTTGAAAAGAAAAACAAATTCTTGAAGGGACAATCGGCTGTTACCCTGAGCCACCGCAAGACCGGTAACTGATATGCACCGGATTAGGTGGCCTTGATCGAGCGGATAAGGTTCGTCAATCCGCTCGAAACCTGACTTAGAAGCGAGGATTCGGATTTGTTGGTCACGACACTCCGACTTGTCTCGTGAGAACGTCTTCGCTGGTGCATCTCCTTGACGAACTTAGGCCAGGTGTTCGTCAACACAAGATACTTGATGTGGGCATGCGCGATATCGAATACTGTAGAGTCAAACTCCGAGGGAACCTCGCCTGTATACCGGACTTGGTTCCGGAGGTCGCCATGGTTGCCTGAGTCCGATCCCTCGTGCCCTTGCACATATGCGTCGTCGAAAGGTACGGCGATGTTGATTGATGGGTCCTCGCCAAACATGATGCGGGCCGGCTTGTCGAAGATAGTGAAAAGTTGCTTCATTTCTTGCGAGGGAAGATTTAGCGGAAAGTAAGCGTGCTGAAGAGAGATGAAATCGGCGTAGATTTCCAGAGCACGGTTGTACACTTCTAGTCTTGTATCATCGCCAAGAGGCTCTTGTGATGTGGAACCAGACAGTGCATGAGGCCAGGAATGAGACTTCCACTCAGACACACGAGCCAGGAATGCGATGTTCTCTCCGGAAAAGTCGCTAAGAGCCGAGAATTCCTGCAGCGCACTCCGATTCTCTCTAAGAGCGTGGTCGAGGGCAGTCATTGTTAGCAGGCGGCTGTCCGGCTCAGAACCTATATCGGAAGGCTTCAACTGGCAGAGAGTTGATTGGCCTTTTTCTTCCTGGCTAAAACTCAGAGAGTTCTTGGTACCATAGAATGAAACTACAGTGGATGATCTATTAAAGGTCATTTGCGACCCCGTCTCCCACCTTGCGTTTGCATCTGTTACGTGTTTTGTCTGGGTGCGAAGACAAATAAGCTGAACAAGCGGGATGAAGATGGTAAAGATTTCGAACATCATGGTCGAAAGATGGATCCTGCTCTCATACATCAGTAAAAAGGAGCTGATGATTTTCCTTGCACGAAGCGGTGCTTACCACTGGCTCGGCGTAAAGTACATATTGATCTTGTTGAAGGCCGGCACGTATGATGCAATAAGGAACATTAGGGTTGCGTGGAGACTAAAATGCACAAGTCAGCAAAATTGCAGAACATCTGGAAATACGCAGCCTTAACAAACCTGGAGAGACAGCAACCGACGGTTTGTGTTCGCCATCCCATAGTATCTCGGACACTCCAAGCTCTCCAAATTAGAGTCGGGGCAAGCTGGACGTATGTCAACCGTCAATATCCATAGGGTGTCACAACTATAGAGACCATCATTGGAAGGCACGTACGGCCCAGGTCCAGACAAACTGCCAGATAATGGTTGGCCACCATTCCCATCCTCGGCCCAACTCGATGAGCTGCTCTGGAAGAGTTTCTCCTCGGATTTCTGTTCCTGGAAGGCCGAATGTCGGGTGGTATTTCTTGCACGCCAACCACATGCCAGTAGTAAGAAGGCACTAGAAACCTCAGTCAGCTCCGTTAATTAACCGTGGGTAAGCTTTGGAAGAGCTTACCTGTGCTACAATGCCAAACCAGATGAATATCATGAGCCTCTTTTCATATTCCATGTTTCTCAACCTGCAGAGCCATGAGCTCTTTCTACCGTTGCATCCTCGTGGATAGCGAGCGCCGTTGTCCATGAATTGAAGTCTTTGCAGCTTTGCTACATGTAGAAATCTACTGTTGGAAGCATGAAAAAGGCGATACCCAAGGGAAACCAAATTCCCATGACGAAATACTGAACATCGTAGGCGATTACCACGGGCATTGTCCCGCCGATCGGGTATGTGATCTGGGCCATGCACCAGTACATGTGCAGAAATATTATAGAACCGAAAGCGAATGGCAGACCCCTGATCTTCAGGATGGGCTGTGTGCGATTGGCCCAACGGAAGGCCATTCCAGCGAGTACAATGGCCGTCCATGTCGCACAAAACGTGACGTAGAAAATGCCTATTCTATCCCATTTTGGCGGCATAGGTTGAAGGTTGTAAATTGTAAGACCAACCAACGCTGCGGGATCCATGGTTGTAAGAAGTTGGTGTAATGACGAGAGATGAGAAGGAGTTGGGGTAATAAATTGTCGTAATTCCAATACTCTCTAGTGTCCTGATGAACTGGGGAATGATGACACTTTTCAAGACAAGGCTATCAGACCCATGGAGTGAATGGAAAGGAGAGTAATAGAGACAGTCCACAATCGAATCACGACGTTGCCAAGGAAAGCCTCATACAACGGTATCGGCACTTGGAGGGATGGGAGTCGCCTATTGAGTATTGCCAGACCCGCTCGAAGCATGGCATGCTTGGCGAGTATACCAATGGAAGATCCGTACAGAAGCCCAGTATTCCCAAGTAGCGAATCCCACTGGCCCAGGCCCACATCTACCGACCCTTCATTCAAATTATTGTGTTCCTCAACTGTGATACAACAGATTCAAAGTCCCGTCACCTACAAGGTAAGGGGCTAGTTTCGACTCAGCTTCCTTCCGCTTTTTCGTTTTTTCGTTTAGCTTTGACGATCTTCCAACCCGTCTGTCCGTGCTCCCCGGCCCCAGATCCAACAGACGCACTAGACGTTATGGGTGGTCGCGCTACTTTAGATTTGCGATGGCCCAATCGAGGACTTACCGTCTTGTCTTAGACAATACAATCTTACTGAGTCAATCTCTCAGGGGAAAGGTCATAGAGAGCCTTGTATGTGTCATGTTCCGAGAAGCCGACCAATTAGGCTCTCAGAATCCTAATCAAAGAGCCCATTATCTCACTTATACCATCCTTGCAGTGTTTAGAACGGACGGACGGACCCGATGGTAGGCATTCGATCTATCGTGCACCGGCGTTGTGATTGACAACGATAGACCCATGCAGTATTTGCTAGGGCCACAGGTTACTTTTGGCCGATTCAAGTTCTTCAAGCTATGAGAACCACAGTAGTCATGTAGACGAAATGGAAAATACGTTGACCGGTCTATGTCTTTATGATACGTAGCAAAATAGAGTCCCGGTCTACAAGGCTGAGTGAGAGAAAGCATGCACGTGCTTGCTGACCATTTAAACAGACTATTGGTTTTATCTAGGCCATGTGAGGAATGAATTCGCTTCCAGGTTAGGAACTCAGCCTATACTCATTTTCAGCGGAAAAGTTGAACAAATGCGAGATCTGGTTTGGACATTGCTTTGACCATCAACCCCGGCACAAAAGCGTAAGCAGCAGTGAAATTTCTTTTGGTGGCATTTTGTGATGCATATCTAGATATTCTGGAGACTTCATAACGAACTAAGTTCTGCCCTGGTTTTTCTTATGAAATGTTTTGTTTGTTGTTTTTGAAAAAGAAAAAATGGAAAAAAGAAAAAAGGAAAATAAGGAAGAAAGGAAGAAGAAGAAACTAAGAAACTCGACATATTTGGCTGTTACTGGTATATGCGGCAACACTAGCTCAGATTGGATGTCTTGTTTACTGGCTGAATCTGGCGAGGTGACCGAATACTAGGAGTTCTTTCAGCAATTCTGTTACCGAGAAAGGAAGATGTAAAATTAAACACAAGGATCTCCCTGTCAATGATAGGAACTGAACACAAACGGTGCAGTTACAGCTTGGTCAAATGCGGTCGGTTAATCATCTTAGGTAGTCATTCTGACATGAGGGATTGAAATGCAATGCCTTGAACTGTCATCATGAATCAATGAACCAGACGTTTACGACCTTCTTGTTTCAGCTTCCAAACAATTTAGCTGTTGTGACATAGGTCCTACATAAGGCGTTAATTGCTGCTTGCGATTAACGGCGTCGTTTTTAGCACGACATTAGCAAAATGGAGCCAAGTGAATCTCCAATCAATCCAATCACTTGGAGCTTGTCCGAGTCCACACTTTGGGATGCTGGAACAGTTCTAAGCGGAACCTCATAAAGTATGTTGATGTCGTGTGAAACGAGCAGGACTGATATGGTCTCAGCGTGTACAATTGTAGCCTCAAAAGCTTATTAGCATTATAATCACGGTTTGTTGAAGGCAAAGTGCTGAGAGGTCATGCCATCTGCTTGATTCTAGAGTCTTTTCTGACCGTGAGCTACCATTCCTCCGATGACTATATATGTTACCTTGGGCAGGTCGAAGGAATACATAGGAGCACAAGAAATATATTTTTGTAAACTCAAATATCTGGACAGTAAATTCGCCAGCTACGTTCCATCCCTTTTCATGGACTATTACAGCCCTCTTTATCTTCCAGCCCATAGTAGGGGGAGGGGAAGATAACAAATAACTGTTCACCGCCTTAGAAGGGGTTAGTCTACAAACATTGGCTGTACCACGTGTTGACAAAGGTGCAGGTGGTGCCGGAGACGCAAGCGAAAGGACCGGACCAGCCCTGACCACCGCACTGGCCGTACTTTGGAGACTGAGGGCCGCCGCCAGGGGCGGAGGTCGTAGGGCCGGGAGCGGGGGCGGTGGTGGTGATACCAGGGCCCGGGGCGGTAGTGGTGGCGGGGGGCGGAGGGGTACCACTGGTCGCCGCGGCGGCGAGCAGGGAGGAGACGGAGGTGTAGGCCGGCTTCTTGTTGTAGTTCGAGTCCCAGAGAAGGGCGTCGCCCGTGCCGGGGAAGGTCCCGGGGATCCAGCTGTACTTGTCCGTGAAGCCCCAGATGGTAACGCCGACGCAACCGTCGACATCGAGGCACGAGCCAACGACGTTGACGTAGTCGTTGCCCTGGGTTGCCTGGGCAGACGAGGAGGCTGGGATGCTGGAGTGCCGGATGTCGAGCTCGGTGTAAGCGACCTCGAGGTTGAGTGCGGTGAAGCGACGGAGGACGGTCGCGAGGGCGCTGCGGCTCGGGGTCGAGCCGACAATCAGATGACCCTGGAAACCGACACCGTCGATAGGCGCACCAGCATTCTGGACAATTGTGACGGCCTCATAAACGCGGTTGGTCTTGGCCCCGTTGTACTCTAGGTTGTAGTCGTTGTAGTACCTAGTTGATGTAAGAGACTGTGCATAAAGCTCAACGACGAATACAGGAGACTTGCAGCTTCGTGTTAGGATCTGCAGCCTTAGCAGCTCTGAAGGAGATAGGGAGAAAACTGGTGCCGAGCACGTTGTAGAAGACACTCGTGCGCCAGCTGCCGTCGTCGTCGGCGGCCTCATTGACAACATCCCAGGCGTAGCATTGGCCCAAGTAATGCTTCATGACATTTGAGATGTGAGTCTCAATGACGGACGTCAGGGTAGCGGCGGTCCACTGTCCACTAGAAACCCAGTTTGGCAGTTGAGAGTGCCTTGTGGTTTGTCAGTTCCAAGCTGCATTCAAAGACACCAGAGCACAGGCATATTCACCATGTTAAAGTGTGACACCGCAGAATCTGGCCGTTTGCCTTGGCGATGTTGGGAACCTGTAAAGTAGTTGTTCGTCAGCTATCAATACTCCGTCGGGACTTGAGTGAATATGTAATTATGTAAAAGAGATGCGACTCACAATGTCTGCATTACTAAAAGAAAACGAGCCGCGGCTAGGCTCAGTGCCCTGCCACTTTTGCCCGTTCTCGGGAACCAGGGAGCCGAACTCGTTTTTGTTGTTCACAACGGCTCTGTAAGTGGCATCGTTGACCTGGCCTTCGCCGACGGCAGTTCCAAAGTACTTTAGGCCAGCGCGGACAGCAAGAGTGTTGAGCTGGGCCGAGACGAGGCCGGGGCCCAGGAAGACCGCAATGAGAGCCTTGGCGTGCATGTTTATCAACTCGAGCAATGGCCAACAGTCAGAAGAAACAACACTCTCGTCACAAGTGTATGACTGCCTACGGTGCAATCAACTTTAATTTGAGGCGGAAGAAGAGCCAAACTTATAGATGAGCCGACAATAGCATTTTGGTATGATGGAGGGCGACGCTGAAGGGCGTTGATCCCCTATCCTTGCTCTTGGCATACAGTTCGGCTGTCTGCCGGGGACTAGATTTTCTGGTTTTGGTACGCGGGATGTGCCTCCGGCTCGTTGGGTGTGGTGATATTTGCCAATTAATACTCGCCTAGTCCCGGCTAGCTTGGGCGGTGAACGCGACAGCTTCCAGCAGCGACATGTTTGCTGTGGCGGTATTCATCCTTTTACCCGGACCATATCTTGCCTGTCTTTTGATCTCGCCTAAAGGTCTCAGCAGCCCTCAGCCAGGTCGCCGAAACTCCCACGTGAGGTCAGAAGGGGCAGTACTAGTATAAAGTGAATGCGGCGGACATGTAACCATATCTGGCTAACGTTTTGGGATGCGGAAGACTCCCAGCTCCTCTGTGCCTGGGCTAGTGCGAGGAGGGGAGGGTGTATAATTGACTGTTCGCTGGCTTATCTCCCTTCGTGTCTAAAATGGACCAGCTTGGCAGTGTCAGTAATGGGCTGGAAGGAGGAGCGCGAATGGTGGGCGTTATTGTTGCGCCTAGTCTCACTCCAGACGGAGCAATCTGAATCACCCAAATTCCCACCAGTAGTAAGCGATCGCGGAATATTTACGGATACTTGCTGGGAATTGTGAGAACCACTGAATCATCGCTCCAAACGCCTGCTATCGAACCTGAACCATCAAGACTATGTCATACATTGCCTCAATGCGGTAGTTCCTACATTAGCCTGAATGGTAGCCCATTGCCATTCTACTGCGGCTGGTTACACTGCATTGGCTGGCCAAGACTTGAACCCCAGAAGGGCGTCTTCCAGCTTAACTGCCTTGGACACGGAGTTGTCCCGGCTGCCGAAGTAAACAACTATGCTTATCCAAGTGCACCCTACATTTCACAGGCGGTGGCAAACACTTGTGCCACACGTAGGTGGGCAACTTTTGTCAAAGAAGATACATGTAGTAAATTTCACATGCATAGTTAATTAACTTACCCACTGCCCATTCAAAAGGCAGGAATCCAGTACTACTTGGATTTGATCCCACACTGCAGGGCGATGCTAGAAGGATGCAGTGGCGTAGAGTAGACAGCGACAGGGATCACAACTTGTTTACCTATTTGGCAATGACTCTTCGGAGCGATCCAAAACAAGGTGGCAGATTCAGAGGCGGCTTGGCTTGGAACATCCATCTTCTTGTGGCACAATCAAGAAGAACGGATCAATCCGTTTCAAATGTTCGCTTGTGGATCTTTCGGGTTTGGGTGTAATGCCGCTTGCTTCGGTTGCCATATAATACACAATACCCGACATCCTTCATGGATTCTTAAGCAGCTTTCTTAACTAAATTCCCATTCTAGAGCATCCAAGAAGAAGATATACGCCAACATCGCTCCCAAGCTCCACCATTTCCACTCTGTTGCCAGATTACGGCTTCTGTTGCAATGTTAATCATCGCCTAGATATCAGCAGTATAGATTAACGCTGTCACAGGACAAGGCGGCAAGTGCCTATAGTTAGGAGACAGACAGATAGCAGGGACTAGATACCTAACGCACACGTAATACGTCACGTGTGCCCTAGGTATATATCCCTTTAGTAGGTAACCCTTTATAAAGAAAGGGTTAACTATAAATACACCTCCTATTTATTACCTATCTTATCCTATATTATTTATTTAGCTTTTTATTATTACTTATCTTACTTTACTAATTTACTATTACGCTTTACTTTTACACTATATTACTTTATATTACTATTATAGTCTAGCTTTATCTTATTAGATTTATAATAGCTACTAAAAAGGCTATATTAAGTAGTAGTATAACTATTATAATTTATATTATTTTATTACTTTTATTATCTTTATTATTTTTATTAAAATCTTTTTCTACTACTATATAGTTATTATAAGTAATTAGGTTAGGTATAAGAGTAATAAGTAAATATACTATAAACATAAAGTTAAGTCACTAGTATTACTAATACTAAAAGCTACTTCCTTTTTTCTTCCTTTTTTACCTTTATTCCTTTTATATGTCTATATGCCCTTACTTTACCCCCTATACGCCCTAACTTATATATACTTTATAGTACTTAGCTATATATATATATTACTCCCTAGGGTATATAACTAGCAGCCTGCTTAGACAGCCTGCCTAACTGCTCCTAATATAGCGCTTCTTCTTTTTAGGTTTCTATCTTAGAACCCCCTATAGCCTATATAGGTAGCTATATTATTACTTTTACTTATTTACTATAGCTTTCTTAAAATTACTACTTTTACTTTTTATAGTTATACTAATAAGTAAGAGTAAGTTACTTTTTTTTTTATACTTATACTAGTGTTTTCTTTTATATTAAGTTTTTTATAGCTTATATAATAACTTTTTATAGCCTTTTAGCTTTTTCTTTTTATATTAATTTAATTTATATAGTGCTTTTTCTTTATTATTATTATAGTATTACTAATTTTTACTAAAGTGCTAACTACTATTTTTATTAAATAGTAAGGATTATAATAGTTACTTAATTAATTCTCTTATATATTATATAACTATAGTAAATAACTATAGAAATAGAGAAAAACCCCTATTTCTTAGTTAGGAAATCCCTAGCTAATCTTAGTAATATTATTAGTAAAGTTACCCCTAAAAGTAGGGCTAATTTACTACCTATTCCCTAATAATTTACTATAAGGTAACTATATATTTACTAGCTAATTTATATATAACTCTACTATATTTTATATACCCCCTTAGCGCTAGTAGCGTAATTAATTACTATAGAGCCTATACTAAATACTATCTATATATAGCCTATTTATTTATTAATTATCTCTTAATATCTTATATGTTTTTTTCCTCTATTTAGTAGTAGAGCTTTACTTTATTATTAGCTAATTCTTACTATTAATTTACTTTAAGGCGTATATATTAGTTACTTATAATTAATTAAGCTATAAATATAGTAGAATATAGCATACTAAGCGCCTTTATTAATCTATTAGCTATTAATTTAATAAACTTCTTATATTTAATAGTAATTTAATTTACTACTACTTCTTAGTATAGCTAGTAGTTATAAATATCTATATACTATAGCCTTATTTATAATTTAATAAGCTCTTTAGTAATAAGCCTAATAGTTTAGGTATTATTATAGCTAATATAAGTAGTTAGTAGCTATTTAGTAGCTACTTACTTATTAAGTAATAATTTAGTTTTTAGTTATATTAATAGTTAAATACCTAGTGTAGTAATTAATTTACTAGTAAAAAGCGCCTTTTTTATAGTAAATAATAAGGCTAGTAATTTAGCCTTAGTAGTTAATATTATTACTATATCTTATTTATTAGCTTACTAGGAGATAAGCCTTCTAAATAGCTTTAGTATATATACTTATAAGCTATAATAGTTTAGTAAGTTATTAGTAAATAAGGTATCTAAAGTAACCTCTAACGTATTATTTTTACTACTTAGTGTTACTTTATATTTAAAGTAAAGGTTCTATATTTAATAAAGATAATTAAGTATATAATTTATAGCCTTTTAGTAATCTAGATTTAGATTATAGTTAAAGTAAGTAAGCTAGCTAGCTATAAAGGTAATATTTAGCTAAGTTATTACTACTATATAAAGAATTATTCTTACCTTTATTTAATACTACTTAACCTCTTATAATAAGGCTATATATTTACTAAGTAGTAGCTTAGTCTTTACTATAAGTAACTATTAGTTATTACTAGGGTAGTAATACGGTTAACTATACGTATTAATAGGTAATAACGAATAATAGGGGTAAGTACTAGTTCTAAATTATACGTAAAGGAAAAGAAACTATTGTGGGATTACGTAGCAAATCTACTGCGTAATATCCCTATAGATCCGGTGGATTCATAGCGAATTAGCTATAGTTATTCTAGCTATTTAGCGTAATATCCCTATAGATCTAGTAGATCTATAGCGAATTAGCTGTAGTTATTCTAGCTATTTAGCGTTAATTTATACTGCTAGTATCTAAGTAATAGTTAATATTATAACACTAGTAACCTTCTAAAGTGTTATAAATTATCCCTATTTTCTAGTTATTTATAAAAGGCCTAAAAACGTAATAAAAGTAAAAAGCTAAAAAAGTATTTAATACTTTTTATACGTATAACCTATTATATATATAAAACCTATCTATTTATTTATATCTCTAATTAACTATTATTAGTTAACTACTTTAGTGCTTTATTTAGTAATAATTTTATAAATCTATCTACTAGGTTATTATCCCCTTATATCTATTAGATCTTATAGATCTTATATTACTTATATAACTAGTAAAGCGCTATAATATTAATTATAAGTTACTTCTTCTTAGTAGTGCTAAGCTTTATAAGGCACTTATAGAGAGAGTATAAGTTAGTATAAAGGATTATTAGGATTTATAGTAACTTAAGGTAGTTAGTAATTATTATAAGTGTAGTGCTAATTATATAGGTAATATTAGTACTAGTAACTATACTATAGACCTTAGAGGCTAGTATGCTATATATAACTTTTTTACACTTTATTAAGCTAAAGTAGATAATATTACTAGTAAGTATAAATTTCTTATTATTAGTAGTAGGTTATATAACCTTACTTTTATTAGTAAGTATAATAATAAAGCTAAGTTATAAAGTAAAGTTATAGTTATTTATAAATAAGCTATTAATAAAGATAAAAAGCTTTATAGTTATAAGGTTAATTAGCTAAAAAAGCAGGCTGTAGTTAAGGTAACTTATTTACTATTTAATCTAGTAATTAAGAGCCTTTATCTCCTTCTTTATAAGCTCTTAGTGTTATATAGTAACTAAGTAG